GTTTTAATACCACTAAACAATGTTCGGAAGAGAGTTGCCGCCATAACAGGTACTTTTTAGAGTTGCCATTTAATAATTTTTTGCTGTATTGATGGGAGTTTTATGATAATATAAATTCGTTTTTACGACAAAATTGAACAAATACATAACGTGATGAAACTAGGTAACTGAAATTAAAACATATATTACATAAGCATTATAAACTTAAAGTTACTATTATTTTTAATTGTTCATAATTTAATTGCAGGTGTGTCAGAGAAAACTGTATCAAGAATTACAAACGAAGGTGTAACAGCGGCGTGTACTTCAAAAAAAATTGTAACCCCGGGGAAGAGTCGCCCGCATCCGAAAAAGTTCGACTTAGACGGGTTCGATTTGTGCGCTATCCGGCAAAAAATTTACAGTTTTTACGTCGTACATAAAGAATTACCAACATTGGTTAAATTACGGGCAGCTCTGCGAGAGGACATCAATTATCAGGGAAGCATCACAACATTGCACAGGATATTAAATAGAATTGGTTTCAAGTACAAGCGATGTCAATCCAGACGAAAACTACTTATGGAACGCCACGACATTACCGCATGGCGTGCAAGATATTTGAATAAAATACGAATAAATCGCACTGTGGAAAAACGACCAGTTGTATACTTAGATGAGACCTATATACACAATACTTATCATACAAAACGTTGTTGGCAGAGTGAGGAGGAGCCAGGAATGTTCGTCTCAGAATCATCAGGGAGTCGCTGGATAATCGCTCATGCGGGAACAAAAGATGGATTCATAAATGGTGCATTATTAATGTTCAAATCCCAATCAAAGTCCTCAGATTACCACGATGACATGAACTCAGCAAATTTCTTAAAATGGGTGACGGAAAAACTAATACCTAATCTACCTGAAAGGTCGCTTGTGGTAATGGATAACGCTCCTTACCATTGCACTCAATTAAACAAAGCCCCTTCTATGTCAAATATAAAAAGTAGTATGCAAGAGTGGCTCCGGCAAAAGGGTATATATTTTGAAGACACCTGGACAAAAGTTGTGCTGTATGAGCTAATCAAACAAAATAAAGGTCCACCGATATTTGCAGTGGATGAATTATTAACAGCTCACGGACACGAAGTATTAAGGTTGCCCTGCTTACCATTGTGACCTCAACCCGATTGAGAATATCTGGAGCCTTGTAAAAAGAAAGGTGGCGGATAAGAACGTGGCACAAGATCCAAAAGAAATATTAAAATTAACTAAAGAGGCCTTTGAGTCTATTACGGCTGAAGATTGGACAGCTCAGTGCTCGCATGTCGAACATTTAGAGGAGGAATATTTAAAAAATGACGGCCTTATGGATGAAGTGATGGACCGAATAATTATATCAACTGCTAGTGATACTGAAACAGAATCTGATTCTGTTTCAATACACTCTTCGGACAGTGATGTCCCTATGGCCGTTGATCACAATTATGCAATAAAACTCTGAATAAACAATTGTATTGCTTTTCTTTACCCTATTTTCTTATCTTTTCCCTGTAAGTAGGTAGAACACCGCAATATAAGTAAATAAAAATATACTTTTTACATAACAGATATATTGTTTCATCGAAGTACGCAGAAAATAGTATTATTTGATAAATTACATCTGCTAAATGTAAATAAAATAGGTAAATTTTTTACTCATAAATGGCAACATTACGTCATGCGATTGCAGCGCCGCGTCTGGGGGACTTCTTTCGTGAAAAGGACTATACACCTAGCATTGTATAAATATGTCAAAATAGTCAGTTGTATGTTAGGTTCATCGCATTTTTCAAGAAATCTCCCAGACTTTTCCAAGTTTATTTTGTAATTACGATGTACAAACTTTGGTTCTTCTGATAAATAAAACCCGTCAAGTAGTTTCTGCAATCCTCTTGACTGATCTCTGATCACGACACTCTTCACGCGAGTCATAATAAATTTCTTCAAACGTTGAAGTATGTTTTTGAAGAGATTTCATTCTGATTAAAAAATAACAAGTGAATACTAGCACTCTTCAGGTCTCTGCAGATTCATAGATACAAGCTTAAACGTGGTCAATACGTCAATTGTGGCAGCTACCAGCCCTTTAATTTATCATCAAAAGTAAATCAAAGTCAGCTGCCAAGATAACCAAGTGAATATCACGAAACTGATACACAATACGTGTTTTTATCTGACATTACACAGAGTGATCTCTGAAACGTATTTCTCTTGCAGCTAAGGTTAAAATTATTAATAGAAACAACCCTCTGAATAAACAGTTTGTTTTGAAAATCTTTTATAATTTAGCTGCGTAATATTTTAGTACTTCTGGCCTCTTTGAATTTAGATACCAGTAAATGCGTATCTATATCTAGAGTTGTGTTGTAGATTAATAAAAAGTATGATTCAAATATCGAACAGTACCTGCGTTCGATTTTTGAATCGTAATATAACGGTAATCTGAATGGATCGATCGCATCTATGACATAGACCTGTCATGGCCCAACGAGAAAAGGTATTCAACTTGACGATGGTATTTAAAAAAGGAGTTTACATCATATAGTATGATGTGCTGCAATGAGAGTAATTGCTTTTGAGTTACCTAAAGTCTACTTTCAGAATAGGAATGTTAAAAGAAGCTCTAAAATTTCATTAGTTTTTAATAGTTATCGAACTGGTCGAATTAAGATACACGAAAAACTAGAGCATATCTGATATTCGTGTACCATGCTTGTCCATAAATTACTATCTACGAGGCGGCCCCTCTCTTGTCTATTTGTTATATATATATATATATATATTACTTGTTTTGAATATGAATAGACAGGCTTAACAAAAGGGAATTCAGCCTAATTAATGCCCATAATTCCCAATTATACGTACTGTTAAAACACAAAAATCAGATAAAAGTAATTGCGAACATCTATACGTAGCACTTTAAATTGGATACAGCTCGGCGTGCGCGGAGCTTGTCTTGCATTTTATAGTTATTGCAATTAAGACAACCGTTACCCTTGAAATGGTTGTTAAAGTAATCTAATTTAAACTATAATGGAGGTAGACCATGCGCGCGGTGGGCAGATGACTTTAAAAAAGCTATTGGTCCTCTGTGGCAAAGACTTTTCAGTGATAGGAATCACTGGAAGCAGCTGGAGAAGGCTCTTGTGCCACAAAGGCAAGCTGTACAAGAGGACTGCTGTGCAACAAAACCTTCTTTTTAAACTTTCTCTTGTATTAGTTGCAATAAAGGTTTTGAACTTGAAAATTTTGCCCCAATAATTCTGCAGAGAACGCATTTTCGAAGGGAATAATCCCATTCAGTATCTCTCGTAGTGCTTGACGCTATTGAAAGGATTTAACTTGAAACCGGCAAAACTTCAGGGATTTTAAATCTGCATCCATGCATTTTTAAATGGCACTGCAAATAGACACGGGGCTCTCTCCCTTCTCCAGATGGGATCATCGTTCTCGCACTATTATAGTAATTTGGGTTGCGTCATCAACACTTGTTATAGGCCTGTAACCATGACAATCACAGGCCTCCTGCAAAATGTTGAAAGTTCCCTAAAAAACTGGTGCCTACTCGACACATTCACACATTGAGTGCGTAGTTGGAATGGCAGCATCAGCCTTCCTTATCTCTAAGTTTTGCACTAAGAAATTATTCAAAACGTCAGAAACCATATTTATGCTTTTTAACGCCTTCGTTAGATCCAAGGTCGAATTTTATTCCTATACCATAATACTCAGCAGACGACAAACCCAATTTCGACGTGGTCTTTCCATTAACTGGACCGGGATCGGAATCCAGAGTATGTACGTAGGTTCTATTAAAAAATTTTTTATATAAATTCAGTATTTATTCATAAAGCGAAGTTTTAAATAATAAGTGATGCAAGTAACGAAACTTTCGCAATAAAGAAAGCGCGTGCGTCAACTTTTTCTTGAAGGCCATTGACTATAGAGCATAGAGCATAGATTAAAGCAGTTTAATCTATTTTAATTAACGTTACGAAGGTGCGCAGCGGGATATAAGCGGCGACTGAAAATGCGTAACCAATATTAGCGAAAAATGGTCCAAAAAATTGAAAAATTTGAGTTAGTCTCAAATTACATATAAGTAACGAACACAGTATGTGAAAAAAGTAAAAACGTATCCTAAAGTGGAGTATCACGTCTTCAGAAGTAGCTTCCTTCACAAGCCTCCTCCAATATAAGTGTTGTCAACTGTTTGTCTCAATCTATGCCGTCGTTCTATTCATCAAGATGATTAGAATACAATGAGAAGTCGATGCACAATAGAAACCAATCTATATCGACTATACATACTATATTTATTGAACTCTTGAACCTTAAATCTAATAAAATTAATTATATTGTTGTTCTATGAGACATGTCTGCAAAAGTGCTGAATAGTTTTGACAGTAGATCTTTTGCTGACGTTGAGTCACGCCACTCTTGTTGCACAATGAGTCGAATGTACTGAATAGACACGTTTAATTATTTGGATGTATAGTTTTAAATTAACAAAATATACAGATTAGTAGGTAATACTGTATTGCGTACCAAAAGTGATTAACTCAAAATAATATTTCAATTTCAATTCACAAGCCACACAACCTACAGCCTAAAATGTGTTTATTATGTAAAAGTATATAGAATAAATTATTAACTATCAAGCTCTCGCGATGGTCATGTAGGACACCTGGGCTGAAGCACTTCATTAAAACCATTGTTCTATTTGTGGATATGAGATATAATGACACTTGTATATGTGGACAGAATTTCTTGTTAAGAGAATATGGTTTTAGTTTTGTTAGGTATTTAATATTGTGTTTTAAGCTTGCCAACGGTCGTAAAGTTATATTATAAATACGATTTATGGTACCTATTAGTAATTCTATTCATTGGTATTTGGTTCTTCCAGGTGTATGTGAGGAGCGTGGAGCGGTGTGCAGTAACCGAATGATGCCCCCTGCGCGCGCTCGTTCGCCGACATGGCCGCCCTCTCCTGTTACCAGCCCTGCAGGTCGCATCTTGCGCAGCCGGCTAGGTATATTTCATTTAAATTGTTTCCAATTATCCAGCAAAAATTATTTCTTATTGTGGTGGTGAATAATGGTGATAGAACAATAAGAAGACCCAGAATTGACCCTGATCGGAAATGGAAAAATATTATAGCTCTGAGGCGTCCTCTGATGGACATGAAAAACATTGGGAGATTCAAAGACGGCAAACCAATTTACTAATTGTCCAATTTATAGTTACGTTGCTGGCCTTTTAGTCAGCAGACTGGCGATGTTTTAAGATAATGATTGCCTTTCAAAGTAACTCCTACGTAATATTATGTCCTTAGATTACCAATCAACATTTAACCTGTTACGAGGCCACTTTCACCTGCTAATCCCGTTTGGTTTCTGCTATTTCATTCCCTTTTATAGAATACTTTATGGCTGTTCAACGCTTGTTGCGTATCGCGGTTTTACTTATATCTAAACTGCGATTCGAAAAGTATCAACAAATTAACACAAGTTTAATGAAGAAGCGTTCATCGGCTTATTAACGATAAAGATGCGACATTTCAGGTGTTTAGACGACTACGAAGAGCAAACGGCGACCCTCTCGCTTCGTCGAAGGCAGTTTATAGAGAGATGTCACGACGCGCGGTCGGGACGGCACAGGGACTTCATACCTGAGGTTTCAGTGAAGAGAACGAGGGATGAGCTGGCCAAGTATGCGGCACAGGCAGCGCCGGCGAGGCGACTGAATGTCGAGTCCGGGTGGTCCAAGGTCGAAGAAGTCAGGAAGAAGTTCGAAGGTGCAGCGGCGGCGGCTTCCTATTCGAGGTCGTTCGAGTCCCCTCCTAGGTAACCGACTACGCGAGGAAAGCGAAATTACTCCAAAATATGTATTATTGTAACTGCATGCGGCTCGCTCGTTGCAGACGTCGGCTAGCCGACTCCCTCTTCGCGAGTTTCAAGCTACCGCGCAAGAAAGAGATGGCGGCGCCTCGCTCCCTCGCCCTTCAGCCGCAGCAGAAACGCAAGTCCGCGGTGGAGCTGCTCGCCGAGTCGAAGGCCTTCTACGTCAAGTCGGAGACCGTGCTGGATCGGAAACAGGAATTGCCCTTGAGGGTGAGAATTAATAAGTTCATAATTTTTGAGACACGGAACCGCTTTCATAAAAGCTTTGCCCGCACGGTTCATTTAACGGTTCGGCAGGTGAGCAGCGGTTTGAGCCAGGCGATAGCGGCCGGAGGCTGTCACCTGGTCAGTTCCGGGACACTCGACAACGACGCCTACTGCAACCCATGTGAGTTTACAATCGCTTATTTACGTCCACAAAGACCTGATCTTAATTAGCATTTAATAAATTAAACCCAAAAAGTCTGGCTCATTTATAGCTTATTGAATTTCAGATGCTACCACCAGGATCAGCAGCAGACGCGCGGTGAGCGCGGGGGAAGGGCTTCAGAATACTCTGAGGAGACTCCTCGAACACGCCGATAGTCGGGAAAATGTCTACTCCCCTCCTTATGCCTGTAAGTTCCGGGACTCAACGTTTAAAGAGATGCGTTCAAGTACACATAAGTGACCTCGAATTTCAGGCCAAAAACCCTTCACGGAAATACGTCGCGTCAAAGAGCCGTACGCGGAGAGGGAGTTGTCTCGCTCCCAGCACACTTCGGGCACCTTCTCCGGGACCTCCTCGTCCGGCACGTCCGCCTCCAAGGACAAGAGGCCGCTCAGTTTCGGAGACGCCAGGGTCTTCTTTCCGGAGTCGTTCGTTATCCCGAGACAGAGGGCCAGCGAAGTCGTCATCAAGAACGCTTATTCGATACGTGAGTCTCTCGTTCGACGCCACTTTCGTGTGCCTCTTAAGTGAACCGAGTCGATGTACAAGAATCGCTTCCTTCCTTGCTCCCACAGCGAGTCCTCAGTCGAGTCCGCACGAGCCGAGGCGAGAGACGTCCCCTCACGGGGAGCAACTGGACACCATCAGCCCTCCCGCGGAGTACGCTCATTCGGCACCCAGGTATATCAGGTAATATTATTTTCGACACTTTTTAGGTATTTATTATTTGCGAAAATTTTAACAAAAGTATTTACGTCTTATCATATTTTTTATTTTATTTCAGATCGAATTCCCACTCTCACCCGAGTGTCCGCGAAGAGGACGGCAACACCAACATCAACAGTCATAAATCGCTGCCGGACCTTCACGCTCAGACGCACGGTTACCCCGAACAGTGAGTTGTCAACGCCCGTTCTTAAACGTCTCAAATCGTATTTAAGAGACCAGCCTCGGTGAAAAATAATTTATTTCTTCGTTCGCGTGCAGCGTGAGCGTGGTGGTGGGGACGGAGTCGATCGGACGGTCCCCGAGGAGACGCCGGCATTCGGCTCACCACAGAACCGCCTCGTGCTCTTCCAAAGGCACCAGGTACCGATTCGTCCAGCCTCATTCGTATCGTCGACGATGAAGACAAATGCAAATATGCAATTTATCTTTTCAGGTCCAACCATTCGTCGCTGATGTCTTCGTGCGATGCGTTCTCGGAGCATCCGTCTCCGGGCGAAGAAAACTACCAGTCGTACAATAGGTATCGGTCGATCTTTACTCTCCGGCTTGGCCTCTCAGGGGCATATTCCAGGATAAATCAGAGAAGCTAATAAGAAATGTGAATAAACTTCCTTCCTCATTTGATAATTCTGAATTATCAGGTCAATGTTTGGTTAGATCGAATGTCTAGTAAATCTATCTCTATCGAGTGTACAATTTTAATAAATCAATGTATTCAAGTCCCGGCCAATTGTTGTGTTGCTTATTAAAGCTGTTTTTTTGCATTCTTAATTAATTCCTTCTTTTGCTAACGGCGGACAATATTATGGATATACAATTTTAATTCATGTGATTAATTTTTATATTCGAATAAATATTTTTATTTATAAGAAAAATAAGAGAAATTTAAAACGTAAAGTAACTAAAGTTAAAAGCATAACCAATATTGGTCTTTTGCGTTCGATAGCAATTTCGTTTCAATAAAATACTTATAAAAAAAAAATTAAATTAAAAGATCCCGTGGCATCGAATCGCATGTTTGGTCCTTTATCTGGTTTTTGGTCAAATGATATTTTTTACCAAATCCTGGGTAAGTTGTAACTGCGCTTCATTCAATGTGATTCAATCATTTAATATATCCACGATAATTATCGATATTAACAAAGGGATGCTTAACTGATAAATTATTTCTAAAAGAAAATCTTCCTATTTGCAACCAATTTTGAGGAGTCGTCAGTCGTAACTTTAACAGCCGAGTGACGTTCGAGAAATAGTAACCAAAAATCATCACGTAATCTGTCTTCACCGATTCCACGCTCAAGATATAATTCGCAATAAATGTTAGGCTCGAGTCTCATTCTGGAATCTTCACGTAGTCGCTGCGGTTCGTCGTTCGCGCGCGACTCGGGGGGTTCCAGCGGCCACTACACCCAGCGCAGTGCGCCCCCTCTGGCCCGAGACAACTCCGCGCCCTACGAGTCGCTCGACCCTCGCAGACGCTACGCGTGTCCTCGGGCCCGCGAGTCGTCCCTGGAGCAGTGCTTCGTGTCGGCCCCTCCTCAGTTCCAGGACGGGGCTCCGTCCCCGCCCCCCGGGCCGCTCTACTCCTCGCACCCCAGGGTGGGGATACACTTCCAGGTGAAGTTGCCTCCGACGGCTCCGAAGCCTCCTTAGTGTTCTGTGCGAAATGTTAACCGAGAGTCCTCCGACAGGCGAGTGCGCCCCCTCCGCAGTTCCAGGACGAGCCCTTCTCCTACGACTGCTCGTACAAAGCGCCCCTCAAGTGCCTCTCGGTCGGCAGAAAAGACTTCGTCGCGAGGGAATATCCGAGGTACGCTTCGGAGACACGTTTGTCCGTCGCTCCGATCCGAGTGTTTTTATTAAGAGGGGAACTTCTCTCAGGTACCAGGAGGCTCCCGCGGAGGTGGTCAGCAAACAGCCTCAGTACCAAGAAGAGATGTACCGGATGAGACCGAGAATTGACGACACCCAGGAATATGTCAACGCTCCACCGCAGGTCTACTTCTTTAAAATAAAATATGTTTATTATGGAACATAAGATACAGGTATCACTTATTCCATGTCATTAAATTTGAATTTGTAGGCATCCCTACTCATCGGCAAAAGAGACAGAGGGTGTAGGCCGAGAGAAAAAGCCGGCGTAAAAAACTCTCGGTACTCTTTTAAAATAGCAAATCATCAAACAACACTTATTTTAAAACAAATATCGCAAATTTGTTATGTTGATTTCAATTTAAAAAAAATTTGTTCAGATCTGTCAAGCGGAGGAGGTGACGTCCCCTCTGGGGACTTTCAAACGACAGAGATGTCTCCGGTACAAGCAGAGACGACCTCGGCCCATTCTGAGGTCGAAATCGGACATATCCGACAGGTTGGTGGGCGCTCGCGTCGAATTTCAACTTTGGGGCTTTTCAATCAAACTCGAATCGCCCTCAGATACCGTCGCTCCGACGGACGGAGCCCCGCGTCGGCCCCGTGCGAGGTCGAAGACTCCCCGGACAGTCCGTCGGAGGAGTCCCGGCTGCAGGTGTTCTTCGACCGTCTGGGGCTGGAGTCCCGGACGTACGACGCGGTCATTCGAGACGAGGACCCGGACAGCCCGGTCTTCTTCTCGTCGGCCTCCACGGTCGACTCCAATCAACTCGCCACCACCGACTACACGGTGAGTTCTCTTCTTCGTTCGCTACAAATATAACGAATCACGCGGAGCCGTCCTCAAGCGAAGTGTTTATTTATTTATTTATTTATTTATTTATTTATTAAGGAAACTAAACAGATACATCTCTATACAGTAAATAAAATAAAAGTAAAACAAAATAAACACATTGGACATATCCACAAAAAGTTTCACTGATAAAAAATACAATACAAAGTAAAACAAGACAAAACATGACAGCACAAAATTTATAAATTAGGAGAACGACAAACAAACTAGCAGCTATATAAAAAAAAAACAAGGAAGATTAAGACATTAAGTGCTTTAACTTATTCTTAAACGAAGCAGTAGAGGAGTGCGAAAAAGGATCAATGTTAGTGGCAGAATCCAAGGCAGAACACATCCTGTGAAGAGGCTCACGGAACCCAATGTTGGTTCTGGGAGTCGGAAGGTTAAAAGTTCTGTGCGAGCGCAGAGATCTGGCAGGAACATTAAATGGTATCAGTTCGAGAAGATTGGAACAAGTTATTTCATTATGTATTTTAAAATATGTGTATTTTTCTAATAGTGACACAGTCTGTCAAATTACGCCTAGTACTCAAAGAAAGTAATTTATATTTTTTTTTTTAAAGTTCCTTATGTTTAGACCTACCACCATTCATACGATAATTTAGAATACGTAAGAATTTCTTTTGTACAGGCGTACTCCAACTGGGACTGCACAAGCGTCTTATAGAAGTGAATGTACGTGGTATCGTCTTTAAAAGGTCTGGTGACATGCGTTATGAAACCTAACATTCGGTAGGCTTTATCAATTATTGAGCCTATGTGCTTATCTAGGATTAATTTGGACGGACACCAAGATCCCTTATAGAGCACACACGTTCAAGGGCATGGTTTCCAAGGGTGAAGTTGGCCGTGATTGCGTTATGAGTTTTCCTTGTAAACACGATATGCTGACACTTACTATATTTTAAGAATAATTTGTTTATTTTGCAGTAGTCATCTAGCCTATCGAGATCTTCCTGAATAAGTTCCACGTCGGAAAGTGTAACTACCTTTTTATATAACTTTAAATCGTCTGCATACAGCAAATAATTGCAGTGTATAAAACATTTAGATATGTCATTAATGTATAAAGAAAAGAGCAACAACCCAAGGATTGAGCCCTGGGGGACGCCGGATATCACTACTGTTTGAGAAGAGATAAACCCATTTATTACCACCGATTGAACACGATTATGTAGATATGCTGCAAACCATCTTAAAAGATAGCTTTTGTAAAAGCATCATATGGTCAACCTTATCAAAAGCCTTCTGAAAGTCGGTGTAGATTGTGTCTATCTGGTGTTTATTATCCAAACCGCTAAAAATATAATTTGTAAAAACAAGGAGGTTAGAGAGAGTAGATTTACCAGCTGCGAATCCATGCTGTTGGTCTATAATAACATGCCTTAGGCTGGAATAAATGCGTCGGTGAACTAATCTTTCCAGGACCTTAGGGATTGCAGAAAGCATTGAAATCGGTCGGTAATTTTCGACATCACTCCTTTCACCAGCCTTGAAGATAGGCGTTATATAAGATAATTTCCAGCAATCAGAAAAAGTGCCACTGGACATACACTTATTGAATATAATCTGTAAGGGGACACATAATTACCGATGTGTTTGCTTGAGAAAAACTGGTCTGATTTGATCTGGACCAGGATCTTTATTTGGGTCAAGCAAATACAGTTCTTTGCAGATTTCATCTTCATCGAAATATAAATTATGCATAAGGATCTGAGAGTCATTGGAAAGGCTCTCTTCAACGGTGTATAGTCACTAGAAGTCGAAGTCAGGTGAAGTCAGTGACAGTCAGTTTGAGATTCAAATACTGACTGAAAATAATTTGAAAACAACTCAACTATATGTTTAGGATCGTCGGATGAAATTCTGCCATATTTAATTAGTTTAGGATATCCTAAATTAGTTTGTTTTAGAGTATACGTGTATTTCCAAAAATGTTTGATATTTGTTTTTAGCGATAGTTCATCCCTTCTATATATTGATTATAACAATGTTTCATAAGACTTTAAACACGCGCCCTTAATAAAGAAAATTCTTGATAGTCGAGCAAGTTTTTGTAGGTCTTCCAGCAACACCAGAGTTTCTTCTTACGATTAAGAGCTCTTATCAGTCCTCTGCTAAACCAAACTGGATACTTACGGGATTTAGGTTTAGAGAATGGCACGCAAACAGAAATTATTTCATTTATTTTTGAGTAGAAGATGGCAACAGCATCTTCAGAATGAGACGAGGCCAGTTGTGACACACAATCTACCTTATCGATGGCATTATTTATTAAGTCATAATCTGCATTAAAAAAATTTCTTTGAAAACAGCTGATGTCATGACAATTGACCTATTAACAGTACTAAGAATATCTAAAGGCGGATGATGAGGAACGGGATTAAGCAACAGGTCATCGGAATAATCAACACGCCCGGGAAGCGTTGTTAGGACTAGGTCTAGGAGCCGCGCATTGCTATTGAGGACAACATTAGTTTGTTTTAAATTCATAAAAGAAATGGTATGCAACAATAGTTTAGATGACTCAGTATTTGCGGATTGTAGTAGGGTATCTGGAGTGGATGACCAGTTGAGATGAGGTAAATTAAAGTCACCTGTAATTATGTAATTAGAAAATCTAGCGCTAGCGTGTATGTCAGGCAGTTTTTGAAAGAATTTTATGTATGCAGAGGTATGAGTAACGGGAGGAAAGTAACAGGCATTGAGGAGGAGACCAGCGTGAGATGGCAAGTGATATTTCCTCCAAATCCGGGGCTTCTAAAAACGAGAGAACTGGAGGTTTCCTTTTTTACGAGAGAACTGGAGGTTTCTGTCCCGTCGAAATACATCATAACCGCCAGAATGCAACTCTCCATCAAAGATAGAATCCACTAACCACGTCTCTACCAGAACAATAATATCAAAGTTGCTAAGAAGAATACAATTTTTGAGTTTATCTATTTTACTCTTTATGCCTCCACAGTTCTGATAGTAAATAGATAAGGCATTTTGAGCCATTTTCCATAGTCAGAAATATGAAAGATGGGTAGTAATAAAGTGAAGATAAATATAGAAAATATAGAAAAATCCAGTTTCGCACTCCACACCGCCGTAAAAGAACATGAAAAGAACAAGATACCAACAAAAAATAAAGAAAATTTGAATACAATACAAAAAATATGTAAACCATACAGAGAGGTATAATATAGTCATACTAATTTGGCTAAATCATCATTGGATCGTATTTGGATGGCTTTAGCTTCATCAGTTTTTCTAACAAAAATACAACAGTTTTTTATCCATACATACTTGTAACCTTTTTCCTTTGCAAGTTTCCTGACCTTACTGAAGAGTATTTTGTTTTTCCAGGTGCAAGGGCCTGCGGGCGCGCAGAAGCCCATCTACCGAAACACGGAACCGCCGAGCGTCGTCGAGAGGAACGCCAGAATCATCAAATGGCTCTGCCAGTGTCGGAAGGTTCAGATGCAGCCTCCTCAATAACTACGCGTCTTCGGTCGAGCGACCCCTTCGTCATGTAATAACGTTGAACGCCTAGAGAGGTCATTATGCGTAAACTTCTCGATTAATATAATGATATAATGATTTTCGTGTCGATGACGTTGCGGTGACGTCATTGTTAATAATGTTAAGGAAATCTGTTCACTAGTTTAGGAAACGATTACGAAAATGACTCGTTTTGTCGCGTCTAGCTTAGGAATGAAAGCGATCTCTTCGATTAAAAGGAGTCAATGCAGGCTCCGCTTAGATTTATTAAAGTGATTGGTGAGACGCGATCTTTCGATCTATTAGTCATCCACCGTTTAAAAATTGCTTTGGTTAATTGTTATATATTAATAACACACGTAGCGTACGACATATCCTTGTATATGTTCCTCTCGTGCATTAGCCTCAAAATGGGAAATGAGTTTAAAGTTTTTTCGTGTTATCGTTGTTTTTGAAAATTCCAATTGTCCATCGAATTTCCTACAAATATTTAAAAAATAGTACGAAAGAACATATTTTGAACGAGATAAATATTTTTCATAAGCTTGATATTGAAGGGATTGATGTAGCACCGAGACAATATTTTTAAGAATGTCAGAACAAAATTAATGATATATCGAGATATATTACATTTCTTTAACGTATGTAAATGCGAATTAAATCACTTGAACCATCGAGTTACTTAAATAATGAAATAAACTCGCGCAGAAGTCCTTATTCATTCTTAATTTACGACTACGAATATTACGCAACAATAGTTTACGCTGTAAGTCAATAATTAGATGATAAAGACATTAATATAAAAATATCTAAAGTAGATACGAAAGTAGCATTCTTTAACCAGTTTATATTTCAATATTATTCATTTCATAAAACATTTCTAAACTTTTTTATTATATAATGTTATTGGTCTGTGTCTATAAGAACGTGTAATCGATTTGTTAAAATGAATTATTTATATTCTTATAAGAATAAAATGTGTTCAAAGTTCTATGAACTTCACGAGAACGAAATCTTCAGATTTTGTCGTCTACCCAGACCAATGTGAACAATACTTAATGCATTTATTATTTAGACGCATAATTATGCTAAGAGACTGCCATTTTCTCTTCCACTGTGATATGGATGTAAATTCACGATTTTTCCTTTAATTTTTGTGTTTTTCACTGAGAACATTTCCATTTGTTGATTTTTGCACAATTGCTATAGTTAATAATCGAGTGGTGGAGAAGGACCTTTTAACAACAACAGTTTGTCTCTTTAATATTCTTAATATGCCTTTTAATATTTTCATTTTGTTTGTTTATATTCAATTTTTAAAAAATACGCTTTGAGTGAGATTATAGCTCATCCTCCACCACTTCTATTTGTCAACGCAACAAGACTAATGAAAATGTATTTTGAAGTTAACCATAATTAAGGTTTGTGCAGAGGTAGGATGGTGTATAAATTTGATTGATAATAACTGTGTGTAGATCAAATTTCTTTAAAGTGTATTTAAAATGGTTAGCGTTACAGTATTAGATCGTTTAGCATTCGATGCTTCCATTTTGTGTAAATAAGATTTACGTACTTTGTTAGAGATTTATCAAACAAAAATATATTGTGGTCTGGTGAGATATAACTGTTTGGTTTCATTTAACATTTCCACATACAGTTGTGTTTAGAGTTACGTTAAGGTAACCTGACTTTATACCGTTTCAGAAACCTAATTCAATAGAAAAGAAAAATTAACTTAAATCTTTTCACAACAAATATAGGACAATGCAATTCTTGTAATTTCTGTCAGTGTTACACTGAATATGTCCGTCTTTATGGTATTATGTCTGTTCTTTGATTAAAAATGCTGTTGACTAATTTTGGACAAATGGAAGCTAAATGACACCTCAAAAATTGCTAAATTGCCGTGGATTTTAAGAGCATTGCATTTTTTTTTATTAATCACAAAAAATAGTTGTTACAATTATTTTAAACTATACCTGGTCATCTTCACTGTCGTCTGTCTCCGCTGCTGTGTTAGAACAAAGAGAAGATCTCTTTGTCCTTTAAGTGGATGAGACTTCAACATTCCTTTGCCTTTTTAATTTTAAATGTGTAAGTATATACCAACATTAACCGCTGAAAAAGTAAATGCTGATAATTTTATGTTTTTACCCGTTTCCCTGTTTTTGACCCTGGGCCACAATGCACAAACCGTACGGGCCATTAAAAAAAAAAAGTGTAGTTCCCTAATCCCTTATACTAAAACTCAAAAGCCTCGTATCTGGATTCATTAACCCTTAAATGCATGATGATGTATATATACATCAGTGTTTTCTTCCTTACATAATTTCTAAACAGTAACTCAAGCACAGTACTTTTAACTTTTTTTAGGTGCTAAAAATCTTGGTTTTTGAACGCAAGCTTTCGTGTTTTAGCAGTTGACTTTTTTAATTGTCATAATTTGACAGCTAGCCGCGCTACTTACAAATACTGACTTAGGCGGTTAAATTTTAATTTCGTTTTAGTGGATACCAAATAGTATTATTACGTGCTTAAAGTGATATACGAGAGAATAAAGGTAAGAAGGACAGATTACATTGTATTTTTTAAGAATTCAATAACAGTTGTTGTAAATATCAGCGTTATAATTGTGATGTAGAAATACATCAGTATGCACAATCGGCAAGAAATAGTTATACTCAGTCTAACTGTAGGTATAATATATTATTTTTTATTTTTGACTTTAATTTATGAATTACTTTGACATATACCATATATTTCAAACAGATAAATAATTTAAAATTATTTATTATTACTATAATATTCATTTCAACACGGCAATACGGCTCACCACCTATTACCTATTACGTGGGACAAAGTCTATGAGGTGAAATATGGGCATATAATATGCCTCTGCCTACCCCTTCGGGGATAATATATGCTATCATTATATAATATGTATGTAATATTAAATTTTTACATTATAGGTATATAGGGTAGGCGGAGACTATCCTTCAAGTTATATATTCCTAACACATATCTATCTATCACGCTTTTACTTTCATGGCTAGTTATACATTCGTATGAATAATTACATTTCATAGATACGTAATTTATTCATATGAATTTTATAATTATTTTTCCAGAATGTCCCGCAAATTGGCAGATAGAGACATAGAACAAATTTTGGCGGCTTTAGAAAACGGAAATATTTCTGAGGATGGCTTGGAAGATGAAAGTGAAGATGAAGAAACCTTTTACACTAATGCAAGAGAAAAAATTCGAGAGTTGGAAGACGAGGATGCAGAGGACCATGAAGATCCTAACTATAGCGATCCACCACTAGTTCAAGATTTTCCTGGCCCATCAAGTCAAAGTATTGCTTCATTATCCACGCGAAGGTCATGAACACTTTGTAGAGTTTGATAAAAGGAAACTCATTTGGAAAAAAGACAGTTTGTTGTATGACGAATGGAAAATAATTCACCGATCAAGCACAACAGACCCTGCTAGAACTGAACTCGACACACCATATAAATGTTTCTTGCACTACTTCACACCCCAGTTTCTTCAAAAAATTGTTGATGAAACCAACCTATATGCAGTACAAAAAAAACCTTCAATATCTTTTACTATTACTGTTGGGGAGTTAAAAAAATTCATAGGAATTCTTTTATTTATGTCAGTGGAGAATTTTCCAAGTGTACGATCATACTGGCATTCCAAGTTTGGGTACGAACCTGTAAAGAGCGTAATGCCGGTAAATCGGTTTGAGATGATTAGGAGCTACTTACATTTCAACGATAATAATAAACATCTTCCGCAAGACCAATCTGGTCACGATCGCCTTCATAAGATTCGGCCTGTAATAGAACAGCTAAATACGACATTTTCATCAGTTGCCATTGACCAACGACCTTCGATAGATGAGCAGATGTGTTCAACTAAAATTGCACATTTCCTAAAGCAATATTTACCTAAGAAGCCTCACAAGTGGGGTTATAAGCTATACGTTCTCTGTAGTCTTATGGGATATGCTTACAGATTTGAGGTCTATTCTGGACAAGAAGAAAAAAAAAGACAAACCAGCCGATGAGCCTGATCTTGGAATAACAAATAACGTCGTTATACGTTTGGCGAGAGTTATACCAAGGAATAACAATCATATTGTGTTCTTCGATAATTTTTATACGTCCCTGCCCTTAGTAAATTATTTAAACAAACAGGGTATACAATGTGTCGGAACTATTCAGCAAAACAGGCTGCCGAACTGTCGGCTCCCTGACAAAAAGGAACTAATGAAAACTTCTATTCCGAGAGGTACATATGAAGAACGCGTTTCCCATTCAGAAGGAGTAGACTTTTCGGCCACTGCATGGAAAGATAATAAAGTCGTCACTCTTTTATCGACTTACGTTGGTGCCGAGCCTGTTGGAAAAGTATCAAGATACGATAAGAAGGCTAAATAAAAAATTGACATCCCTTGTCCCAAAATTGTACAAGAGTACAATATGCATATGGGCGGGGTCGATCTAATGGATAGCTTTTTAGGACGCTATCAAATTCGAGTAAAGAGCCGGAAATGGTATTTACGCTTGTTTTATCACCTTCTGGACATCACAGTAATCAACTCATGGGTGCTTATGAAACAAAATCTAATTGCTAAAGGTGTCTCAAAAAAGCAACTGCCTAATCTTGGGGAGTTTCGTAATTGTTTGGCTGACACACTGTGTAATATAGGTAAATCTAGTGGTAGTAAAAGAGGACGTCCTAGTACTTCCTCTCTAGAACGCGAGCTTCATATAAAAAAACATAAAGGTCCGCAACATCCACTCCCGTCAAAAGATGTGCGCGTAGATGGATTCGAACATTTGCCTGTATTTGCCAACCGATTACGGTGCAAGATGCCCAATTGTAAGGGCACCACACAATGGACGTGTACCAAATGTAATGTACCGTTGTGTCTAAATCAGAGAAACAACTGTTTCAAAGATTTTCATACACTGCAATAAGACTAATTCGTAAATAATCGTATCATATAATAATACTTAGTTAACATTATTAAAAGTAACTGTAATGCATACTGATGCAGATCTACATCAGTAAGGTTTTTGTATATAAATATACTTTTTATAAAAAAAAATTTTTTCTTTATTTTTCCCATAATCTATGTTTAATTTTCTACCTGTTTCAATTTATGGTATTTAAAAAGGAAAAAAACATGCATTTTAAGGGTTAACATTAGGCAAGTATATAGCATAATGCATATTGAAAAACATAGTATAGTCTGCCGAATTCTATTATTGAGCTAGAAAGAGTCGAAAAATTTTGCTGCAACTGGTCTCTAATTCATCTGTGCCCTGTGGCTAAAATGTATTTAATGTAAACAACACTAATTTATGAAACAATTTAAAGTTACAAGTACTAGAAAAGTCATAAAAGATGGAAGAAGGTAATTCAATTATCTACGGATTAGAACACCAGGTGAGCCAACCCTTAGCTGGCTTAACACATGAACTCCACTATGTACATTATTTTGATCTCTTACTATACAATCCACCTTTTAATTTTTGTAGACAAGAGCGTTATCACCGCAATACGAAAGTGATGCCATCAGATTTCTGATTGGTACGCAGAGTTTAAAGCCGCAGACAAATCAGGTTCATGTAGTAGAGCTTGAGGAAGATACTGGAGCACTACACACTAAGGTAATAATTAAAGAAACAAGGTTTTTAGTTGATTTTAAAAGATACATTATTTTTATACTTAAGAAATGAAATATACCGTATTTGTATCTATTCTAAGGGCTGTTAAATTGACATGACCAATGCTTATTTTAAACTTGCTGTTATGTTTACAAAACACCATCAGGAATGTTTTAAAATTCAGTTGACTAAGTTCTAGTAGAAAGTAGCCAGTAATATATATTGTTTGCTAGGTGTATAAACATGATATTGGTGAAATCTGGCACTTGCGTTGCTCGCCTCATGATGCAGCAACCTTGATGACCACTCACAACTCTTACGATCCAGAAAACTCTCAATGCAGCATGGGGGTGTCAATCTATAAGCTACCAACTTTGGATGTAAGTACTGTCTTTACTCAAAACCAATCGTAAGAAAAAGGGTATATGTATAAAAACCAAATTTGGTAATACTGTGTATTTTACAGTGGTTTCCACTCTTAACCTACTATTGCATGGTTGGTTTGATGATCCTAGAAAGTTGCAAATTTTTCAGATTATAATTAGGATGCAGTTTGCATCTTTTTAATAAATTTTCAAAACTGTCTTTTAAATGTAGATTTTTTCAATAATGCAGGTAATACCAAGAGACATAGATGAACTCAGCGCAATGCAGAGTCAGAATGCAGAAGACATGGAACTACTCACTACTATTAATCCCGAGGTTATATCAGATTATTAAGCCACTAGTACTTAAATAATAATAATAAAGCTTATGGAAAGACTTTCCACTAGACCAGGTTCGGCAACACTCATTATGGTATTTCTAAAGCCCAAGTGTATGAACAATTAGAACTTCACCTAAACTTTACTCAATTATTATTAAAGTAATAATGGCAGCAGGTTTGTATCACATTATAATACGATGCTTACAGAAACCGGAAGAAGAGATCCGATGCTCTGAATGGCATCCAACGGACACTAATTGTGTCAGTATTGTCATGGATGGTAGCATATCGGTGCGTGATATCACTACTACCCAAGGTTATAATATCACACCAGAAGGCCGTACCAGACTCAAATTTACTGGTGGGAAATGGAGTCCACAGGCAGCACACCAGGTAAATTACTGGCTGAATGCAGAACTCTCATAATTGTCCTTACATATTTATTCATTCATTCTATAGTATTAATATTATTCCTTATAGTTTGCAGTACTGCAAGATACTCATGTAAAATGTTTTGATACTCGGGCAGACTGCAAACCAGTGTGGGGCATTGACAATGCCCATAGACAACTAGCTCGAGATCTAGACTTCAATCCAAATAGGTAATCAGTTTTAGTTAAAATAACATTAATATCTTTCGTTGTTGTGTTTTAAAAATTAATTAGTGATTTTGTATAAATATGCAAATTATTTTGTGCAGACAATTTCAGTTGGCGACAGCAGGTGATGATGCTGCACTCAACATATGGGACTACAGAAATCCAAAAGAACCCATTTTCAGTAGAACTGATCATTCACATTGGTAAGGCATGCATTATTATTTAAGCCTCAACTCGAAAATGTATGATGTGTAATGACAACACATTCAAATTCAAATTTCTAAAATAGCCACTATAAACTCTATTATACATAAGACCTAAACAGTTTTGGTAAATACTATTGGTTAATAGGGTATGGACAGTACGTTACAACACATACCATGAGCAATTACTTGTAACGGGCAGTTCCGATGGAAGAGCATTGCTTACTGCTGCTGCCAGTATCTGCGACACTGATGATGACAAGAAACTTAGTCAAGTGTGAGTTTTATGAGCCTATATTGTGTATATAAAATACATCTTATTTTTCTAGTTCTACAATACCTGAGAACCTAATAATAGTCTAACTTCAACCAGGCAACCTTCTCATTCTGTCTGTAAAAGCTGTACAGTGTGATAAGAAATATCTTTGAAAGTTTATTACTCTGGAACATGTGGTTGATATTCTTTTTAATGAATTTACTGTATTGACTAACATATTGTTTGCTCCTACAAATGTTGCAGTCTAGAAGATGGCGTTCTTCAGTCATATGAACAACATGAAGATTCAGTATATTGTGTGGAATGGAGTACTGCTGAGCCTTGGACCTTTGCCTCACTAAGTTATGATGCAAGATTAGTACTGTCACGGGTCCCACGACATTTTAAATATAAGATTTTACTATAGAGTATGTAATAAAAGAATATTATTAACTTTAAATAATTTTTTAAAACCTCTCTGCAACTCTTTTTGCTACATTCCTCAAATTGCCATATACTTTTGAAGGCGGAGAACCCATAATGAGATTACATATAGCTCTTCTAGCTAAAGCTATGTTTTGATAACTCCCAAGGATGTGTATTTTTGAATCTGCTAACACTATCCTGGTTTTGGTGACATTCTCTATGGTAAATTTGGTACGACCAGCCTTTCCTGCTAATCTGCCAATAGCTCTTCCCAAATGATCACCTTGTAATGTTTTTACATCCTTAATTTCAAATGTCTCCACAAATAAATCATCTAATCTCAGCAATGCTAAAGCATCATCAACTTCAAAACCACAAACAAAAGCCTGCAACAAACATATACCTTTTTACAAAATAATAACTCCTGAGTCTGAGTGAACAAAATTATATAAAGTTGGTACATTATTTCCATAATTAATGTTATTGTGAATACATTTTTTATAAGCAATCCCAATGCCTCTTACACCATATTAATTTAAACTGATTAGCTTAGAAATAAAATATATAATGTCACATAAATTTATCCATGTATCACAATTTTTTTCATTCTTGTAAATAACACAAATAATGTTGCTTAATCTAAGAGAATGAGATATATATGACATGACTGATCCAAAGGAAAACAATTTACTAAAAAATTTGCAATATTTATAGTGTAGTAACTGTGCTCAACACAATAATCTTTCCCAATCTTTATCTTTTGCATTATGCATCTCCACATTTCTCTGGACATAAGCTATTTCAACCTCTGATTATGAGAAAACTTAATGGCAACCATAGGTTCTTAGGACTTTACCATCTTCTTACTAATTCTCGGGAACACACCCCTATTAATGTCAGATGGTTGGTGGACTCAGTTTCCGTCAGAATAACTGCTCATGAAATGTACATGGTACTGCTTTTGCAAAAAATATATAGAGAGCAAGCAAGAGTTTACTGGGTTTGATTTTGTATCAAATATTTCAGGTCAATAATAATATGTGACTCTTATTTGTAAGCAGTATGAGTAGGAATAGAGTTTTTATGTGGTTGTTGTCATAATTTATACCTCTTATTTACTTATGCCTGTGACCTAGCTGATATTTATAGTCCTAGGCTAAGAATTTACTGAGTGCATGCTAAATTAGGTCAGACCAATTCACAAAATCTTCCATAAGTTGAGCTGAGATAAGCTGCGCTTATCATTTAATATATGTATATACACATTATGATAGTACAGTTCTTTTAGCGGACTGATGTGTTACATACCTTGACAAAATCAGCCGCTTTTTGTAAATTCGCTATATCCTTTGTTTCTGGTCCTATTTTGATTTCTACATTTCTTGTCTTAGTATTGAACCTCACTTGAAGCAACAAATGTTCAACTATTGGAGTAAATATTTTTAACCAATTTTCTTTTAATGGTGTGTATCTAAAAATAAACAGCAAAAGATTATAAAATTTTATACAATATACTTTATTAATTAAATATGTATTTATTTATGGTATAGTGTATATATATATTTTGAAATATAATAAACACCCATTGGCACTGCTGGTACAACTCTATAAGAGTTTTGGCAAGTAGGATTAGGTTTGAGATATTATGTTCATACGCCCGTTTTCTCGCGATGTTTCCTTCACCATGGAAGAAAGTTACACACACTTAGAAGAAAATATATTGGTGCACAGCCGTTATGGCAATGCAGGTTCTCCAAGTTGATAGTCGCGAGTCTAAGCCACTAGGCCAACACTGCTATAGTACAATTTAATAGACAATAATTTTTTTTAAGGTTATACCTGTGAGCAGGTACAGCTACTTTTCTCATATTAACTTTGCTCTCATTAGGTTCAGCACTTTTTTTAGGTCTTTTAGCTCTCGGACGCCTGTGTTGAGACTTGCCTTCGATGCCATTGTGCTGCTCAACTTCCATACCATCACCAGCCTCCGAAACGGCACATCGTTTCAATTTAATCGGATTTTTCGCAGGCAGAAACTCATCTACGTTGATATTTTCCACTTCCATTTTCGTAGGGGAATCTAATTATCAACGTTAAAAAATAAAAGTTTTATTAATTTGTTGTTATTTAATAAAGCCACATGGCTGTGTTAGCTGTAACTCTGTAAGTGTAAGTTAAACTTCAAAGAGATTGTCAGCAGTCAGTTGTCACATGAGATGATGAGAGTTGAGACGTCAATGTTATTACTTGTTGTCCTTAGACAGCGCAGAGCAATCTGTAATTTTTACGACGTATAAAATATGTCAATTATCAACATTCTTAAACATAGATTATACAATAGGTATAGACGGTATAGTCTTCCCAGTCTGTAGTGTTAATTGTTATGTCATACCTCTAAACTATAATATATAGTGAATTTTTATTATGAATTAATAGGTAAGTCTCTAAAAATATTGAAAATCAAGTTTTATTTTTAAAGATTTAATTTAAAAGATAGGTATGTCACTCTTTTTCAGGGTCGACAGTAAATATGGCGACTCTTATCCGCACTACATTTGTGAAAGTGGTAAGCCCTGCGCAGGGTAGCAAAATAGCAGGATGCACAATTATCCAAAAGCGAGATATTATGGGGAAAACCTTACGGGAGTCGCTTCCGCCCCGCCCGCCTAAACCAGCCCCCTTTGATTACGTCAATAAGGATTATACCTGGTTCCGAAGTTTGTTTGATAGGACTACCCATAGGTTGGATGAAAATTCCAAAGTTGTTATCGTAGAAGGACCAGTAGCAGCCGGTAAAACTCAGTTTGCATCCGCCCTGGCTGCTGACCTAGGCATGAAGCATTTTCCTGAAGCTAATATGGACATCCACTATATACAACAAGGAGTTGATCTACGCACGTTTAACGACCGTGTCCCTCCGGACACAAGAACATTCGACCACATCGATTTTAATAATTGCCCCAACCACCGCTTGGCTGGTAATTATCAGATTATGATGTACATGGCTAGGTTTAGCCAGTACATCGATGCATTGGCTCATCTATTAAACACTGGACAAGGAGTTGTGTTGGAAAGATCTCCATTTTCTGATTTTGTGTTCCTTGAAGCGATGTTCTCTCAGAAGTTTTTAAGCAAGGGAGTTAGGTCTATTTACTATGAGTTAAGAGGTCAAACAATTGAAGATTTGCTGCGTCCTCATCTAGTCATCTACCTTGACATCCCTGTTGACAAGGTTAGCTATAGAATATGTAATAAGTCACTTTTTGATTGATTAAAACTAAACTCTATGCAAAGTTGTAAATTAATCACAGGTACAGGAAGCCATCAAGAAGCGTGGACAAAAACATGAAGTATGTGGCAAAGCTCTGACACCTGCTTACTTGCAAGAAATTGAAAGGCAATATAAGAACAAATATCTTCGTGATATTTCTACCCATGCAGAGCTTTTAGTGTATGACTGGACTGGGGGTGGTGAGGTTGAAGTGGTGAGTTATATTTAAAATGTTCCTATACATGGATTTAGGAGTATTTGTTGCTAATGACTTTTGTAATACAAGTAGTCATATAAGTTGGAGAATGATGTTTTAAAATTATGATTATTTTTTGTTATTAGGTAGTCGAAGATATTGAACGTCTCGACTTTGATCAGTATGTCCACCGAGATGAGCCAAAAATGAAAGACTGGAGGCTGCCCCGCGAAGTGGAGTGGTCTGATCAGCGTATGATTTTCACTAACAACAAGCACATTTTCATGAACCTATTCAACATACCAAGAACTGATGTACCAGAATTGGTCACTAGTGCTGACGACATGCATGCCTATACTCAGGTACTCAGTCTGTGTGACAGATATCACAAGTTATTTTGGGATTAGTCATTTGAGGGACAGAAACAATGCTTACAACAATGGCTAAATTCTGTTCAATATTTTCAGGTGGTGTACGGTGACCCTAAAATAAGGTTCTTGGAAGGCTACAACGCTGAAGCTGGTGACACGGGCATTGCCATGAAGAATAAAATGCCCAAATATACAGAATACTTCTAAAACGGGATTATTTAGCCTATTTGTGAATATTTAATAAAATTAGTAACCAGTAACATGCTTTTTGTAGTCCCGTTCGCTGTACATTTTGCTAAAGATAATTTTAATTAAAGTAAAATAAGTGATCAAAAATTTAATTTATAAAGTTATTTATTAAAATTATACCCATCATTTTGCTGTAAATAGCACCTAACATCACAATATTTACAATATCAAAGTTTAATGTGCGTTTTCACATTTTAAGTTTACAAAAAGTAATAGAATTTGTAGATGACTTCGGAATGCATTTAGTATAAAAATTAAATTCACATAAAACATTGAATTGAAACCCTTTTTGAATATTTATGCTCAGCTGTAAATAAAACAGTTCATCAACTTAAACTACGTGATCGTAATTCAATATTTTTACAACAATTTTTAATGCTCTGTTAGACTTTCGGTAAAGGATTACGTATTTATAGTTGCGATTCAATATTGATGACAATATAAAAACATATAAAATTCACGTTAAAATTAGAAATAACAGAAATAAAAAATAAACAATGATTTACTATAAATCGAGTAAATAGGGCGAGTCCAAAGCCCCCAGACCCGCAGCCACGCCCCCTTCGTTGGCGTCCGCTAGTTTAGTCCGGAGCATGTGACCCACTTGGCGGTTGCTGTAGATCTTCTCTTTACTTCTGTGGATTTCGTTTCGTTTAAAACGAGTTGAAGACGCTCGTGCTCGCTCGCTAACGTAACGCTCGATAAATTCGTTAATGAATTAGAAATACAAACCCAATAATAACGCCAAAGATGCCGAGTTCGGAGACCAGGTCGCATAGAGACGGAGGGACGGCTGCGTTCGGACGCACGACGTATCCCGATATCTGCGACGAACACAAATCGATTAAATATAAATATTGCACTTGAAACAAATTAATCTAACCGTCGGCGTATGTTTTCCTACCAAGGGTGGCAATATCCTCTCCATGAGGATATAGGCCGCTCGTTCGCGACTGTGTCTCATCCTCAAAAGGGCCTCCTTCACATCGGCGCCGTACAAGTTGTTTCCGCCTCCTTCGCGTTGGGGTTTCAATACGAATCTGAAATATTAGAAATTCCAGTCAATCCGCCGAGATCGAACCCGTCGCAGGATGGAGCGGTCGAGACCTTTCCGCGTCGGCGATCGCCATTTCGACGGCCCTCTCGCCGCTGTCGTCGAAGTCCAGAGAGTAGAGTCCCGTGAAGATGTCTCGAACCCGGGACCTCAGCTCCCCTTCGGCCACGAACCTCTCGAGGGCTCCGGGAGCCGCCAGAGCCTGTTGCACCTTCTTGGTGCCCGCGAGTTGGTAGTGGATCGACGGACACTTGATGGCCCTGGAGACGTAGTCGAGCTTAGAGTCGGCCGGTTCAAACGCGAGCAGTCCTAAACGAACGAAAAGAAACTCACGACGATCTCTCGACCCTGAGCCTGGCGTCCCACTCCTTCTGCGAGGGGTACTGAGCCGGTTCGTAGCCGGACCTGTAGTACACCACTGCCACGGGCCGACCCTCTCTGTGAACGGAGACTCCTCGTCAGACGAGCTCTCGAGCAATCCTCGACTTCACTCACCGAGTACCTCGACTGACTACTTACATGACCAGCTGTTTCTTGTCGTTCAACTCGGCCTCTTCGTAGATTTCGTTTAACGTCTTCCTGTAGATCTGGAAATAGGAAAGTTATTTACGGTGAAGCGCACGGCTCTAAGATTTTGATTCTAATTGTTTTTCAAGTATTTGAAGTAACTTATGTAGTCGGAACGATAGTAGGCAACTGATAACTTATCTCCATTTTTTTAAAATTGGTACAACAATAGTAGTAGTCGGTATTTGACTGTGACTGTGAAGCAGTGGGATGGTTGAAAGTAGATAGCTGTTTCATCACTATCGCCATATTCTCGGTAGTTTCAATGTTTCTAACGTCATTTCTGCAGTTCTTAACGAGACTAAATTACCATAATATCGGGCCGTTTCTCGGATATCTCAAACTCGTGGAACCGCTGATCACAAATATTGTAGGAGACTTCTTCGACCACAAAGAGCACCACTGCGGAGGGAACACCGAACATGTCGTAGGCCTCGATTATACCCGAGCACAAACCTGATAGGGCTCTGTTTTCTGGCATCTGAAAGTCCAAATTCTCAATTTAAAAAATTTATAAGTGTGCTCGGTGAAAAAATCTAATATAAATAACTGAATTGTTGCGTGATTCTATTCAATTCGAAAGATTTACCAAAAACTATTGTGATTGAGAAGTCCAGGGCTCCAGTCAGTTTAAAAATGAGACTAATTAAAAAGCATACTCACGTTTTTGATAAGTTCCCCATGTCCCAACTGCCTCAAGATATAACTGAAACGCAAAAATTTAACTTAGTAACATCATACACAAAAAATGAGGTAGTCATTGAAAACTAGTGTTTATTTGAAACCTTCTGAGAAAAATAACACACGCCTTCTGAAGTTAATTCTGCTTTCTTAAAGATTTAAACAAAAACATATCAAAACTTGAAAGTTTTATTTTTTTATTATGTTTATAGAAAACCAATAAAAAGGTCTAAAAAAGGCATAAAATAATATTTAATATTAGTATTGTATTGGCTTTCCGAGGAAACAATAAGCCTAGATAGGGTTAAAGGCTGATAGGTAACTTCTAGATAATGCTATTGTTAATAGAGAAACAGTTATACCTAACCTTTAGTTAAGGCTTTGGAATTATTATAAAAACATAAAAATGAACAAACTTACAACAAGAAACACAATATAAAATGGGCTACAGATAACAGACAAAAAGATACAAGCTACCAAAACGTTAATTCACTTAAAACTATTGCTAATGATAATATTTTACATAGTTTACTACAAAATATATTCGGTATCTATCACAAGACTACACATAACATACACATGCTTATATTCAGATATTTTATGTTTGAGTACAGATGTGTGTGTGTGTTGTAAAATAAATGCATAACATAATATTTGAGGTAACTTAACATTCAAATTTAACTGTATCTTATATGGAAGTCATTCCGAACGATCCGTATAAGTGTTGTTTAAATTTATGTTTGATCTATTCTGCTTTGCGAACCCGCTTCGCATTCAAAGCATTTGAAAGATGTGCATCTAACCCGTCCTGTGCAAACCGTATCGATTAAAACAAGCGATGGCACCATAAACAATATTATTTTCTTATCGACAATGCAGGCGTGGTCAGGGAACATCTCTCAAGTTACTTCGGAAGCCAAAAATCATGCACGCCGGTCGTTAATACACGCCAACTATTCTCAAATATAATAAATACTATTATTTATTGCAAAACAAAAATAAAACAAACATACACAAAATAGACATGCTGATAGACTATAATAGACTGAAATGCATAGAAAATAAAGTGTAAAGGCGACGAGCTAAGTGAAAAAAATATGAATGACAGCGTGCATAGATAAGATAGAGCAAACACATGAGAGATGTTAACTGAACGTACAGTTACTTTAATGGGCGTAGATCTCGGATGAATAGTAGAGCATTCGCAAATACAATACTTTTCAGCTGTGTATCGCAGTCTCCATAAAACGTACCAACGTATTGCTAATGTACTCTTGACGCCGAGAGTCCATATCACCATTTAGCTTAGCACTTTGCGAATCAAGTTTTTTATTCCTTAAAAGATCGAAGCCCATTAAGTAACGTCAAACAAAGTCGATACCGAAACATGGTGGGGAGATAAGAGGTGATGGCGCCGAAACTCGCTGCCACCGTGTTAAACTCCACTTGTTTTATTCGATTGCTGTCTGGTTGCTGCATCAGATAGTCGGAGCGAAATAGACCCAGGCTGAGAGACTGAAAACATTTTATTCCAATAGTTATTTTCCTTTGTATTCATTATCATAGGCAAATATTATTATATATTCTTCCTTCCTATTAATATGGTACCTACATTGTACAACCTGTATTGTTATTTTATAGATATTTATCCAAGTGCTGTGATCTACAACGCTGATTAATATTATTATTATATAATTTATTGCTAATAATACTAGATGATATCCCGTAACCAGCTCCGAAACCTTACTACAAAAATAAAGCCTTAAGTGAGTTAAGCCTGAATACTCTTTCGAAAATCAAAATAACTGTCACTATGTAATGTGTGTACAGTTGTATCTTCCTTATCACGATAAGTTGTTTATAATCAGCAACGTATGATGACGTAGCATTTTGCTATTTAATAACTGATGAGACATCATTATTGGATTCCCAAAAATCATTTCCATTCAGTTTACGTCACTCTTTAAACTAATGACATGGCATGTTTAATGTCTTTCCATACTGTATTCGAAATAGAAAAAAACGTGTTGATAACGCAAAGTAAATACGCCAAGATTAATTTATTTTCCGTTTCTTGTTGACCGTGATGTTCCAACAGTCTCGTACGTAGGAAACAATGCGACAAATGTTATTAAATCGTGTCTTTTCTTCTGTTAACATTTGCAAGTTGCTTCTGAGTTAGCGAACGTTTCGAAACTTTTTAACACATTTCACAAAATTCCAAAGTTCCTCACTTCACAGTCTCTGAGGTTACGAGCACAGAAGGTGGTCTTTTTAATCCGACAAAAATGTTGTTTATAATTCATCTATGTATAATATACATATATATCGGTTTTATATAAATATATTGTATCTACGTGAAGGTAATTAATTGCAAGACAATGCAGTCTCGATATGTACAAAAATGCAAAAGTTAGTATGTTAATCGCCAACATTCATCTATCTACGATATCTTGTAAAGCCCACATTGTCCGTTCGTTATGCCAAAATGCCTAAAACGATAACAGTTTATTATAAAACTATTATCTTCACTAAACAACATTTAAGAACGTAATTCGTCAGACAAAACAATAGCAATATATAATGACATATATAATTTACGACAAATATAAATAATAATAACCATTGCATAAACCGATTAAATATGAATTTACAACTGACTTAATAATAACTTGTTAAATATTTATCCATCTTTGTCGAATCAATCAGCGTTCATTTGCGGGGACAAAACCGGACACGATCTATAATATGTACGTATTAATACTTAAAATAACAAAAAGTAGATTATTGACCTTACACCGCTACTCAAGCCATTTCCACACTTTTATAAACTTAAAGGTGATAAATTATATTATTGTCAAAATAAAACTACATTTCTACATAACCATACACCAGAAATCGTCATCATAATCTCGTATGATTTAGTATATTTTTGGCACAACGATACAGCAATATCCGTGGGCTACCTTTGTATCTCCCTGGAGACGGGTCCCAGGTGACCGAAACCGGATGCGATACTGTTGATTTCCACCTGCTTCCAGGAACAGTATGGAGTGTGCTTGGCACACTGGTTCTCAGTGTGGGGACAACGCGACTCCAGCATGATGTCAGATCGCAGCATCCCTAATGATATTGGCTAACACACATACATCTTGGTTGTTCTATAAGTTATCTAACCTTAATACTAATAAAGCCCTAACAACAGAATCTTTAATTTTAAAACAAACTTCAACAAGTTCTCCAATAAAAAAATCATGAACGCACTTTTTAAAATATCATGTACGTATATTTACCTGTGTTATTCCTTCTTCGCGAACTTTTATCCAAATGTTATATAACTTGGCCGTAAAGTCGTCGACTTCAAGAGCATTTTGAAGAGTTTTTTCGAGAAATTCATCATCATGGGAAACCTAAAATAATATCTTTAATATACATTGCTATTTTTCTGTTAAAATGTAATTGTAATAGGCATTTTTGTTTGTTACCCACCCTGCATGACAACGAGGCAGCAGACAGCTGCTCTTACGCAATAAAGAAACATTATCAATGCAACAAACAAACAAAAAATTTAAAGATATTAACAAAGAAAGTTCAGTGGGTTACAAATATTAGGTTTTTTGCACATTCAAGAATCGATAGTAACCATTGTGCAAAATGTGGTTTCACTATGATATTGCACAAAGCCATTGCATTATGTCTCTCAATCGTATTTCATTGACATAATCTCTCGTTATACTAATAAATGGGTCATAAATTGACCTGCACTTTAAAAAAAATGAAGTAAAGATAATTAATAATTTTTTGTTGTTGTTAATATCTTAAAAAGAATTCAAAAATATTTTGCAAATCCAGTCCTTTTAAGACTCTTTCAGACAAGAACATAAAACAAGTTACCTTATGCATTAGTTCATTCAAGACTGGTTGCAAGTCCACCGCTTTTGTGAACTCTGTTCTAGGAAAAGGTGATGGCAGTAACACAAAAGGAGCAATCTAGAACAACCAATGAATAACTTTATCAATAAAAACATTCTCGAAATAGAAATAAATAAAATTAAGAATGTACATTACATCTTAAATCCCAGTTCTGCTTTAGGTCATTACTAACATCAATATTCATTTTGTAGTCTAACAATATAGGAAAGTAAGTGAGTTTGTATTAACCACAATTTTCATATACATATTTTTGATGATTCTTATATTTTTGTTATTATTTAAGTGTAGGCATTTAATTCTTTGATTTCAGGCAAAATCAAACAAATTGCAATTACAACATCTAAAATGTAAATTTATGTTACAAAAATTAATCTCTCAAGTACTGCAACTTTCAATAGTTCATGTAAATAATATGGTTTAATTTATTGAATAAAAAAGATTTCTTTTAAATTGGTATTATAACAGGTAAAACATACTGTGGGAAACTTACACATACAGACTTCTCTATCTACATATTAATAATATTTAGATAGAAGTCTAAATTATATAATATTGTTCAGTTGTAGAAATCTAAAATAATTTTTCACTCATTTGGAGCATGCATATTGCTAGCAGAGAGATGCTTCAATATAGACTTTATCTTCCTAGACGTATGTGGTCGGGTAGTGTTCAAATACCTTACTGTATATGATCATCGCACTAAACATAATTTTTTGGTATAATTAAAAATTTTAAAATGATTTACCTGGATGGTATCCTTTGAGAAATGTGCTTTGTCTCTCATCCCCACACCATGCATCAGTGCCCAATCTTTTGCTTTTTCTACTACATTTGAAAGTACTTTGTTGTCTAGTGGAAGCGGTATACAAGAAGCAAGACGTGATTGACTCATATTGTAGTTTTGACTCTAGGCACAAGATATATATTTAAGAAATTGTGGCTTGATATAATATATCAGTCACTTAAACGCTCAATAAATGATAAGCACGAACAGCACAGGGTGATCGTTAACAAATGATAGCAGACGCGACCGCAACGCAATTAATAATCAATTTTGTTTAAGTGTGAAGATTGTAACAAGTCGAGTTCCGAGACAATTAACTTTATGAATTCATATTTCACAACACCTACAAAATTTCAACAACAAATTTTTCAAAACTTTGAATGTAATATAATAATCTGTCAGATCGTGAATTACAGCTGTCAAAGTGTTAACGTTAAAAGCTTTCGTGACACTTTATGAAATCTGTTTGTTGTGTTATCGGGATATCTGTGTATAGGAGAATTAGGGAAAGCGAAATTGAGAGACATGACTTTGTGCGAAATATGACTTATTATATAAATCCAGTACATTTTTGACGGGCGGGATTCAGACGTCTAACACTAAGTTTTTTTTTATAATGAATAATCATACCCTAAAATTCAAAACTCGCGCAGAATGTTGTTGTTTGAAGTTTTATGTAGTCTGTGACATCAATCAAATTTGAAATTTCAATTTCCCAATTCCCACTTGCGAACGGTGAAGGGCGAACTATTTGTCTATATCTCAGTATTTTTAAAAGTTATTGTTATTTGATATAAAACATTTTAACGGCCAAGCAGTTGAATTTATTGTCATATAATGGAAGTTACTGATGAAAACCTCGCCACATTAGCTAATTACTTACAACAAACACTGAATCCGGACCCGAACATTCGAAGGCCGGGTATGTGTACTTAACTTCTTTATCCATTAAAACAATCATTATTCAACACATTTATTAATGCATAAATGTATTTCTTTTGTATTATTGAATATAACTCGTAAAATTATATATAAACACTTTTCTAACCTAAACCGAAAGGTTTACTTATCACTCGTTATATTGTAACATGTGAAATTTAATATTACTTTAAAAAATAGTTAGAATATTACTCGTCGCTTTTTTATGTAAATATTAATTTTATGTTCTTTTCAGCTGAAAAATTCTTAGAGAGTGTTGAAATTAACCAAAACTATGCTATACTATTATTACACCTCATTGACAAAGAATCTGCAGATCTTACAATTCGAATTGCTGCAGCTATTACATTCAAAAATTACATTAAGAGAAATTGGCCTGTGGTAAGAAATTAATAAATATACATCTCCAGTACTCACATGCTCCCTCTTTCATCTTGACCAGTTATAATGTAATCAAATGTAATTTCATATTACATTCTCTGAGTTAAGTAGATATTTTCAGATAGTTGGTAAATTTTTAAGAATATATTTTAACTTTGCTCTATCTAGCTATAATTAGAATCATATATAAATTTAAGGAGGAATTTGGGCAGGATCGCATACATGCAGCTGACAGGGAAACCATCAAAACTCTCATAGTATCTCTAATGTTAAAATCACCTGAGTCTATTCAGAGACAATTTAGTGATGCTGTATCCATTATTGGCAAGACTGACTTCCCTGAGAGATGGCCCGGTCTTATATCAGAAATGGTTGAAAAGTTCGCTACAGGTATAATTTCTTTCTTATGTGTAATTAATATTTTAGCATTAAATCCTCATTTACAAAAACTGCTTTTACAGGTGATTTTCATGTTATAAATGGAATATTAAGAACAGCTCATTCACTGTTCAAACGCTACAGATATGAATTTAAATCACAAAAGCTTTGGGAAGAAATAAAGCATGTCCTGGAAAACTTTGCTAAACCATTGACTGACTTATTTGTTGTAAGTTTTTGTGTTAGCCTTAATTTTGTAAAATAATGTCCTATGTTATATCTGTCTAAATAAATAAACTTGACTAAAATCTTAAGTAATTTAATCAAGTTTTAAATGACTTTACTATGAATTCAATGAAAGCTAAAAAGTTCCTTCTGTTAGATGTTAACTAATATGTAATTGTTAAGAAATCTTAAATCATGTTTTTACTAATAATTGTCATTTAACTATGAAGTTGCTACTGAAGGTTCTTAAAGAAATTGCATATTTTAGATCATTGCTAAAATTATATAGCAATGATCTAAAATATTCCATATTAATGTTATAATGTATGTGGTTCTGGAAAGATATTTTATGGATGATACATATTCAATCAATCAATGAAGGGCAGCTGGCTTCACATACAGGTGATAGAAAAATTCTTTAAGAAACTCTCAGTTGTTTCTACAACTCCAAATTCGAAGGATGTCGAGATGATATGGGTGGAATTTCATATTCTGCCACAATGTCACATGAAACTCAGATTGAGGTATTAATCTGAACACTCCTCAACACTCCTCTGAACACTCTTTGCATAGTAAATTCGATAAAATATGGAGAGAGACCCAAATTATACGTAACTTCAAGAGATGAAGCCGCTCGGACAGTAACTGGTCGTCGACGTTCCGAAACGCTCTTCGTTAAATACAGTCAAGTGGTGTGTGAGAGAGTGAGAACAATACTCCATGTGGCGCCGCATTTGGGCTTTATATAGTTGCAAACGATAGCCCGCAGTGAAGTACAGTCTCGCGTGGCTGAGCACACTAAAGCCGGGTTTCCACCGCGAAAGGGTAATGAGCGAGAAATGGTTAGGCGGGACGGACGCCTTTTAAATGAAATAGGTTTACATTTCCACCAACAAAGAGATTTGTCTTTTGATTTCCACTGCAAAAGGAAAATGAGAGAGAGGAATCAGCGGAGCGAGCTGAACGGAAAATGAGAAATGGAAAATGAACAATCAGTTTACACAGAGAGCGAGTTCAGTTGGAGTTTTGAACTCTCCAAAAAGAAATCAATGGCATCTTTTTCTTTTTGTGCATTCGTCATTGTGCGTCTTAAATATCTATCTTCTTGTCTTTTTTGGTGATTATGCTCCAATTCTTTCAATAATTCTATGAAATCACCTTCTGCATTCCGTTTTCTTGTCTCAGCTCTACCTTCCTGAGGTGCACCAGCCTCCGCATTATTTATTGTATCGTTTCTTGAAAATACTGATACTTCGGAACTATTAGCATCTTCATCATCTTGCACTTCAGAGGTTTCAGGGGTTGCCGATGATTGTGTATTTGTAGAATTTAAATTGGTAGACCTACTACGATTTTTCAAATATGGAAGTAAAAATTACATCAACTCCGCATACCTCCAAGTATTGATGTTTGTAGCTGCTTGCCCAGATGGAAACAGCGAGCGAGTCCGTTTCAAACTAGTCGGCGAGACCTTGCCACAGCGGACTCTTTTCAATCACTTTTTACTCGTTCGATCCGCCCCGCTCAGCACTTTCTGTGTGGAAACGCTACTATGTAATTTGTCACTGCGAGTTGAACGGACTCCGTAATTACTCCGCTCCGCTACCTAGAACTGAGCGTGTTCCTTTCCACTCTTTCTGCTCGCTCAGTCCTTTCCGCCCGACTATTTGTTGGTGGGAATACAAGTATGCAGTTTACTCTTGCGAGTTAGACCGAGTCCTTAATGGGTCCGTTCCGCTCGCGGTGGAAACCCGGCTTAAGGTTCTTCGAGGCCTAACTTAGCTTCTTTTTCCAAATGACCACAAAACTGAACGATGCTATAAAGCTTCAGTTTCAAGGCAAAACCTGTCGTCTTATGCTTAAATTGAACTAGATTGAGTCGACCTTAGGCCGAGACTCCACGTAACAGATCTGCGACCTCAGACACAAGTTTCTTCCGCTACAAATCGACAACATCGATCGAAAGACAGCCTTGTTGAACGCTGGGGCGTTCACGGATTTGAAGTCAGAATATGCTTCGTCAATGACGACCTTGATGCTTAGATCGGCCAGAAAGCTGGAGATACAGTTGCGTAATTTCTTGGAGAGCCTTAAAGGGTGGAAGCTTCGAGAGAAGCCCTTTATGCCACACCCTATCGATGGCTTTCGCTATATTCAAACTAACTGCTAGCGCCTCCCCTTGGACTCAATTGCCGTAGGGATCGAGCGATCTTATAGCAGTTTTGGACAGTGTCGAGCGAGTACAGCTACCGGATACGGCGCGTTAGGACCGGAGCCAACTCTGGAGCATCTGACTAAAAGCCCATGGGTCTCTTAAGGGTACTCTAAGGTAGGACGCAAAGAAAGAGAAAGTGCGGCTGTGGAGGGAGGGGGAGAGAATGGATGTGAGGTCAGCAGATGGTCCTATAAAAATGGTTTGTGACCTGAATCTGGTATTCGCGTAATTTTAATTTCACTCCAGGTCATATGAAACATATTACATTGTGTATTACAGAGAGATTTTTTTATTTTAAATTTGCATATTTACAAAATCACAATTTTCTCTGAAACAATTTCAGGCTACCATAGATCTTACAGCAAAACATGCAGATAATCCTCAAGCACTGAAGATAATATACAACTCCCTAGTGCTTATATGCAAGGTTTTCTACTCCCTCAATTACCAAGATCTGCCAGAGTTCTTCGAGGATAATATGCCAATATGGATGCCCAATTTGCTGAATTTGCTACAAGTCAAGGTCCCGTGCCTAGAAACTAATGTAAGTATGGAGTTTTGTATCTCTTAACTAAACTAAAACAGCAAGACTACAGTAGGGAAATGGCTCAGTACAAATTATTGCTTGTCTCATGCTTTGCGTAACCAACCATGTTTTTTTTTAACTCTGTGTGCAAAGTAATGATATTACCATGTAAGAGTGTCATGCCTCGGGGCAGCTTGCCAGCTGGTGGATTTAATCACCATTTATATATCACTTGTTTTCTTTCTTATACAAAGTAAGAGGCACCCAGCACTGCTTTTATTCAGATACTGTTGTCTTCAATCTTAAAATGATTTCCTGCCAGGATGATGACGATAAGCCTGGGGTAATGGAAGAACTACGCACTGAGGTGTGCGAATGTGCAGCTTTGTATGCACTGAAATATGAAGAGGAATTCAGTCCCTACGCCCCAGGGTTCGTTACGGCCGTTTGGAATGTGCTGCTGTCCACCAGCACACAGCCTAAATATGATGGTGTAAGTGTTTTGTTGCTCTTATTATTATTTTTCAATGAGCAATGCGATTCACATCTTTTAAATTCCAGTTAGTTTCAAACGCTTTAACATTCCTTGCGAAAGTTGCGGAGAAGAACAGCTATAAAAGTCTATTTGAAGACCCGGCAACACTCAGCAGCATCTGTGAAAAGGTTGTCATACCCAACATGGAGTTCAGAGGTTCGTAGCGATGAGTCCTTCGGTGTTTCCTCGCAGACCGTCCACCGACCGCTATGACTTCTGAATATTTGACATTTCAGAGTCGGATATGGAGTTGTTCGAAGACAACCCCGAGGAGTACGTGAGGCGAGACATCGAGGGCTCCGACGTGGACACGAGGCGTCGCGCCGCCTGCGACCTCGTCAGGACTTTGGCGGTGCACTACGAGCAGAAGATCATGGCCACGTTCGGTCAATACGTCGAGGTAGCGGACGCGAGACGCGAGCTCTCGTCGTTCCACGAAAGGACGAGAACCGCTAACGCGAAGGGTGTTCGCTCGACAGGTGATGCTGAAGAAGTACGAAGACAGCGGCAGGACGGCGTGGCGCGGCAAGGACACGGCTCTGTTCTTGGTGACGTCGCTGGCGTCTCGCGGGAGCACTCAAGCCGCCGGGGTCACGCGCGCCTCGCCCCTCGTCGACCTAGCTCAGTTTGCGCAAGCGCACGTTCTACCCGAGCTGGACAAGCCCGACGGTGAGTTTCGTCGCCTTCGCCTCGAAGCGTACATCGTTACCGTTAAATGAACGGGGCCTCAATTTGTCTCCAGTGAACGACGTGCCGGTGCTGAAGGCCGACGCCCTCAAGTACATCATGACGTTCCGCTCGCTTCTGCCCAACGATCTCCTCGTCACCGCTTTCCCGCTTCTGGTGAGCGTCAGGGCAATTTTACACTTTATACTCCTAAACGGCAAAGTGTAACGGCACGTATGACGCGGACAGGTCCGACACATCAACGGGCGCGGCGTCGTCTGTACGTACGGCGCTTGCGCAGTAGAGAAGGTGATAGCGGGAGGGATGGTGCCCCGTCAGGTCATCGAACCGCACGCCCCCGCCTTGCTGGCGGCCCTCTTCAACGCTCTCGGAAACGCCGCTGACCCCACGGAGCATAACGAATACGTCATGAAAGGTGCGCTTTTGATTCTTTTCGGCTCGATCTTTTATGCTCGCGGCTTCCAATGAATGAAAATGATTTTCAGCTATACTCCGTACCCTTTCGTGTCTACGCGAGTCGGCGCTGAGTTACCTGGGCGAAGCCCTCCCCAAACTGGCCAGTCTGCTGGCGGTGGTCACCAAGAACCCTTGCAAGCCCCACTTCAACCACTACTTGTTCGAGACTCTGTCTCTGTCCGTTTCGTAAGTATTGCATACTATTGTCGGTAGGAAAACTCCGACCGCACTTTGTATTAATCGAGTCGTGCCTCGAATGACGAGTGACTGTGACCAGGCTGGTGGTGAAGGCGAACCCCGAGGCGATCGCGGCCTTCGAGGACGCCCTCTTCCCGATCTTCCAAGAGGTGCTGCAGAACGACGTGCAAGGTGAGCGACGCGACGATCGCGACGCGAGTTCGACGTGTCACTAGAGCTGTATGATTTTAAACGCTTCGCAGAATTCATGCCGTACGTGTTCCAAATGCTGTCGCTGCTGCTGGAGCTGCGGGGGGAGCGAGGGGCCGGCGGGGACGGGGAGGCGTACGGGGCCCTCTTGCCGTGCCTGGTCGCGCCTCCTCTCTGGGAGCGCGCGGCCAACGTTCGGCCCCTGGTGAGACTGCTCTGCGCCTTCATCGCCACCAGGGAAAACCTGGTCAGGACGTCCGGGAAACTGGTGAGGCGACTGGATTTCACCTTCGCTTAAGGTTTGGTTTCCCTTATTCGTGAATTAAAACAAAAAAACGACTCCTTTCAGCCGGCGATGCTGGGAGTTTTCCAAAAGCTGATCGCCTCGAAGACCAACGACCACGAAGGGTTCTATTTGGTGCAGACGATGCTCTACAAATTTGGAACGTGAGTCCTTCGCCATCCTTCGGCGCCTCGCGACGAGTTAAATGCGATTCAAGCTTCTTTTCTCCTTCCTCGCAGCACCGACATGCAGCAATACACGAAGCAGATAATGACTCTGCTGTTCCAAAGGCTCTCCTCTTCGAAGACGACGAAGTACGTTCGGGGTCTGATCGCCTTTTTGGGATTCTTCGCGGCGCATTTCGGCGCCGACCCGCTCGTCGACGTCATCGACTCCATCCAGGCGAAGTGAGTGCGTCAGAGTAGAAGAGAGTGAGGGCCGAGAGCGGAGCGACGAGAATGATTCGCGGGCTATCTCTCCGTTGCAGCATGTTCGCGATGTACGTGGAGCGAGTGCTGATTCCGGATCTACAGAAGGTGAGCGGGGCCCTGGAGCGGAAGGCGGCGGCGGTGGGCTGCGTCAAGCTGCTCTGCGACAGCGCTCAGTTCGTCAGAGGGCCTCTCGCGCACCTCTGGCCGGGCCTCCTGCAGGTGACGCCTCTCTTCGAGTCTGCCGTCCTCTCGTTCCTTCTGCGAAATCTGATTTACGACTCGATTTGTTCCAGGCCCTGATATCTCTGTTCGAGCTGCCCGTGGACGAGACTTCTCTGCCGGACGACCACTTCGTCGAGGTGGACGACGCTCCGGGCTATCAAGCGCAGTACGCGCAGCTGGCCTGCGCACGCGCGAACAGCGCCGACCCCTTGGCCAGTGAGTCGATCCGTCGATCGGCGGTGAAGGTTGTTGATTTTTGAACTTAGGCTACAAATAATAATTTTCTCGAACTCCGTTCCGTAGGTATAGAAGATCCGAAGAAGTACCTAGTGGAGAATCTGTCGCTCCTGTCGCAGTCTAACCCCGGATTGCTTCCCCCGAGAATCGCAGCCATGGATGAGCCCCACAGAAACGCCCTGCAGATGTACTTAGCCGGATCCAGTGTGCAAATTTGCTAACGAGTCCGTGAAATAGATTTTTTATTTTCGAGTGAAAATAATCCAAGGATATACGAATTCGTGATTCGTATGTTGGAAATTGTTTGTTTGATAAATTTAATGAATCTACTAATAATTATTTAGTTGTTTATATTTTTTCCAAATTAGAAAAATCTGAATGTGATTCTGAAAATGTAAATTGAACGGCTGTTGATATGAACGAAATGAATGGCTGTTTGAATAATGTGCTCTGCGCGTTTGTTCCTTTTCTGTTTTATTGTTAAAAGAAAGGTCATATTATGTACCCTAGTTTGTATTAAATACGTGTAAATTTAAACTTTCTATTAGCAATAATAACTATTGTTAAGTTAGTTTGTAATCGATGGCAATGTTGTGCCGTTAATGTATAATACTAAATACTGAATAAAAGTTTTATACCATTTAAGTATAGTATTTTCAATTAAATGTATATTTGATTAAATGGTAAGGATTTAAATATATTTTTTTAAATCTTACCATTGCATGGAAAATTTGTTTATTACTGATATTATTTTAAAACATTTGGAAACAAATTATAATACAACTTACTTTTTATGACATTCTTTATATTAAAAATCATTACATAAATCACATAAATAAGTGCTTTTTTAAAACCAGTTAATTGGTTGTGGACGTGTGGTACGTGTAATATTATTCTGCTTGATATCGATAGGGAAGTAGTAACTTCGGACTTTAGTTGTAATTTCTTCAATTAATAATCCGACCGACCGAAACATTTTTCTCTTATTTTTTTCATGAGACTCTGATCGCGGCTCAATTTCCATTGAGAGCGATCCAACTCCTCGAAGTCAGGTTGAGACTCAAATATGTCGCCTGATAGTTGTTTTGGCTTCTCCGGTTTACGTTTCAAACAGTCGTCGATCTGTATATTTTGAGAACATGGGCGGGAATTGTCATATGCTCTCTGAAACGGAGGTGGAGGTGCAAAATATGAAAAAAATGGACTCGACTGCTTTGACTCTTTGTTCTCGTTGTTACGTCTCAACTCCATACATGAAAAAGTGCAATCGGCGTCAACTACTTCCTCTCGAATATAGGAAGTTATATGAGTGTTTATAGAAGTAGGACGCCTTGAAAAATGTTCTTGTTTATCGAATATGTACTGCGATTTCTTTACAGTCGTTATGAAATCATAAAATCGTTCGATGTTCTCCGCGCATTTGTAACAAATAGTATTTTGTCTGTCTGTTTTCTCTATAACAATTTTTAGACACACCAATATCTTGTCAATCATATTTGTATTTGTGCAATAAGTACCGAATAAAGAAACGTTGAATTCAGACACTGATAAACATATTCGGCAAGACTGCGAAGATATAGCCATTGTTATTACTAAATTCACAAAGTATTGAATAATTTATTAAAGTAATTGGTTAGTTCTATGAAATGAAGCCGCGGTAAAGTTTCCCGCCAAATAATAGCTCCATAGACACAACAATAATTAGAAAAAAAAGAGGGCGGTATACATCATTGAAACATTCGTAGATTAAAAATACTAGGTTTGCCTTTTTATTATGGAAATAGTTTAAAATTTATGCCAGTTTCAACTTTCAAGTAAAAGGTAGGGATACTACACGCGAGAAAAAATAAACAAAGACTTCAAAAGGACTTCTTATGAAAGAAGATAATACATTATAATACAATAAAGGATAAGGCAAAAGGCAGATTTTAGTCGGAAACGGAACATGTAGTAGGTATAGGCAGTGGCACGTAAGTCTAGCGCTGGCCGATACGTGGAGGGGATTGCTGCGCATGTGTACTGTCGCGCGGGGGACGGAATGCGACTGGAGAGCCAATCGTGAATCGACGCTACGCGCGCCCGCTCTTCATTCCGCTAGCCCCCCTCAGGTACCTTATTTTTTACTTCTGCGCAATAACGGTCAGCGCTAGAGTTTCGTGCCGCTACTTGTAATTGTAAGGAACTGAGAAAGGAGGTGGGGTCATATTGGGAACAAAAAAAGAAAATATGGTCGAGGTCACCAATATCTCCTCCATAGGGGCCTCATAGCCTAGCGGTTTTATTAAGTGGCAGCTAGGTGAGGGGTACCGGGTTCGATTCCCGGTTCGAGGCAAGTTTTAATTTAATTTAAAAATTTGTTTCGTGGCCTTTGGGAGGGTTGTGCGGCACCGGGTGAGTGCTTAAACCGTACATGGAGGACACGGTCGAATTACTAATGGCAAGCACGAATTATAAAAAAATCTTATACTTGACGCTGGCTAATGCACAAACCGTGTCAGAGCCATATAAAAAAAATATCTTCTCCACACTTACAAATATTACTATCAATAATACGAAGCGTTGCTAAATGATGAGGTGTGCATACATGTCCTAAAGGCATTCTGGAAATGATAGAAGTGACAACTTTAAATATATCCCACAGTGACTTGGAATCCATCCAATGATAATGGAGTAATTTCTTAGAGATATCATATCAAAAGCTTATCACGTATTTTGCAAATAATAGGATAACAAAGTTTCATTTGGAAATTAAATTTTTCAATAGTTTGTACTTGTTGATCCAAATGGTGCACCCATTTGGGTCTGAAAATATGATTGTTCGGGGTTTCCCTGATTCTTGACAGGAATCTTGTCCTCTTGTCAAAATGGCGTCAAATTTCAATTTTTTTTATTCAAACATTAACGGTAGTCGTTGGACAGAAGGAAATTCGTCCTTGTAAATAAAAGCAAAATATCCAATGAATATATTTAATTGTATCACTACAAACAAACACTAAACAAGTTAAATCAATCGAAATCAATGAATATGTCTATGTAACAGTTAATTATAGTAAATTTGCAAAAAAATCTGAAAAGGTTTAATAATAAAATGCAAAACGATTATATAATTGTCCAAATACATAAGGGCCACTCATATAATACAACCGTGTGAAATATATCTATCTCATTCCTTGTATTTAGACAGACAGAGACAGAAATAATACTGTGGCGGCACTTTATTTCCCGGGCACTTATGTTTTTAGACAATCGGCTAAGACAAACAATTGTTGCAAGTGCTCGTTAGTTACAAAGCGATACGAAAACATTATTGCACTACAGTTAATGTAAAAAGACGCGTTACACGCAAATATACCGATCACCTCAATAAAGAATATACGCCGAAGAATCTTACAATACGAAAATATGAATTGTTACAAAATGATTGTTTGGGGATGCTTTCGACACACTGAATAAAACCCACTTAAATTGAATATAATTAAAATGACCAAGTGCTAAAACGTGCAACAAGTTCCGGGGTTCACTACTTGAGCGCGCACTCCACGAACACGGTGTGATGGGGGCTTTCCAGAGTGGGGGAAGGGGTTTCCGAGCGAGGGGTCAAAGACTCGGGGCTCTGGGGGCCGAGGGGGCAGATGTCCACCGTCACGTCGGCCTCGTTCAACGGCCACAGCTCTTTTAGAACGGCCCTGGAATTAGTGAGTTTATTATTTAATGGTGGATTAAAAAATAATGAACTCAAATCGTGAAATAGACTCAAACTCACCAAAGTCGTTTATCGACAATCGTCTTGACTTTAGGCACGGGGAACCCGTTGAAAGCGGAGGCCACGGGGAGCGTATAGGCGCCCATGTCCTTGAAGACCAGCCACTGTCCCGTGCGCAAAGCGGGAAGGCGGCAAGAAGCTATCACGCAATCCAAGCCGTCGCAGGTCGGACCCCACACGGAGCAGGCTTCGGGCCGGGAGTCACACGGCTGAATATTAAAAATCGATCATTTATCTCCAGATCGAGCTCTAAGGACTCATTAAAATGGCTACCGCGACTCACGTCCAGCGGTTCGGCGACTACGGTCTGATGGTCGTAGAGCACGCAGTTGAAGGAGCCGTAGACGCCGTCGTTTATGAAGTACATCGTGTGGGACTCGGACGACGCGTTCGTCAGCTGGAACAAACGTCACAATCGTGAACCTCTTTTCGAACGGTTCGGGGGACGGGAACGGGGGGAGCGACGGAGAGCGGAGCATTACCTGTCTGGTGGCGTGCACCATGGTCGCGAGCGTGTACGCGGCGGCCGCGAAGTATCGGCCCGGCTCGGCGATCACGCGCACCTCGCGCTCGCCGAAGTTCGCCTCGATCGCCGCGTTCACCACTCGGGCCACCTGCAAGTCGCGAAACCCCGCATCAGTAGACGTAGGGCGTCTGAGCGTCTCCTCATTACGGCGGGACGACGTATCGGCGAACTCACGTCTCGCAGATCGGAGTCGGCGTCGCCGGCGAAGCCGCCGCCGATGTCGACCACTCGCATGTCGAGGCCGAGCGTGTCTCCCAGGTCGAAGAGCATGCGCGCCACCTTTATCCCGCGAGCGTAGACGGCGCTCTCGCCGGCGCCGGAACCCACGTGGAAGGCGACGCCCGCCACCTGCAAGGTTCGCGTTTCGTGAAAATCGGTACGCGCGTTTCGCCGATCGAAGCGACCGAGCGGGTACTCACGTTGAGCTTCAGGACGGCGGCGAGTTTTAGCAGACGAGGGGCCTCCGTGAGAGGCTCGCAGCCGAACTTGATGCCCAGAGGACACTGGGCCGCCGCAGCGTCGCAACGGATGCGGATCACCAGCCTGCGGAAGTCCGTTAACGTGATATCTTCTACGAAGAAGGCGCGAAGTCGCACGTTTCGTGTCGTTCGGGTACTCACCGTGCGTCGGGCGATATCTGCTTGATTTTGTGCAGCTCCGCCTCCGAGTCGAAAGTCATGGTGGTGACTCCTCGAGCCGTGGCGTAGCGGATGTGGGACGCCATCTTCGCGGGATTCGCGAATATTATGCGCCTGATTTAAAATAAACTAAATTAATTAACCGTCCGACGGCTACTTCTATTTATTTCTCCTAAATCTTCGTAAACACTCACTCGGCCTTAATGCCCATGTCCATGACGAGTTGTATTTCCGCCTTGGAGGCGCAGTCGAAGCCCGTCCCGAGCGCGGCCAACGTCCGCACCAGCAGCTTATCGTCATTGCATTTCACGGCTGCATTCGTAAGAAAGATACAATCACATGAGCAAACGAATAATATAGCGAAGGGAGACACCGCAGACGAGGTGGATGACTCACCGTAAAAGGGCTCGACGCGCGGCATCATAGCCTTCCAGTGCTGGTAGCGACGCACTATTTCCCCAAGGTCCATGACGTAGAAGGGGTCCTCCTGTCCTTCCTCCACCACCTGTCTGATGACCCCCGTGGAGCTCCATTCCCCCTCCATCACACACACGCGCTCTTCGTCGGCCAGACGCATGGCGCCGGGTTTCATTCGGCTCTACTTTATCTGCGGTTTCAACAAAAAACGATACGAGTCAATTCGGTTTAATAAAGCAACTCAACTCGACAGCGACATTTGAAACAGACCTCTCGATGCGGCGGTGAGTCCGGCGAGTGTCGAGGCCGAGTCAACCTTTCGATTGCTCGGTTACGCCCGGACACTTGGCACTGTGCGTCGGTGACCCGGTAGCGCTACTCCACGGGTGTCAGCTACGAAAATAATTATTATTAATTTACCACAACATTTTCAGTGTATAGCCATCGCGATTAATGTAAATAGACATTCCCCGTAGCGCAGGACCTTTCAGTAGTAGAACGAGCATCTATCCCGAGTCCATCCTTCTGAGGATTGTCCTATATTGCTTTTGCAATGGAGGTTTGTTTGTGCCTGTGCTTATGCTTTCGCGTGTGTACATACTTGTGCGTGTGACGTCAGCGGGGCGGCGTGCGCCGCAGCCAGGGCGGGTCAACGTTGAGCGCACGGCGCCAGCAGCGCGTCGCGTGTCGCCCGGCACCGCTACACGCGCCGGACGAGCCCGCTCCTGTCTGTAACACGGCGAGGCAACATTACACGCCGTCTCACTCGTACGAAAAATGCACGTATCAAGTAACAAATAAAATAAGATCGACATATTAATTTATATTCAATTCGTTAAAAAATAGGCCTAACTGAACATCGACGTATGTGTTAATATTCTCACTGAGGCATTACATTAATGTCCCCATTGAGAATAGAGAATCGAATCAATTTAGTGTGCCCGACCAAAATGATTTTTAGCATCTAAGTACATTAGATAAGTGGCAAAGACCTCGCTCGTGTCATGTCGTCATGCAACGATATCGAGCAAGGCCAATATTACGCGACATTTTTTACGTTTCCTAACGTTACGTTATGCTACGCTACGTAGTGTAAGTGAAAATTCCACAATTCAGAAGAAATATAATATCAATATGTGTCAAAACTAATACGTACCTGTACCTTTAGTAGCGAAATTCTCAAAGCTTTAACAAACTTTTAAGCAACAACCGCTTGGTTGTTGCTAAATTATGCAGAAGATGAAAGAAACAAAAATCGTAGTCAACGTTGACTAATAGAAAAATATCTGTTAGATTTAAAATTTAGAATGAAATCAATCTGTCACTCGCCCAGCGCGCGGAGAACTGATCAAAATGGCTGTCGTTTGAACAATTTAAACGCTGGTTTTATCACGAGTAAGATTTGCAGGATGTTTATTTAGCTTTATTGTCTATTATCAAATTAAACAAGCTAATTAGCATTATAAAAATCACACGTCTGGCACGACATTTAGGTCTGAACTTATCAAACCGCGACGCCCCGATTTACTTGTGATCTTAGCCAATTTACACGGAACAAAATTAAATTTCGCAAATTAATATCGATTGGCTTTTGTTTTAGAATGAAAAAGACATTTGAAACATTTCTCCTTTAAACAACAACTCTTTTTGTATGGCAATTAAGTTTTATAATAATTTACCAAAACCATTCAAAAATCTCTCTACTAGAGCTTTTAAAAATTGACTTAAAAATATTACTTTTAAAAAAAATATGCTTCTATTAATGAATATTTGTGTAAAAGATTATAATCAATATTAATGTAATAATGTTATAGTATATATTAGTAATGTGGTGCCGTACTGATATAATAATACATATATTAATTGACTATGATAAAATGATTGATAATGCAATCTATAATTCTATCTTTTAATTATGTAAGATAAATTTACGCCATTATGTGTGGCATAATAAGCAAAACTCAGATTGTACCAACCACATTCTTGCAAATAAATTATTATGTATACAAAAAAAAGTCTATAAAAAGGTTGAAAAAAATCGACACTTACTAAAATATAACTAGACGTTTTTTCTTATAAATCCTTTCCAGTGATCGTCACGTGTATCGTTACAACGTTTAGAGATAATATTAATTAATAAGATTAATTTTAGCACCAGTGTTTTACAAACGAACCGATTCGTAAGATGGATCCTTTATTGCGTAATAGGGCCAATTGATCTGCGTCTGACACGCGTTATAATCATCGAATGCGACAAATTTCGCTCCTAATATTTAGACTGTGTACAAAAATAGCAGCTTATACTCTAATAATGGCAATATTTTTCTGCAATAAGTTCAAACATTTTAAATTGGATCTATTTAATCTGTACATAAAACCCAGATTCTCATTAAGATAACCAATGAAGTGAACTATTAAAACCTTTGTAAATAAATTCTACTATCTAAACTACAAATGTGATTTTATGAACCTGCATACAAAATAAACATTGAATCAAGTTTCATCTCACTATTATCTGATTATAACCACTATAATGTAGTAATAAACAAATATATAAACATACTGTAATCTAAATGCTGTATCTCAAATACTTTATATTATGTCTAAGATTAAAAGATTCTTAAGCTAGTTTGGACAGAATTATTTTTAAATGCCTCTAAACTGATGATAATGTGACTATAACTGCTCAACATAAAAATTTATATGCATTAAAAAAAGGAAGTCAATATAAATTCACTTACATTTATTTCAAATTGTACAAAAACACAGAAGTTTAAACAATGAGATTGAAAAAAGTTCATACAACAAATCAAACCTTTAAAATGCTATTACTTAGAAGAAAACATTACCAACTTGTCATCATAATAAGATTAATCTAAGTTCTCATAAAAACACTGCAAATTAGCATAACTTAATTTGTGTGGATTACCTAAACACTTGATATTATTTAACACAACAATATGTGTGCTGTAACAATATTAGAACCACAAGTAAAATTCAAATACAAGAATATTTAAATTTTTTGTAAAAATCATTTTGGGGATTTTTAAAATTAATTAGCACTTTTTATTTTCTCCAGTAATAACTCCATGCGGCCTGACATAACCGGCTGTCCTTTTTTATTTTTTTTGCTTAATTTCTTAAATCTATCCTGCTTCTTTTTTTTATATTCCTGCAATTTCTGCATTTTTTCCTGTCTAGACTTTTCTTTTTCTTGTTGCTTTTTCAATTTTTCCTCTTTCACCTTGTTAAATTGCTCTTTTGCTTTAGTAAAGGGATGTTTTTTAGTTTTTGCAAGTTCATTTTCAAGTACATCTGGATGTTTAACAAATCTACCAACATTGGTTGAGTCAGGAACATCTTGATCAAATGTTTTAGGTTTATATGTACCAACCATTGGATCATTTTTTACAGTCTTTTCATACTCTTGGAGCAACCTCTTTTTTCTTTGCTCCTCCCACTGCTCAAGCTTATACTTTTTGCTGTATTTCTTCAATCTGTATGTCTTCTTGTCAAATGGTTTCTTTCCATTCTCCATTGGCTCAGGCAGTCCTGACCTATTTTTATCAAATTTGTTTTCCTTTTTTTTAGAACTCTTCATTTCATTAAGATACTTCTTACTAGGATTCTGGTTCTTGCTTGAAATAAAAAAAGAATCTCTGTTCTTTTCCATTTTTGATTTTTCCTCAGACCTATAAAGAAAAAGCGTGTTTCAACATATAACAAGAAGGAAAACAATGAAAAATCCACCATGCAAAACAAAAAGATAAACCTCTAAACACGCTTTTTCTTTACCATTTAAAAACATGAATATTAAATAGATGTTCTAGATGAAAAATGTATAACTTATTACATTTATTAACAGCAGAAGAATTTGTTCAAATAATTTAAAATGTTTGCTCTAGAAAATATCATTATGATTATTACGGTTGTAAGTACAGTCAAACCTGGGTAAGTGAGAAAACTCTATAAGTGAGAGTAATAGCCGGGACCTGTCATTTTAAGCTCCCAAAACCTCTATTATCGAGAATCAGAAACCTCTTAACACTTTAACCTTTAAATAAAATGAGTTTTCATTTAAACTCCATCTAGAAGAAATGTACCCTTACATCAGAAATGGAAAAATTTCTCGAAATTCTATCTCAACAAAACTTACATACAATCTGCAAGAGTTTGGTTCAACTCAACCATCAAAATCAATTAAATAAAATTTGTAAATTTAAGTATTATAAATTTGGTAATTGCTTATTATGGAAAATTTTATGCTACAAATCAATTTAATGATTCTCAAAGAATTTTACAATCTACTCAAGTCACACGTTTACGAATCCGATAAGTGACGTAAAAGTCACAAGGCAAATAGTGGTGATTCATTTTTGTTGGAACTTTTGAGTTTAGGAGAATATTGATACATGTACCTTACAAACGATTCATGTAACGTAAATAAATATATATATGAGGCTATAGTCACACTGTGTGTTCTCCATACCAAATACCAATATGTTTCACAGTAAATACTACAGCAACGGACAAACGTCACAAAATATAACGCCAGGTGGCGGCTACAGGGATTACGAATCTACTTGAATTAATTGTTTTAAGACCAGTTTAACTAGAAGATATAATTAATTAATTAAAAGAAGCTTACCAAATTAAGCCACCCACTGGGTAGGCTTTGAAGTATCGGCGGAATCTTGATAGTTTAGTTGCACTTGGCACAAAAAAACTTAACCACGATTATAGATTTTATATCACGGTTATTAGACTTAAAAACTTTACCGACCATTCCCTAATGTAATTTTTTGATAAAATTTCCAGGAGCTAATGCACAACTTGCGAAAATGTCGCAAAAGGAACGAGAAAGAGATCCGAATAGTAGAAAGAGATAGTTACAGGAAATGTCAGAAAAATAATGCGCGCGCAGTGCCCTCTCAGGGTGATATTGATCGAAAAATATACGGTTCCCGCATGCGCGCGAAACTTGAAAAAATATAAAAGTAACTAATTTACTATAAAAATCTTGTTTATGTTTGAAACAGCAAACTGAATAAGAAATATAATGTTAATTAATTATATTATGCTTGTTTTTCTAATAAATTATTACTCTTTCTTTTAACTTCTGTTACTATGGTGTTAAGTTTAAGAAAAATAAGAATTTACTCTATGGTCAAGTATATTTGTTCGACAAATAATTGCTAAGTTTGTAAAATGTTAAGTGCTATACGAGGCTATACGAGGGGACGCGAGCGCGAGAGAGTTGTCAGTTTTTGGGACGCGATTCAAACGATGAAAGCGGGTGAGGCGAGAGCATCAACCACACTCTCGCGGCTCGCCCTTGCTCCATTTGTTCTTAACTACTGCATTGTAAGGACGCACGGACGCATTCTTATCATCATGGAGTGAAATAATGATTTGTGAAGGCATATTTTGAACGCTATTTTACAAATGCTATATAAAATGGGCTTTATGTGTCCTACATACTAGACATCGCCGTCGTAGTCTGTGAACTAGACTTAGGAACTCTGTCTGATATTAGGTATATGTCTGTGACATAGACAATTTGTCTTTGAAATAATCTTGAATTCTTAGCGGGAAACGTAATCTAAAATATTATATTATAATATATTCTTGTTAATTGTTATTATACCATATTGTGGTGGTATATAATTTCAAATGGTATTTATGTTTTATATAAAATTTTTGGAGCTACACAATGGATTTGAAGAATACAAAAATCACAAATTTAACAGAGTACACTTTCCTTTCTCGGGATATGATTACTAAATATTCCCAATTGAAAATAACGCTAAATAGTTCAACCCTTGTTACTTTGAATAAATTCAAAATTTTTGAAACTGAGGTATGTTATTTAGTTAAAGTTTCAATAATAAATACTATATACATATCTATCATACATTTCATTTAACGCCTTACGCCTGATTGTTTCAGTATTTTATAAAGTACTCCAAATGCGGCGCTGCATTCCAAGCTCTTGAAAAAATGTTGCTAATTCGACCTTCGAAAACTTGGGATGATCTTTCAAAGGAGCTCGTTTCGCTATTAAAATTTTGGTTTAATAAACTCCAACATCAAATGATAAAACACAACACTGTTTGGTGGAATTTTCTACTAAAGCTTTTGAATTTTGTTAAAGTAAGTTTTATCTAACAGTATAAAAGTCTTATTCTTTACTTTTGAGTTTCTATATCTAGTTTCTAAAATGGTTTTTGTACACTTACTAATTGACGATGGAGCAATATTTAATGCATAAACGTTTTAGAATGTAATTATCAAGAGAATATGACTAAAGAAACTACGGCACGTGTGTAGCAAATTGAAAGAATATTTGAAACTTTCAGGAATTAAGAACCAAAAGCCCACTCTTAAACTATAAACTCGTAGAAGGGCTGGGTGAAGATTTTCTTCAGCTGAGCACAAATAACAATCTGGACTTGAATCAGCGTCGGGCGACGCTTCAATGCTTCAACGCGTGCTGTGCGGAGTTGCCCAAACAGTCTAGATTGGCTTTGAGGGAAATGTTTGAAGAGTATTTGTAAGTTCACTTAATACACTTTTAGTTTTGAGAACATAATGAGGATTTTGCTGCGATATTTCAGTACGAAGCTGGCGCACGAGATGCCGTCGTGGGGTGACTTCAGGTTACAGTTCAACACGATGGAGACTCTTTTGAGGTGGCTCTTGAGGCGGAACGAACGTACCTTTCGAGAAGAAGTCGCCGCTTTGTGGTTCCCGCGTGACCTCTATTCGAGAATGGCCGTCAAAATCTTTTTGGAGAGGGATTGGAAGAACTTCTTTAAGGTCCATTCGTTACGTTAAGGCTTTCAATTTATTCGCCAATATTCAAGTGAAGAACGAGATATTTACTAAAAACGCATATTTGTTTCAGGACGCGAGAGATTTCCTAAACGCACAGAACGAGAATAACTCTTCAATAATTTCTTTAATTTGTAAAAAATTAAATATTGGCAAAACTGAGGCGATCACTGTAACTATATCTTCTTTTACACATTTTTGTTTTATAATGTTAACATTTGAGTAAATTGTGATGATGATTACCTTTGTGGTGCCGGGAATCGAACCCGCGATCGCAGGCTTAACGCATTGAATACACCAACTTTCCTTTCGTTTCGTTAAGTATTTTCGGGCGAGGGAGGTCTCGTCTGGTTGAAACTGCCGTCCAGACTTTCGAAGACACTTTCAGAGAATCGTGAATTTCCAGGCTAAGGATAAAAAACACTGGATTGATTTTAACATAGCTAATAACTGCATTTCCCTGATGCTGGAGTTAAAATTGCTGGAGGTTCTTAAAATCGCGAACTCCGTCTTCGACGCTCTCGTGATTGAGGAAGATAACACAAGATCTGTGAAATTGATTAGGTTTGTCTATTCCTGTGGAATTCCTTAATACTACTACGCCTCAACATTTCTTATTATTTTCTAAGCTTTTAAGAGAAGCATAAAATGCTATTAATTTATTACGGTGAACTCTCTATCTGCCTATATTAATCTAAAATACACTTCTTATTGTAAACCTCCTCTTGTAAAAAAGAAAATTATTTTTATAATTAAGGTAAACCTTTTTAAATGTCGATTTTGTCAACAACGTACGCCCAGCGTTGCCAGCCAAAAGGCGAAGGGCCCTTTGTGACGACAAAAGCCACGGTCTTCGAATCGACCCGACCTCACCGGCACCCAGCAGTGGTCCAGGTCTATGCCGATGCTAGGATAAAAGATTGTCGCGTGTCTTGTGATAAGAAGATATTTAAGTGTTCATATAGGTATTTTTACTGTGCCTTCGCGTTGTTACGTTTAGAGCGAGGGCTGCATTATGAGATGTATCATTTGATTATTCTAAGTCAGGATAACTTTGAATTTTAAAAATTTCGGAAAACTACGTACTTTTCAACGACATTATTACTATCTACTAGTTAATGAGATAGTAGTCTAGTAGTAAACTGCGGACAAAGCCACGGAATCGATTTATTTAAAGATGGGATACGTAGGATTTGTCACGCGTGATTATGAATTAATACGAGAAAGTTCTCATACAACATCCATTTCTTGACACTAAAATAAATTTTAAACTTAAAAACCGACTACAAAGTTCGTGTGTACATAACATAATTTGTGATTTGTATTTGGTTAAGTTATACCGCAGATTCACTTCTTGAATAATACATTTTAGTTTCCCTATTTCTGACCTTACTGTTTTTATCTACGGTAAATTCAATATTAATTTATCACACATGTTATATTCTTATTTATTTGCTCATCAGTATTCCTACATCTACTCATTAAACAATATCCAAACAGTTACATTATACACAAAAACCAAAAACGAAATACATATTCAAATAAAAATAAAGCACAGTTAACAATTTTTACCTATTTATACAAAAAACATATGTATATTTATAATAAATTCCAAGATGCATTTTTCATTATTATATATATTTAATAAAAAGGTAGAATAACAAAGCCATTATTAATAAAAGACACCAGAGTTTTTTTTAATTATTAAAAAATTTTTTTTTGTTATATTAAATATTTGCTGGTGATTTGTGTTATAATCTGAGGGTATTCGGTACACGAGTGAGTTACGTAAATAGTTTGTATTAGACCGAGGAATTTGAAATAGTTGGGTTTGTCTTGTATTGTCAGAAGAACGGGTGTGAAATAATAAAAGCGATAATAAGTTAGGGCAATCAATTAAACCGTTGCAAATAGCCACGACTTTAAGTTCAGCCCATTAATCATCGACAGGTCAAAAACCAAAACATACTTATGTAATAATGATTGCTCTATAGATCAATGTTTGAGTAAATCGGTGGAGCAGTAGTGAAATGCTTGACCATTGCCTATTGCAGAAATGGCGCTTTTATTCAAATAGACATAATCGTAATGGAGCCTTTGAACCGATCATCTGAAAAAATTAACAATGAACGCGAAATTAGTATTTATATGAACGCGATAAACGCCGAAAAAGTAAATGAGTCGCTAAAGAAAATATTTGGAAACAAATATGAGGTAACTTTGAATTTTTATATTTAATTAATGAATTGCTTAAATTTATCATCGTTGGTGACTTTATACAGACCTTTTTTAAATTAGGCTTCGTTCGTGGAAGAAGGTAAACATCAGTGTTCACCCAACACCGCTGGAGAATGTTCACAAATAGAAAACTCGGTCAGTCTTCTTATATCTTATATGAATTAATATTATAAATAATCAATGGCGCTACAACCTTTTTAGGTTTGGGCCTCAGATTTCTATATCGGTTTCATGATCATTTGGTAATCTAATATAATAGACAAGTAGGCGATCAGCCTTCTGTGCCTGACGCACGCCGTTGACTTTTTGGGGCTAAGGCTAGCCGGTTTCCTCACGATGTTTTACTTCACCGTTCAAGCGAATGTTAAATGCGCACATAGAATGAAAGTCCATTGGTGCACAGCCGGGGATCGAACCTACGACCTCAGGGATGAGAGTCGCACGCTGAAGCCACTAGACCAACACTGCTCCTATTAATTAATTAAATAATATTACCTCGTCTAAAATACTAAAGTAGTGGGATAACAGGGAAGCGACCCCAACTTTGGAATTACTGTCATAGACTTTAATCTATGTCGAAATGTCGCAAGTTTATGACAGTTGACAGTTGTTTTTTAATATCAACGTTCGATATGAGGGTAGGATAACTTTATGACAATTCGTTGATTTTATGTTAGAGTAAACGGAAAAGTAATTTGCAGGAGGATAGTCGACAGTTTGCCATTAACACGAGACGCGGGAAGCAAAGCCGTAAGATTTGTTGTTTATTCTTTTGGTTTTCCTATTCCTATCTCACGATCATCAAACAAGTCTTAATATACCTATTTGGCAACTTTTTGAGAACAACAACATTGTTAGCGAACATTAAATCGTTGTTTATATATTTTATGAAATATAGACGAGGATGAAATTAAATAAATTGTGCGTAACTATATTCTACGTCGATGTCCGATTTAGTCTGGCAATTTCAGGGGTCGCAGCCGCAACCCTCAATAGGCAATCCAACGCATGGAAGTCGCCGTCCACTACTTCCACGACCTCATTGCTTTTAGTGAGTTCATTTATTTTATCTTATACTTAATTAACAAATTGTGTGTATCTTATGAAGTCCCAGAAGAGGTGTTTAATGTTTTATTTACCTTTAATAAAACACTATTTTGACCGGATTGAAGTTATGTATTATTATAAATTTACAACTATTTAACATAATTTTAAATTCAGTCACCGTGACCACGCACGCTGTAAAGCACGCGAAACGTCGGATAAATTTAAAATTATGTTAAATAGTTGTAAATTTATAATAATACATAACTTCAATCCGGTCAAAATAGTGTTTTATTAAATGAATAAAAGTTATGTTAATCAAAGACAATTTTATTTACCTTATTAATGTTTCTGACGCCAGTCAATTTTTAGTCTAATATGTGCCTCATTCCCTCACGGTAACATCAAGTGTGTCATCGGGGTTCGAACACCTTTACCTAGTTCTCAAATAACGAAATTGTTTTAGCTCAAAGAAAAATTATCGGAGTATCCAGGGTGTGTCGGAGCAAACGACGAAGAATACGGCGGTATTTGCGCGAAGCCGCTGTTGCCTCGAGTTGCCGAAGAATCCGAAAACGAAGACGACATATTATGTGTTTTGACACCTCGTAACAAACCGCGATGCAATGCGGTCTTCTCCCACAAAATTAACGTTCGAGATTCTGTAGACAAAACCACGGCTTCTAAGCCCAGCACTATCAGCTTAGTCTTAGCTACGACTATAGATTCTTACGAAGCCAACGCCCCACACGACACCTTGGATGGCTTTCCGGAAGACCTCGAACTGAACACGCTCAATTATATGGCGTACCGTCAGCAAAACAAAAGTGAAAGTACATCAGACTTACAAAGCGAAGTCATTGAAAATACTCCGTTTGTTAGACCAATCCTCGACGCACGTGAAAACGTTCAAGTTTGTGACAAAAATTATAAAACGCATTACGAACTTATCGAAGCGGACGTAATCCAATGCGTTAACGATTTAGTTGATCAAGTTTGCGCAGATTATGAAATGAATTCGCATTTAATGAATGAAAAGGAATTCACGAATAAATTACTCATTGAAGCTGGTCTTCCAATAACCACCCAAAGTGAGCATCGGTCGACCGATACCCAAAAAGCAAAGAAGAAAACGGCTAAGCCGATTGAAATTACTTTTCCAAAGACCAAGGTCAATAAGAGGAAAGGGCAACGTCGACAGAAAAGGCCCGAACCGGAGGCAGCGACCAAACTATCGATCGCTTATGAAACAGACGTGAATCTTAAAAGTCCCAATATCAATATTAAAGGAGCAATGACGCGTCGAAGGCGCAAATTATACTCACCAAAAGATAACCTTACATTTCAAGGCCCCGTCGATCCCGAGACCGGTGTTGAGCAAACTCGAACTCCAACCACTTCCAAGACTCCTTATCGAGAGATTCAAGAAATGCGAGCCACGCATAGAGAATCAACCAAAAGAAAATCTATCCCAAAGAAGGTAGTCCTGTCACCGCGATCGAAACGGTTAAACGACGACTTCGATAAGTTATTGCAGACCGATTGTAACGATGAAAGCTTAAAGAAATCGAACAACACCAAAGTTATATCGGTATACAACTTCACCGATAGTGACGATAGCGATTTCAAAGACAACGGTAACCTGACAAAACCATCGCTACCTTTGCGAAAAAGCAATGCTTCAGTTAACTTAATGGAAAAAAAATCAAGAAAAAGAAAACAAAAACGTATAAATGTAGTCCAAGATACGCTCATCGATGAAAGGATGCGAAACGCTACGGCAGACCTAAACACGTCTTTCACTATTGAAGAACCCATCGAAACGTGCGCAAACGTAGAGGTACCGGTCATTGTTGTCGAGCCGATCATCAAAGATGAAAATATTTCAACCAAAAAATCAAGAATCGTTAAGACCCGTGAAACTAAAAAGAATACTAAATCCAGAAAGGGCCCTAAAAAAACTAACAAACAACCTACTACGAAAGTGATGAATATGTCACGCGATAGGGACGAGAGTATAAGCCCGGGGCTCAAATGCGAATTTCAAGAAGCCGAGAAGAAGCCTGACGACTCGCTAACCGATCTGGACAAAATTCATATCATCGAGAAAGCTGACAAAGAGACCTCATTCGAGCGTAGAGATTGTGTCTACGAAACCATTGAGACCAAAGCCATCATTGAACACGTTCCACTGGTACGCGCCCCCATTGAGCTAGGCCAATCCTCCCGTGGCCAACCCAACACTTTGACTCAAAGTATTCAAAATGTGATGCCCGAAGCCCCTCACAATGAGATATGTCAAAATAAAATAAGCGAAGATGAATGCGCGCAGCGCTTTCTACGCGTAAGTGTAGAGAGGATGTCGGAAAAAGATATTAAGGAGTGGTTGTCACCACGTGCTAAATCTTCACTGAGCGGAACGAGTAAACCCTCACCGAAACCCGAAAACGACGCACGTCCGCCGGTCGGCGATAAGTCACATTTATTTTCTCCTCGATGTGAAATTTTAGCAAAAAACAAATATCGAAAAATATGTAATTCTTTGATTCTCCCATTCAAAAACAATAAAAAATCAAAGGATCACAGACCCGAACTCAAACGGGTGGAACCAGATGTAGATTATACAGAGAAGGATAAATGTCGAAACAGTTCATCGATACGGGCAGTTTCTCTGAAGACTCGAAAGACTCCAAAAGCATTTAATAATCGCGTGCTTAAAACGCCGGATTCGAAGGAAAATCTGATTAAAGACATCCCTATTAAGCGCCGCGCTGAAAAGTTGCGATCGATTTCGTCGTCGGATTCAGACAAACGAAGAATTACTAGAAGAGCTCTCGAGAGGCCTATCAGTGACGACGACTCTTCTTCGAGAGAAGAAGAGAGCGAGTCTTCAATGAAAGAGTGTTCCAACGCTGAGACGATACATAATTGGTTGGATCGAAGCCAACACGAGCTCGAAACGGAAGAGTGTGAGTATAACTTTTTAACCGGTCATTTCGTCCGAGAGGTGTACGATGTAAGTACGTACGTTTGGTCACATCAAAATCGGTTTAACGAACCCATAATAGCTTTTAGCAATGACTGACCACATTTTCATTGTTTTAGTCGACGGCGTAAGGGTAAACGTCTTTGGTGATATTTTCAAAGAGGTGCAGAAGAAAATCGATTTTGATTTAGCAAAAATTAAGAATAACGCCAGGAATTCGTGAGTATTTACTTTTTTTTAATTTACGAGTCGAGTATTATTGATTCGTAGGTATATTTTTATTAAATTATTAAAAAGTAATGGCAGTTTCAATGCAATTATTTTTTACTTGTAATGAAGAATATCCATAATAATACAGGTTAGAACATATTCAAAGAGGTGTAGTGAAGCAGATAGAAGAGGCACGTTTGCGTCGCCGGGCCTTGTATACGGAGTCTGCGCGCGAGATATTCTCAGACATAGGCAAAATACTCGACGCCAAGTTCACCGAGCTCGAGGCCAAGTACGTCCGAAACGTCCGTTCTCTTCGATAATTCAGTCATTTTACGTGTAATTGAGATCATAACAATGTTTCTAGGAGTCAGAGAGTCGATGATCAAGTTCTGGAAAAAGTTTCGCGAGACTCGACGCAAATGTTGTCCGAAATCGCTACAATTCAACTCGACTTAGTTTCGTACTTAGACGCCGAACGAACGAACATGTAGCACTTTCACTTCACTTCTTTCACTCTGTGGTTCTCAAACTCACTTCAGTCACTGATAACACACGAGTTAACTCGATCACCATTCATTTATTAAGTTAATTGATAGACCTAGTGGTGTCAATGATTTTCAAAATGCGAGGTTTCTATTGCGAGCGATAGACCCTGCGCATTTAGATGTGTTAAGTGGGTTCTTTTAGTTATATTTAAAGCGTAATGCAGTGAGCAATTTTTTTTTTAATAATAAGAGAACTTTGATTTATAATAATATTTTAAAGGTTTGTAGAACAAGTATTAACGACAACTCAAAATATTGAAATCATATCATCGGAACGACTAAATGTAAATAAACGTTTTAAAGCTGAGCATTTGTTTTTCTAATCTTCTTGGCCTGGTTGAAGTGCTAAGTCCGTGCACTAAGTTACGCACTTACGTGAGATTAAAACTAGGTACCGCTTGAACCGAACAGTATTTAACATACTCGGCATGATAAGGGACTAATATGAAATTGTCAAATTTATATTTTTAATGTGAAAGGTTTTTACGTTATCATTAAAAAACCTCTTAAGACTTTATTATGTTTTCATGTTTTGCCACTTAATAATGTTTATAATATTCGTAGGCGAGTGGGAGCTCCTGTCTCTACGCTTTTGTTGCAGTGACCGACGTGTTTTACAATTCTATAGCAAAAAACTTCCAGTCGCAACCGGAAAACAGGTCGCCCAGCAGCCCAGGGTGTTACTTTTCATTGGTCTTAGAAATTGCTGAATCTTCTTGTGCGGCTTGAAAATTTTATGAATAGAAGCTCGTTTTAGGATCCGGCTAATTCTATCTGTAACTCCCTTTACATATGGCAGGTAGGCTGGCTGGCGGGGAACTGTTTGTGTCTTGTTTTTGTTTCTGTGATGCAGCCGGGGGATGCGCAGCTTGTTTCGGTGTAGCACCTGTTTGACATGCTGTAGTTGACATGCATGCGCCTCGACGTGGGCAGCATCACAAAGACGTTGGGCTCTCTGAAACAAACATTTACCGACAGAAAGCAGTTGTGAAGGATGGTGGTGGGATTCACCACCTCCATTATTTTATTCCATCTTTTATATGAGCCAGAGGGATCGTCGCGTACTCTATTTTCGTCCCCAATGTTTTCTCATTAATGCTATGCTGCAACGTAATATTGATTATGACGAAAAACTGCAAAATAATATAAAAGTGGGTGTAATAGGTAATGGTACCGTGAGTATCAAGACTACAAGTCGTCTCCTTTCAAAGTCGGTAAACAATATCTATTGACTATTTAGGTCACCTCAGATGACCTGAAGTCTTTGAAGTACTGTCACACGCTGAAGTTATAATAGAGCGTGGTTTTATGTCGACAAAATCTAGCTTCAATTTAATAGGCAGTATTAAATTACACGAAGAATATGTACAGTGGTGTAGAAAGTAAAATTGTATCGACAATTAAAGATTATAATGGTATAGAATAGAAAAAAAAACTATAAAAATAGTAAAATCTTAGTAATATTTTACGGCTGAAAAGTTATAGGTCCTATTTCGATCAATCGCTCGTCTCGAGATTACAGGAAAAAAGACACACAACGTTGTTATCGCCCGAGAGCTGCTTCTGCTGCGATGAAAAGTTGGCCAGATGTAGTAGAATAACTCATACCAATCAATGTGTCATAAATAACAGTTAATTATTCTTTAAAATAATTAATAGTTTACTGTATAATATCAATATATTCATTCCAAATTATTTCGAAGTTATTTATCCTCTATTTATAAAGGGACGCCATCTGCTTTTTTTTTAAGTACAGATAAAGTTGTATTTGCTAGGGTCGTTAAAAAGGTAAGAATGGGTTATGAGTAATGAAGGATGTGGCTATAATAGCAAATTAAATAATGTAGGTTAGAATATATTATTAAGACATTACCATGAATAAACGAATTCGCCACGGACTTTACCTAAGTAAAAATAATACTTTACCTAAGAAATCTTTAATCATACTGCGAAAGCGTCCAGAACTTTGAACTGAATGTGCCAATTTTCCAAACACCTTTACGATAAAAATAAGATCTATATGCAGATCAGTTTTAATTGATATTTTAAACAAAAGTACCTTTTATTTTTGGGAACTCCTAAAAGGACGTAGGTCTTTGACCTCGTAAAACCTGAATTTGCGTACTTATATATGCACTTCTGTTCAGGACTGTCCAGTCGCATGGAATCAGCTTATTGTGTTAATCCATGCCTCAGAATTGAACGAACAACCACAGGCGCACGTCAGACCGAAAGTTGGCTGGCTTACAATTATAGTGCCGAATTAAATTATATAGGCCCTTTTACAGTATCATTATATAACAATAATTTATAAAATATTTAGTTGTTTCCCATTTTCAAATTAATGCATTTTGAATTGCCAATTTGAAAAATATAAGTGCTACGCTGTTGCTGTTATTGCAACGAGTGTATTGCACGAAACGTTTAACTTTGACATGTGATTTTTTCTTTTGGTGTCTTTAGTTATTATCTGCTCTTCGAAACTGTAAGTAGAACTATGTAACCTACCTTAATTTAATACATAGTTGTAATTTTACTATACCTTATGGTTATCAAGGTATATCGTCGGTTTTTTTCCCACTTAGTAACACAGGACTATTAAATTAACACCAATAATTAGCGAACATCTTATAGGATTGTTCCAATCTTGGAACCCTTATTTTTTCATACTATACGGTTTATATTCTACACTATATTTCAGAATCTGTTATCAACGGAGTCACTTCTATTCAGATTTATTTATTACCTAGAGTATCTAAATATATTTATTATTATATATTTTATTTTATTAACAGCACATCAATACATGATAATGTTTGTGTACCAAGCAACTAACAAAATATGGTGGCCAAATTAAAATGTTTTAAATAATGTGGTATAATAAACTGGATGATGAGATATTTTAGATTATGTTTAGATTCAATAAATAAATTGGAAAAAAACGTCGCCTACTGCAGTTGTTTTAAAGATGTTGAGTACATTCTTATTCTTAAATAAAAAATATTTCACACTTGAAAAGCGGAATTATCTAGCTTTTGATTGGCTTTAGACTACGTACCCTGTGTACGTAGTCTAAAGCCAATCAACTATACAAATACACTAATTTTTGAGAGTGTGTTACCAAAAAAAACTAAAAACTAAATAGTCACCAACGTGGTTTTTATTTTAAATAGAGATATTTCATCAATATGCATTCAGCACTTAGAACATGTCCATGAACCAGATGTCGAACGCAAAAAATACGATAAACAAAATCTAAAATATGTTTCATTCAAGAGCTAGAAATTTTTATACCTTGACGTCATTCAGAAGGAACCTGAATCTAATTTATTTGAATATCTCCTTAAATTAATCCGAAATTGTAATCTTAATGAAGTAGTGTCCTTAATATTTATTTTGTATTCATTGTATTATTATTTTCTTAATTAAATTATACGTACCTATAATTTGTATTTACAATTTTCTTAACTTAGAAAGTAATAATAAAAATTATTAAAAAGAAAATTAACCATTTCAACAGCACATAATAATTATTGTAGTTTTCGACATAAAAGTTTCAATGTAATTAATACTGATTAATTTAAGCGTATGCCCTACACTTAACAGAGCGGTCGTGGTTGACACCTTCTCTTCGACATCTTTTATTGCTTCACCTTATATATACCTGTTCTTTTTTTCTCCAGTTTTATAATCCATCCATCCATGTCATTATTCTATGAATCGAATATGAACCAAAATTCAACGGCTGTTGTCTGTTGTTGAGTTTCGATCATAGATTTATCTGGTTAGTTATAGTGCAACAAGTTGATTATCATTTCCGGTAAAAAGAAGAAAAACAACATTTTTGCACGTGATAGTTGTTTTCGAGCTGCAAAATTAATTTGCCTTTTTATTACACCAATACCTGTCCTTACCTGATAACATTATATATTTGTGACTAGCTGGCCTGGCGAACGTCGTACCGCCTAACAGTCGATTCTTTATTTTAAATACTTAAATACTTATTCTGCTATTCGGGACACCGGCCTAGCTAGTAAGATAAAAAAAAGAAAGTTGATAAGACAACAAATACATGTCAAAAAATAAAAATTTACCTTCCCGGAACTAACATTTGAACTTTATGATATGGTATTAAAGTTCAAATTTACTTTTAAGTATTATTACGAATATTTTGTATGGGAATATAGAAAAGTGTTGTTTTTAGACTTTTTCACTCAATTTTTTTTAATTTTTCTCTCCGTAAGAACTATCCTCGTACTTCAAGGAATATTATACAAAAAAATCAGACAAATCGGTCAAGCCGTTTTCATGTTATGTCGTGACAACGGAAAACGGGTTTGATTTTATATACTTATATAGATTTATAAAAGATAAGTACCTACAAATATGAGAGTGCGTACTGCAACAATTTCCACCGTAGCTAGTTTTAAGTAAACTTGTTTTTTACGAACGTATATTTTACAATTAAAAAACTTAATTAAACCTAGAAGCCACACACGTCATAGCCGAATTGCCAATAATCACTTACAGTCCGTACGTATATGTCACAGCCAATTTATTCCGAAACTATTAAGACAATACAGTTGAAACTTGGTAGGCATGAAATAGCTTTTTGATTTTATAATTAAATAAAAAATCCACTTACTAATAATTAAAAGGACAAAGTAATTTTTTTTTATCAAACCTGTAGGTACGTGTGTGGCATCTAGGTTTAATTAAGCTTTTTAATTGTAAAATTTAGGTTCGTAAAAAACAAGTTTTCTTAAAAGGTTACTTTTCTTTTGAAATATAATTTCAAAGTGGTTAAATTGTGTGTCACTTTTCCTTCGTTACTTTTAAATGAAAAAAATGGAAATTTCAGTCGTTGCATCAAAGTAATGCCTTGATTTCGGCAGATCTAGTTCAGTAAATAAAAAATTTGAACACGTACGTTGTGTACAACGTCACAATAATTCCTTGACCTTCGAATAAAGATCTCCAAACTACGTCAATAAGTTCTCATGTTCCACCCGTATCACCTCGACGTCCGCCGTTCCACAACTGAGCGTTTTTCAAGGCAGTTTTTGCCGCGCACCACCACTATGTGGAATCAGCTGCCCACTGATGTATTTCCGAAACAATTCGACTTAGGGTCCTTCAAGAAAAGAGCGTACCAATTCTTAAAAGGCCGGCAACGCACTCGCGAGCCCTCTGGGATTGAGTGTCCATGGGCGGCGGTGTCACTTAACATCAGGTGAGCCTCCTGCCCGTCTGCCCCCCGTTCTATAAAAAAAAAAAAAATGTAACAGGATCTGGCGAATAGGATTAAAAGAAGGAGTTCCAATGTTGAAAGAAAACCAATGCTTTTCTTGATATATCTACATTACCTGAAAGTAGTCCATGTTTCGGTGGTTCAAAATGCCTGTTATATGATCTGTATGGTTATGCTATGTATCCAATATAATATAAAACAATTTAAGTGGGCCCTTATTAAGTGTTCCTAACATTACCGCCGTTTACGTTAAACGATTAACAAAATAACATACCATCGTTTTAGATACTAAAGCAGCGTTAACTTCGTGAATAAACATCTCTTCTGCGATCAGTCTTTTGTTTGTGTGAGCAAAGACACATGTTTGTCTCAAAAGACTAATCAGTGGTCACCTATTCTTGTGAAAATTAATACTAAACTTTATTGTGAAATAATTAAATGCATATGTACTTAAATAAACGAAAACAAATATTTATGAGTAACTTGTTGATTAAATCCACTTGTTATTTAATACCTTCACATTTTATACGTTCAAATAACTTATGAGGACAGTGGGTCCATGATCACTTGAGGTGCTTCTGGATAACCTTTTCTTGACATGGCACTCATAAGCTGGTGGCAAAGAGGGCACTTTAGTCGTATCGGTATTTAAATACATGAATATTGTGTTATCGCTTTCATATTATGCATTATTATAGATAACAAAAAGGTCTTTTAGAATATTATTACTCAAGTTCAATTTAAAAACCGATTTTTATCATACAAGCACGTGAAACGTAGTAGAATTGCGTTGATACAGTTTTAATCTAGTAAATCTGCTATTCATTTTAAATTACAATCATGAAATAGTTTTTTTAAATAACTTTATTCATATAGGTAACCAAGTACAATTATTATGAACATCAACAGAAAAGACATTAAATTGATTCTAAATTCATATTTACTACCAGCCTTGCAATTCTGTAACTCACTTTTCGAACTCTCAATGCGGTTTTCGCAGCGGCGGTCGCGCTCAAATCAGTCGTAAAGCAGTCATTTTACGACTTGGAATTCTGATAAACAATTAACTACAAGCTCCCTCCTTCGGAAGGTGAGTTACAGAATCGCAAGGCAGTTCGCAAGTCAAGGGCGTAGAGCGAGCAAGAAGAACTTGAAAGAATCTTTCCGCCACTATTTTTAATCGCTAAGTTTTGTTGTCATAAAAATTGTTTGAACTGGAGCAAATAAATGTTAAGGATTATGATCATTTAAATATTCGTCAAATTTATAAAAAGCTTTATTGATTAATTTAGAGATTTTTGAATTTATGCAAATATAATTCTTTAATTAAGCTTGGGAGTTTGTTGTAAAACGAATACAATTTCCATATAAAGAGTGGTTTATCTTCTGGAGCCTGGTTGGCCGTACGCTTACATTAGTTTTGTTTCGAGTATTATACTGGTGAGTCACCATTTGTTTTAAAATCGCTTATATTTCTTTATACATACAACAAGGCTTCAAGTTAAGTACATGTTATTACCACCAGCTAACATCATTTTTACTTGGTTAAAAAAAGCTAAGCCAATAAGCGTAGATTTAGTACGTACATATATTCACTAAGTGTAACAGGGAATTAAAGCGACAGCTTAAAGTAAAATTTTGTTAATTTAATGGGTAAATTAAATATGTGCCCCTCTTTATTTAAAACCCTTTTTCAGATAAACATGAAATTACTGCGTTTATCCGAAGAAAACGTGGTTGGTTCCATTCCAACCAAGGCCACTCAGGTGATGATGTACCACGATAGATACACAGCTGGAGAGACCACGGGAGGTCTAAGCGTGATCTTTACAATGCTGTGCATCATTGATTTATTTGGAGTGTTTCCTGTGGTAGCATTGCCGAAAAGCATTATATCGTGTGGTATGTAACTCAGCTTAGATAAAAAAATAGGCATTAAAACTGTCAGAGATTATCTACCTATACAAACTAAAGCCAGGCCAACGTAATGACGGACAGATATTAGTCTAGTGTTCGGATATATACTCGTATCTATGAAACCCGGTAAAATTGTATTCAACCCAACCGGGTCAGCGGGAATCACTCCATGGCACAAAATAAAAACCTAACTAGATTCGAATTTTGGTTGAACTATGTGACAGAGTACTGTAAGTACGTCTCATTTAGAATGGGCTGCTTAGTAATTGGATATATTAAACTGACGTACTCTCATGGGAAACATATCTAGCTTAACCACAGAAACAAACACGGGTTACTTGGCGTGTGTTTTAGACGACGGCTTTGTCTGGGAGTTTCAAGAATCTATCATAGACTACAGAAAACATTTACATTTAGCGGGAAAGATATATTTTATTCGTTAATGACAATCCCATGAAATGAAACTAAGTTTTGTTATAGGAATTTATGGCATTCCGTTGGTGCTAGCTGTGGTCGCGCTACAGCTCTATACTGCAGTGCTGCTCGGCAGAAGTTGGATTTTAGCACACGATATCTCACCCAATATAAGAGAAAAGAGTCGGTAATAAAGGTTCTATTTAAAGAGTCATAATTGTAGTCTTTTATTACAACGAGTGGCAATCTCTGTTCCGGTTGGTATTGACACTTTATATCTTTTCCAGATTTCCATACGCTGCAGTTGCAGAATTAGCTTTTGGAAAGACTTCTCGCAGTATTGTCACATTCTTAATTGATGCTACTGTTTTCAGCGCAGGCGTTCCGAATTTCATATTTGGTATACTTTTAAATATATACATTATAAAAGTATGTTGAGAAGTTGCTGAAAAAGTACATTTCTTAAAAATGTTTTCAGCATCGCAAAGCATGCAGTTATTCTGGTGGAAAATAACGGATGGCGACGTGGGCATCACATACTGCGTATGGATGGTCGTCATTGGTCTTTTACTCTGCCCAGTTATGTGGCTTGGATCACCCAAGGATATGAAGTTAGTTTAAATTGTATCTACAATAAACATTCAACATGTTTGGTAGCTTTCGCTTGTTAAAGTGGCTATGAGTTGTAAGTTAAACGAAACTACTTGAAGCTGAAATAATAAAAATATGCTTCCACTTTAATGAAAGATCTGTGGATAGATGAAGATCTTTTGGCCCATTTTAAGAGCTAAAATGCGGCAGGGGCCTAGGTCAGGCGGCAAGGATTCGGACGTTTATAACTCCCGTGTTTCAAAAACGAATTGGATTTGGCTTAGTGAAGTCCTACTCGGCGCTAAGTTTCAACTCTGGTAAATCTTACCCAAACAGTTACAGAAACTTAAAACCTAATCTTAGTTTTTCTGTCCGCCTCATGATAGAAACAGTTAAAATCTTCTTCTCCCACAGGCCCCTAGCGTTGACATCAGTGTTCATTGTAACTACAGTGGCTATCTCCACATGGACCTGTATAATAAATGATGATAAGTCCCCTCCTCCGTCCGGGGACGTAGTAGCCTATATGCCTAGTGCTAGAGACTTTCTGGTGGCTTATGGCATCATGGTTTATCAGGTTAGTTTATACATAGGTTTAAAATAGTATATTTATCAATAGTTACTGGCGTATACACTAGTAAGACCATCGTTTTGCTTAAATTTATTACTCGCACAACCCATTATCTTTTCTCTAAAGGGGCTCCTAGACGGGCCATATTTTCACGAAAATGTAGACCGCAAGGGTTTGGCTGCTAGCAATCAGTCAGCAATTACGACTAGACTATGCAACACTCGGCAATATTTTAGGTATGGCCGGGATGTATTGCCAAATATTTTTTGTATGTCCGATGAATGTTTAGTGTCCCAGCCGTATGGCCGGAACGATCGCTTTGCAATCGAAAATACTGGAATATTTCTAGCCAATATTATTGCTGTCTCGCTTTACGGCCTAAGTGCGTCCCTCTTTCACTTCGCCTTTTTTTTAATATTTATGTCCAGACTTAAAATATCTAATGTATCACGCCTATTGAAATAAGGTCGAATCCACATTTTTCTTGTTTTTTTTGTTTTGACGGCTTTTAAAACAATATAAGGAGCTGCAACGCGCATGAGTTCGTCCGCCATTGTAGCCATAGGTTATATATTATATAGCATAGGTTTCCATAGCTTGCAGCTATTGCTGCAACCTATGGCAACTATGTATGTAACATATGTAGATCGTGTAAAGACAAAGTAATAGGCCATATTCTTTTGCAGGAATATTGGCGAGATATATACATTGTTCAGCCACGTGTTGCCTTAAAATGTTTTGTTTTGTATTTCCGTGATATAGTCGGCAATGATGTAGCCACATATTTCATTAAAAGGGTAGCCCGTGTAGAAGCCCCTTAACACACATGACACTTGAAATGTTAAGTAGTTACTCGATGTAAGAATCATGAGAATCTATAAGACCTTTTGGGAATATTGTTAAGTATACGAATTCATTATATTGTAAAGCAAAAAACCCTTTTCCAGTTCGACATCCACCCAATGCTGCTAACCCTGCAAGTGGATATGAAAGACAGTCGTCGTATTCACTCGGCCGTGTTGGGAGGGTTCACAGTTACTGGAATCATGTTCACGGTCACCTCATTCCTAGCAGCCAAGAGATATGGGAACAATGTTCAGAGTAATATACTACAAGGTTGGGGAAGATTTTTTTATATTGCTTGTCCTAGATTATTTTCTTTCTATAAATAATTTGGCTGTTTATGTAAAACTTGGTTACTATATTAACTGCTTGAAATATGATTTTGTTTTAGGGTTGCCCTCATCAATAACTCTATACATAGTGGCTCTTCTCGTCACATTGCAACTCTGCCTTTCGAGTGCCGTCGGCAACTCAGCCCTGTTTCAGCATTTAGAAGATCTGCTTAAAATACCAAGAGGTAAGACCAATTGAGTCTGCTTATTTAGCATTCAAACTTTTGGAGACTGACAATAGTAACAATTGACTTGAGTATCTAAGATAAAAAGTTTTTATAATATTCTTACTGTATCTTTTCAGAATTCTGTTTACAACGGTGCGTAATTCGGTCGAGTATTATCGCCCTCGCTGTATTTTTAGGTGAATCCGTGCCAAGATTCGATCTAGTCATGGGCTTAATTGGCTCAACGCTTACCGGTCCTCTCATGTTTATATTTCCACCATTATTTTTCCTTCGATTGTGTTATAAAAAGTCCTCCTTACCAAACAGTGCATTGCCATATAATAAATTAAAAACTGAAAATCCTCATAAAGTGACGTTGGGAGAACTGAAAAACGGCAATGATCCGTCAAAAATGGCGTTGTTTATGCATTCATTTGACACGAAATACAAGACATTTACGAATACGTTAGGCAAAATGGGCGAAAACGATATGGATGAATATAATATTAAATGGTATGATATAGTATTGGCAGTGCTTGTAATGTTATTGGGTATATTGGCCACTGCTTTAGCGACATATTCCAGTTGGTCGGATGCGATATCGTCAGCATCTTTTTCACCGCCCTGTATAGTCAACTCTACTGCCGCTGCGAGGAGTTTTATAGAAAGAAACATTCGAATGACGTAAAATAATATAATTATGTTAGTTAACGCTGTTAACACTGCCGGTTTAGCCTGCCTAGAAGTGTACTTAAGATGGTGGTCATAAAAAGAAAGTAAGATTCCGTAACATACAGTGAAAAGAAGGCGATCCTTTTCAGTACGTGATGGCACATAGTTTATCACCGTGCCATCAGTAACGCTTAGTATTTTTATGTTAGCAATTAGAGCATTGCCTTTGTTAATTATTACAATATACAGTGTAAACTCTTTATGATGAATTTCAAGGGACCGAGCATTTTTATACGTTATAGACATGTTTCGTTATGGGGAGGGAAGAATTAATGTATGGGTATTGGGTTAACCGTTAAACCAACTGAATTTCACTCGTTTTTACGTTACAGAGGTGTTTTCGTTATAAAGAGTTGATGTTGTCTTCAAGAATATTTTTGTTGTATCTAAGTGTCGTATATTGTATGCACAATAATTGTTTGGGTAAATCGGTACAGATAAAGTTGCGTTTGACAGGTAGATATTAAATCTTCTTATGGTTAACCTATATGCCTAAATGAGTGGTAAGTAATGCACGAAATCGTCTCTATGCGAAAATTACTTGCTCTAACCTTATTATATTTTGTACAGTTATGTAAATAAAATACATTTTAAATAACAAACGTTTTATTCAAAGAAATAAATAATCAGCCCTGTAAAGTGTCAGTCATAATCTTTCACGCTTTGGTAGATTTTATATCCATACAGAAACTTCAATATAAAATATTTAAATTTTTAATGGCGCGTCTAAACGGGCCATGTTTTGCTGCAATTGATGGCTGCACTGTTGGCCACTAATTGCCCGGCCATTACAAAAATATTTTAATGCAGCTGATGGCCGAACAATCTATGGCTGGGCAATGTGTTGCAATAGTATGGCCCATGATGCAGACTCCTAAACGGGCTACACAAACCGGCAACAATGGCTGACGAAATCACACTTGTCGCAGCAGCTTATATTGTTTTAAAAAAGAAACAGAAAAAGAAGAGATTGTGGATTCGACCTAACTTAAATAGGCGTGAAACTGTAGACAATTTGAGTCTAGAAATAAGTCTTGATAATAAATTATTCAAGAACTAGAATGTCAAAAGTAGTCATTTTTACGTAGTAATCTAACGTCAAATACAGCTGATCGCAAAACACAGAATAAAGCAACAGGCACACTTCACTCAAAGCAAACGTCATGTCGCGTAGAAAAGGATACACTATGCCATAACAAAGAGAGTGACTGAAACAACAAGAGAACTGGCCGTGCAATTTTGCAGTTGAATTCGATAGCCTAGCGATCGTCCGGCCACCTATCGGGGCAACATCGGCCATATGTGGTTATACAAAATATGTTTGACAATATGGCCGGGACATTACTGCAATATTGCATAGTGTGGCTGCTATTGTTTGCAATGTTGCCAGCCACAGTGTTGCAGCCATCAATTGCAGCAAAACATGGCCCGTTTAGACGCGCCATAACACATATTATTTTTCATTTGCTCGCTAATACGCGATAACATTAAATGCAACAATAACTTACAAACGCAAACTTTTTTCTTTGTATAATACCTTTTTTTTTCAAAATAATACCCATTTGAAAAATATATTTTTAACTACATCTATGTACAAAAGTAACCTATTTTCTATATATTTAAGGCATTTAATAACATTAATATTCAAAATGCGAGCTTTGTAATACGCTTAGACATAATTCTGTGTCTGTTTCTCAACTCATTAAAACAATTTTATTTAACATAAACCTCTCTTTTCTCTCACAACTCTCGGATTCTGATACCGTTAAGTTTAAGAAGTAGGAATAAATACATGTTATACGAAGCTTTATATAGCCTCACTAGGATCTCTTAAAAACCAAATCTTTCGCGAAGAGTCGCCTGATCTCCTTCTTGTCCAGCTTCCCCATCGCGTTTCTCGGCATTTTCTCAACCGTCAACATGGTCCTGGGCAACTGGTAAGGAGCCAACTTCTTTCCGACGACGTCCTTCAACTGTTGGAGCGACACGCTCTCGTTCTCTTTCAACTGGACCACGGCCGAGACGATCTCCCCGTAGCTGTCGTCCTCGATCCCCAGAACCGCCACGTCCGCCACGCTGGGGTGTTCCAAAACGGCCGACTCCACTTGCACGGCGCTCACCTTGTAACCCCCCGTTTTGATGATGTCCACGGAAGACCGGCCGAGAATTTTAAACGACCCGTCCGAGAAGGACGCCACGTCTCCCGTTCGGAACCAGCCGTCTCTCGTGAAGTCGGCGCCGTCTAGGGTCGGCGCTCGGTTCCAATATCTGGTCGACGAAAACGTTAGTAAAAACTAAACTTAAATAAAAAGAAAAAGTTAAGGACTAACCTGGTAAACACGTTGGGTCCCTTCAGAAGTAATTCGCCTTCAAAAGCGCCATCGGCTTCCTCGTGCACGGTCACTTTCGCTTCTCCCCTGTCCTCGTTTTCCAGGAGGCTCCCGGCTATACCTAGTCTCTCCAGTGATATCTGAATCGAGGAGGACGTGTCATTAGACGGTTCCTCGTGTAAAATACAAAATAATGTCGATCGGTCCACCACCTGTAAGTCTGGTGCTCGACTCTCCACCGTGACCAAAGGCTCGAGGTCCTCGTCCCGCGGGGCCACGATCCGGGCCGACACCCCGGGGAGCGGTGTTCCGACGCAACCCACTCGCCTCTTCTCTAGGGGTCGGTACGGGTTGCTCAGGGCCATTCCCACTTCGGACATACCGTAGCGCTCGAGTAAGCGAAGGCCGGAGATCTGGAAATCGTAATAACGGAACAATCATAATTTACTAATTTTTATAGCAATTATACACTGAGAATGATAAAAAACTTTGTTCGCGAGAGATAGAGATGACAATGCCCCACTCACCTCCTCCCACTTATTGAACAGCGTCTCGGGCAGAGGGGCCGATCCAGCACACATCAGTCTCATCTTACTCAAGGTGTTCCGGACGTACTCCACGGTGTTATTGTCCGTGAACAGAGCGGAGTGGTCGGCCGCCAATCGCGCGTACATGGCCGGCACTCCGTGGAACACCGAGATACGGGCTTCTTCGGATCCTTTGCCCAGAAGATGGGACCAGACAGTGTGTGACGTGAACGACGGCAGCATACGAATTCTGATAAATTAATTTATTAAATTTAAATAAACAAAATTTATTTTATGTTCATCTAGATTTGAATTTTTTGGTCTAATCATATTCATTTCTTCACTCTCACCTGGCCCCAGCAGCTAATGTGGCATTCAAGGAATTGAGCTGTCCATGTATATGATGCAGTGGCAACGTGTGTAACACAACATCGCTTGCAGAATATTGCCATGCACTATGTAAAGCTGCAATCTGGGTTGCCAGCATCCTGTGCGTCCAGACTACCCCTTTTGGTTTGCTGGTTGTGCCTATAAAAAGTTTAAGTAGATCTGGTAGCAATGTGGGAAATATTAAAAACACAATATTGACAAAAGAATCAAGTAGATTTGGAACTATCAATGAAAACGTTGTATCATCCCTTTTTCATATTAAAAAAATTTATGGTTCAAACTGTTGTCTGGGTCTCTTAATTAACCTCTCTGAATATTTTTTTTGTCTGTGAAATATTTTAGACACAGCAACTAGTGAATGGGAATAAAATGATTATTGTTGCAAAGAAATTAAACTTACCACTAGTATAAATCAGCATAGCATCTTTTCCACCATACCATAAATTTGTTGGTCCTGTTTCCCCTAGACCAGTCTCTGGTTTCCAGTGCTTTGGTATTTCATCTTTATCCTTATCTCGATCTGACACTAATAATGGCTTTGAAAGTTCAGATGTGACTGGTCTAAGTAAATTTTCATGTTCCTTTGTACATATGACTAGACCAGCATCACTATCGGTTATGAAGTATTTTAACATTTCTGGTGGGTGTATAGGTGTTAATGGAACAGCTGAAAGAAATTTCAAGTTCTATAGTTGTAAGAAAAACATTGGCAAAATACATATTTAAATTAAGTTTAAGGAATGTACAAAACATAGAGGTAACCCTTGGTGGTGGTTAATGGAACCATGTCAACTAATTTATACATGTTGATCAAATGTAACTTACCATATGTAATATATCTTATGGGGAAATTGGACTTTTAATGTAATGAAAATCAAATGTTTTTTACCTATATTTCCTGTCATCCAAATTGCCCACTGTGTAATGACATGTGAAACATTGTTGCCACACAGGTATCCAATAGTCCTTTCTGTTTCACCCACTAAAAAACAAGTACTTTATATTGTTATGTTTATGGTGTTATATTTTTGTCTAGAAACAAATTTTGGTACACAATTATATTTAAAACAAAGATGCGTCTTACATAGCTGTGCTGCAATGTCCCTACTAAGATCGTTTGCCGCATGATATAGTCCAGCATAGGTAAATGTTCCAGAGTCATCTTGGACTGCGACTCTGGATGGGAACAAAAGTGCTCTACGGAAAACTGGTATGACCCCACCTGCCAACAGTATTCACAAGCAAGACAAATTATAAGCTTCTAGAAGAGAAAAAAGATGACATAGTAAGATAAACTACTTAACTATATAATAAACATATATTGCTTAAAATGTAAATTTACATAATCCAGACAAATTAGTCAATACTTTGTGTAAGAAAATGTTGCTAAAATTATCTTTACTTCTATAATAACAGTAAGAAAAGAGGCAGGTAATTGCAGGAAACAGTTCTAGTTTTCGTTAAGCAACTTTGACAAAATACAAGTTAGTAAAAATGATCACATATTTCTTGGCATTTTGATAAAACTCAATAAGTGCGATAAACGATTAAACGATAATCATACTACATATTTTCATATATATAATCTATATTTGCGTCAACAAGGTATCTTAAAATGTATGATAAGTAATTTTATACCTATATAATATCTTAAATACACACATACCTGTTTTAATATCCTGGTTAAAGGAATTTAGCAAATCTAAATTGTTCTCTTTCTTTGGAGCTGCATGGCAGGTTCTTTTAAAACATATTCCAATACGTTTTCTGAAAAGCCGGTGATACGTATGGGGTCGAAATAATAATCCCATAATAGATGTTGTTAGTTGTAAGAGATTTAAATTTTTTACACTGATTTAATTGTTTTTGTCGTTTTATACTTGTAGATTAATTATTTACCACCGATATGTTGGGAAGAAATACAATTTGTTAAATTAAGATAATATGCGGACAAAATCAAAATCTGATCGTCTCACTAAATTTAAAGACACTGGCCAGTGGCCACTGCCGGCTGCACAACAGTCAACAGCAAGTGCCAACTTATTAGTTAGTGGTTGTGTGGGTATTTTTCTATTTGAATGTCATTTCAATTTTCATGACGTCAGTTGTCAAAATAGATGATAGACGATCAGATTTTGATATTCGACAGTTAACATCCAAAAAACATAATATTTGTAACAAATTGTTATCAAATATTTAGAATTTTGTCCGCATTTTACTGTTGCGAATTGACCTAATCCTGACAAGAGAGAGGTTTTATATGTACTAATTTATTTGTGTAGATAAATTTTTCACATTAACTTGGACTGTGCTTGGAAAACGTGATTGACGCTATTTTTCAAATATTTAGTCTACGTTACTACGAAACTAAAAACTTATGTTCGTATAATCTGTGGAGTGACTTGTAGTTTCGAAGTCCGGTGTTTTGTCAAAATTTTAAATTAAACTTTTGACGTCTTCAGTTTTCATAATCCCAATCATTATTTGCGATTCATCTAATTGTTATTTGAATGTAATTTGTTTATATTTCGAAATTAATGAGATAACAACCAAGTGTTAAAATGACTATCACGAAGATGGACGTAGACCCCGTAAAGGGTGAAGGATTTCGCCCATACTATATTACCAAGATTGAAGAGTTGCAACTCATTGTGGCTGAAAAATCACAAAATTTGCGGCGACTGCAAGCTCAACGTAATGAACTCAACGCCAAAGTAAGAATGTTGCGAGAAGAGCTTCAACTCTTACAAGAACAAGGTTCGTATGTCGGCGAGGTTGTTAAGCCGATGGATAAGAAAAAGGTTCTTGTAAAAGTCCACCCTGAAGGCAAATTTGTTGTGGATCTAGACAAAAATGTTGATATCAATGACGTTACCGCTAATTGCCGTGTTGCACTGCGTAATGAGAGTTACACTCTGCATAAGATTTTACCCAACAAAGTTGACCCGTTAGTGTCCCTTATGATGGTTGAAAAGGTCCCCGATTCTACATATGAGATGGTTGGCGGTTTGGATAAACAAATTAAAGAGATAAAGGAAGTAATTGAATTGCCTGTTAAACATCCTGAATTGTTTGATGCTCTTGGAATCGCACAGCCCAAAGGTGTGCTTTTGTATGGCCCTCCGGGTACTGGGAAGACTTTGTTAGCTAGAGCAGTAGCACATCACACAGAATGTACTTTCATCCGTGTTTCTGGTTCTGAATTGGTACAAAAATTCATTGGTGAAGGAAGCCGTATGGTACGAGAACTCTTTGTTATGGCAAGAGAACATGCACCATCTATAATCTTCATGGACGAGATTGATTCCATTGGTTCTTCACGTATAGAATCTGGCAGTGGTGGAGATTCTGAAGTTCAAAGAACAATGTTGGAACTACTTAATCAGTTGGATGGTTTTGAGGCAACTAAAAACATCAAAGTTATAATGGCAACTAACAGAATTGACATTCTAGATCCAGCCTTGCTACGTCCTGGTCGTATTGACCGGAAGATTGAATTCCCCCCACCAAATGAGGAAGCCCGTTTAGATATCTTGAAAATTCATTCACGTAAAATGAATTTGACTAGAGGTATCAATCTACGAAAGATTGCAGAATTAATGCCAGGTGCTTCTGGAGCTGAGGTGAAAGGTGTTTGTACTGAAGCTGGCATGTATGCTTTAAGGGAACGTAGAGTGCATGTCACACAGGAAGACTTTGAAATGGCAGTGGCAAAGGTCATGCAGAAAGATTCTGAAAAGAATATGTCCATCAAGAAATTGTGGAAATAGATTAATAATTTGCTTTTATGTGTATTAACTCTTACTAATTAGATGTAACTCTTTTTCAAATTTTGTTTTATTTTCATATATCCTTCCAAAGACTTCTTCATGATGAGGATGTTATTCCTATCACTAAACAAAGGTGATATTTTCTTAGTAAATATTAATTTTTGAAGCCTATGTTAAAAAGGTCTATCTATAACATGTTACACAATTTATTAATAAGGTCTAAAAAATCATGTCACATTTTATTAAATGATAAGTATAAAAAAATTCCTTGCTATGCACTATTTTATTCTTTTCAACTCTTGAGTAAGGCATTGTGTTTAAGTAGAAAAATATTTTTGTTGCCTCTATAAGGATTGATTGAACTTAACAAATGTGTGACTACCTATGGCAGTGCCACTAGCATGCCTGATGCATTAAATAAAAATCAATTTTGCTTCATAACATATTATTATTTAGAATATTTATATAAGTTATGCTTAAGCAGAACTATTTAATTTCTCCATTTCCCATACAAAGTTGAAATTATACATTTATTATTATAATTAATTAGGTATTAACTATTACATTATTTAACTAATAAAGATTTATTAGTTTAATAAGTAATTTTGTAAAACACCTTTTTTCCCCCCCCTGGGGGCGCTCCCTCCCCAAAATTTTGTTTTGTGTGTTTTTGGTGGGTACGCGTGAGGGGTTTTTTTTTTTTAGATCTTGAATTTAAATCTTAAGCGTAGTAAAGTACAAAAGGCTTTTATTTTCATTCATATCAATATCTGATTCAGTATCAGAAATACCACAGTTTGCTAAATGTCTCCTCTATCAACTTGGATGCCTCAGTCACCTGAAAAAATGTCAAAAATGTAAAAATTGTAAGTAATAGAAACATCTACCACAATCTTCAATGTGGTTTAAATTTGTAGTAAAAAACAACCCGCAACTTTTTAAATATTCATTATTTACTTTTCTTTCACTAATTAATTATAAGCCTAAACTAATTGGTTGCCGATGGTTATGGGAATAAATAGATAAATAAGCAACTTACAACAGATGTACCTCTATGGAATGTAGTACTCCATGCATTTCTAACAAATTGTAACGGGTTCACATACTCACGGTTAACGCCTCTGGAAAATCGTTTCAAATATAAGATTGATATTTCTTTAATAAAATGGAAAATACTTCAAGATGTTTCACCTATGAGTATCGAAATTGGTCGGTTTCTGGGGACTTCAAGAAATGAATCGTTAAAAACCATACTACACCTACTCACGAGCGGGCAAAAGTTAGCCGAGGATATATAAAAAAATTAAACCTGGTCAAATCCAATTTTATGGTGCATTTAAAGATTTTAGAATTGAATTGTAAAATAATTACAAAAAAACTAAAAAGTATTTTACCCAGCTGTAGGAACTTCGACGACAGAACTCACGACTTCGGCTACTGGATCCGATTGGTTCCGAAATGTAACTCTGTGAGTGAGAGAGAAAAGTTCATTAGGTACCGAAAATAGTACAGCCTTGCGATTCTGTAACTCACTTTTAGAACTCACAGCGGTTTTCACAGCGGCGGTCGGAGAGTTCGAAAAGTGAGTTACAGAATTGCAAGGCAATTACTGTTGTTACCATGTCTATGACATTTAGAAACTTTTAAATGTATATATAGATACACATATAACATTTTGCATATAATACTGCAAAATTTTCATTAGAAAACTTCGGCATTTGACTATTTTCTTTGTTTTTCCTGAATGGCTCAAGTATGTACCGTCATTTTAATATTTTTACCATTTAAAGATAAAGAAAATATAGCGGACTAGTAAGTAGGTAGTCTGCGATGCTTTATAGAAAGGTAAACAAACATACGTAGAACATACCGCGAGTAATTGTCAGAGTGAGGCCTGCCACACTTGAAAAGCTTGTAATTTAAAAATCCTAATGAGGTTATCAACACAGTTGCCACCAGCACGTATAACAAATAATACCACTTTGATTTTTTGGCCGGTGGCCGTTCACCGTTTATTAATGGTGTCTGAAACAAAGAAGATTTTCCTATAATAAACTATTGCAAACTGGTTCCCACGACCTGCTTCGTTTCGTGCATGAACGGATCAACCATTGGCCAAATTAACACCTTACCATTATGCTAGAATCTCGTAGCGAAGGATGGCTGTTTTGATAAACTTTTGTGTCAACCCATCTTATGATGGTCAAAATATTTTGAGCGTCAGTAATTGCGGTGGAATTGGAAAAATACTTTACCTCAGCCTGATTCAAACTAGGACACACCCCGTCTGATAGTGAGCCATCGGCGCACACACAGGCGGGGCCGTTGTCAAGTACACACACACCGGAACATTCCTTTTTCTCACACACATCTGTGTAAGCGTTCTCTCGGCGAATCGCGAAGCTCGAGGCGTTTATATTCGCAAATATTTGACACGTCTTATGACCGAATAGGAAACAACGGATCACTTGGCTGTTATTTAGGAAATAAATGTGGTCTTCGAATAGTGTAGGGCTGTGGGCGAAGATCATGGTTACTTCGTCATTGTATACCAGGGTCCTGAAAGTATATACCTCTGTATGGTAACACGAAAGATTTTTTTTAATAATAACACTTATAAATCCGTATTTTAAAATTCTTTAAACACGAAACATAAATTAGTTGAGTGTGAAATATCCAAATAGATATTTGTTAACTCACTTATGTCCTTCAAAGGTACTCTTCCATAATTTACCAGGGTTGTCTAAAATATATACAATTTTTAAATGGCCATCCATGGCCAACCCTGTACAGTTGTTAACCGACGTCACGTTTTTGACGCCCTTGCCGGCCAGAGATGCCGATTGGACTTGGCTACTGTTACCCTGGTTCACACAGTAGAACATAATAGAGTTCATCGAGTCTACTGTCAGCGACGTCACCTGCAAATAATGCAATGCTTCCGTTTTAGAGTGACATATACAACGGGCTGCATTACATTAAACTCTCTTTCAGAACACACAAATTAAAGAAAATAGTAAAAAATTAATTGGGAAGACGGTGAAACCTTATTTATAAAAAAAAAAAAAATAATAGAAAAAAACAATGAAATCTAAATTGTAGACGTAAAGTAAACGTAAAAGTAAAAATATGATTATTAAACATGACGACAGCGACCAAGTGGCACAGAAGAATAAAACTGACGGGAAGTTGCGAAAAAATACAGGAGCTTTTTTGAATAATGATAAAGCCGAACGAATATAATCAGGATGGGAATTCCAATTCTTGATTGCCGACATAGAGAAAGATATACGTCCTGGAAATAATAAGGGATATTATTTTTCTTTAATAAATTTTTGTTCTTTTTCTACTTTAAATAATTATATTACATCAAAGAAAATACAACTAAAAGTAAATACTTTACATTTTGGTTGTATTTTAGTTGTTCCATTGTCAGTGAAAAAGTTTAACTTTTGGAAGGTTTTAAAAAATAAACAGGAAGCGTTGCACCCGTCGGATTGAAAATGTGTAGAAACAGAATTAGTTTTTTTTCTAATGCAAAATACATAAAGGAGTTGAATAATTATTTACCTTAAACGGTATGTTGTGAAGCCTGGCACAAGATTTTCTCGCAAAATTACAAACTCTTATGACACTTCCGTTTGGCTTCTCGTCCACAAAGTAAATGTTTCCGGTAGCCCAGTCCACTGAGATCTTCAAAAATATTGATAATAGTTTAGCTCGTAAGTGTAAATAATAAAAATATCTGTAAAGTGACCTCCCTATTTCTCTTATTTCTGCACCTACTGTGCTGATAGTGATAATCCTTGCATATTTTGAAGAAATAACCATTACAAAGTTACTCCTTCAAAATCTTAGCAAAGAATCTCTCTGTTTTACTACGTATTTATAATAACTTGTCGATATAATAAGTTATACATGTGTATTAGTTACCTCTGTGGGTCTGCCGATATTCCCGATGGCAGTGGTCGTAGGTTTTGTGAGGTTTTTATTCACTTCGATTATTTCTCCTGTTTCAGGCACGGCTACGTATAATTTATTCAGCCTGTAAGAACAAATACCAGGAACTTATTTCACCCATACAATTGCGCTTCTTAATTCGAACCCACATTTGTACATATTGCAAGCATATATATATATATATACATATATGTTATATGCCTGGTTTTGAAATGATATATAGCTGTAGTAATTGCTTCGAGTCCTAAATGTATAATGTCTAATTGTCCCTTTTCAAGAGCAAGGTGAGTATTTTATTTAAAATATAGTTGGCTAACACAAACCCCTTATCGAAATCGAAGTCCGTGATATTCTTGTCCCCGTAGGAGTGTTCGAGGAAGTGATGGTGCGAAATAAGCAGCCAGATTGAGTTGTTTTGAATGTACAGTAAGGTCGCATCGCCGTTTAACGATTTGCATGAGCGACGATCGTATCTGAAAATTACATAATCATAAATTAAACAAGATAAGGTAAAATGCAGCTTTTAACCCATCGAAAACAGAAGTTTTGACAGGACTTATTTGGCATTTATTTTGTCTAAAATGTTAAACTATTCGTGAAGAAATTATGCCTGCTTCATTGTATTGTGTTCAATTTGAAGTATGCGTACGTGATAGCTCGGGAAAGGAAAAAATACATACGTTTTTGACAAAAGGGAACCATTATACACACAATACATAGTTTACCTTTTTGTATTAATGATTGATTTGTCTCAGTATAATAATTAATATACTTCTGACAGATCTCAAGTGAATATCTACGTACTAACGACATACAATTTTTACTGCTTTACTTCTTTTTGTAATTTTATTACAATTTGCTTAAACTTCTAAAGGTCTGTACTACATCATAGCTAATCTAAATTTATTCATAATAAAATAACTTACAAATACATTTATAGACACTATTAGTCTTCTTCATCAGTTTTTATCAGCAGTAGGAATTAGTATTGACTATCTTAGTAATTTTTTTTTTTTTAGTCGATGAAACATATTATAGTTAGTTATTAAGTTCTAATTACCTAGCCATATGAGTCGGTAATAGACACAATGAGAAGCTATCTCCGACTATAACACATCCTATTACCTACGTTTGGATCCCGCATACATAAAAATAAAAACGCATAAAAATGTTTTGCATATAGATGTTAGCTTTCACATAATACAATATTAAAAAAAACAATAAACGATACGAGTATTCTCAAAAGCTGGTGATAAAATATACTGAAGGAGATTCTTCAGTAGGAAGCTGCGAACTACGACGTAGAACGTATTTTAAACGTACCTACCTACCTACCTACATACTTGTTGTATGAATAAAGTAGATCCTACTACGAATAAATCATTATTTTTCACATAAGTAGTCGTTCTTTAACAATTTATTTTATTTATTTAGTTGCAGGACAGGTTGCATCCCTTGTTACATATCATGCAACGGACTTAACGAACGAAGCTCAAACTCACCTCAGCTCGTATCCAGGATGACAAGTGCAGACGAACGAGCCAGGCGTATTAATACAGTTATGCGAACAGTGGTCGAGCCTACACTCGTCATCATCGACACATGTGTCTCCGACCTTGGAGAAGCCGAGGGCACAGACACAGATAGGACCCTCTGGGGTATGCCGGCAGATACTTGGACAATTCTCGCAGAGGGCCGCTGAAATAAATGTAAGTAGATTGTGGAGAGATAAGTTAGGTTATGTATATGTCGCAGCCAACTTTATTAGCCGTTCAATTAACAGCCTAGCCTTTTAACTAAACGGCGCCGTTTAACTAGCGGCCTGAAAGATATACAGCCGTAGCCGTTGTTACAACATTTAATAAACTGGCTGGCCAATGCTTAGGCCATTCGTACGATAGAGTCATTATTTGGCTGAAATAAAAAAGATGAAACATATGACATGAAAAATATTTCTTTTAAAATTAAATTGTTTGAGTCAAATTCACATTACTATTGCCACTACACTCTTTCATTGTATTTGTTGTGTTTCATCACTTGTGGTTTGCCGACGCCATATTGACAGTTAGATGAGTTTCGTTTCGAGTTTGAGACTGGCAAAAAGTGGAATTAAATTTAAATTAACAGTCAACAGGTTCGGCAAGTAATGAAATGTAATCGATTTAAGTCATTTGCCTAGCCGTTTGATCAACTGGCTGAACATCTTTCAAGCCGTTAGTTAGTCGGCGCCGTTAAGGTAAAAGGCTAAGCTGTTTATTAAACGGCTAATTAAGCTAATTAGCTGCGACATATAAATTATAAAGACAAAAGCAATCTTTATCTTTAAATTTAAATTTTATCTAAAAAAATTATTAAAATTTATCAAAAAATTAATTAGATTACGAGATTGATTGAGTTTAAGAGAAAGATTATGAGTGTTTAAAATAGAAAGTAAAGTAAAGTAAAAAAAGTATTTTTGATGTACTAAAAAAGAAGGAAAACATATAACAGCCTTGAAGGAGGCTGAATATTTATTTAAAAACGTTTGTAATGAGTGCATTATTTTTGGTACCACGACTTTCGATATTAGTGAGTTACCTATCAAATTGAAATATTTGAAACTCACTGCAGTTTCCACCCTCATCGCTGCCGTCCTTACAGTCCTTCCTGTTGTTACACACCCTTTTCCAGTCCAGGCACTCTCCGTTCTTGCACTCGTATAACTTGCCGCATTCGTGAGAAGGTAACTCAATTTTTTTTATCGGCATTGTTTTGTTCACTGTGAAATAAACTATGCTTTACCACTCACCATCATCATTTATCTATTAATTCTAACATTTTCTGCTCATTGATTTAATTGCAATTATTATTTTAACACGCCCAAAACTGGTACGAAATTAAAAGAATTCCAGGCGATGAAAATAATATGCTTAGTAAAGGAATTAATGCGGATAAACTAGTATTTCAAAGCATAATTTCTATTAATTTGTATAAGTAGACTTGTGATTTAATTTTTGTGCTCCTTCGACATTTTGCGTAAAACTCCAATGTCTTGCCAAAAAGTTAGCAACCTCATGTATGTTAATATTGCTTAACTTTGTCATAAATAATTCGAATAGAAAAAAAGAAAGATTATGGGTACATTAGTAGGTCACCTTTCAAACAAGCGTCGGCGGTCTCGTCGGATCCGTCAGTACAATCATTTACGCCATTGCACAACTGACTCTTCGCGACGCACACCAACTCCTGTTTGCATGAATACTTCCCTCTCGGGGCACAAAAGAAGTCGCACCCTGCTTCGTCAAGGCCTCCAGCGCAATCCACCTTGCCGTTACACCTGAATAGATAAATGTTTTACATCCCCTGAGCCCCTTATAATCTCTAGGCTCGTTTACTACCATTTTTATCAATTCAAAATAATACGAAACGAACAAATGGACATCACAACATTAATAGGTAAAGGCTACGCCGCCACCTGATTAAATAAGTTGGAGAAATATTTCATAATGAACCATTTTACATTTAAACATGTTAGGCAAATGCGAAGCAAGAAAGTATAAGGCTAAGTTCAGATGGTTCCGCGCGGTACCGCGCGGTCATCTGAACTACGAACCGCGCGGTACAAGATCAATATAAACGGTAATTATCGTCTACATTACCGCGCGGTACCGCGCGCCAAGCGGCGCGCTCCGACCCGCGCGCAAGATCTTGAACCGCGCGCTTCCGCGCGGCGCGCGGCACAAGTTTTGCAAACCTTATCGACCTGTTCAGTTGATCCCGCGGCTTGAGACGGAAAGAACATAGATCGATGCAAAATTAGTACCGAAGATATGGTATTAAGTATTTGGTGATATGCAATATCTTATAGCATCTTCACTGGATTTTAAATCATTTTCAATAGAATCGTATAAAAAATCAAAGGATGCAACTGACATCCGGAAATAGTTAAAAAATTATCTTCGTGTAACCTCAAGTCGGGATACAAAGTGACAAACAGGCTGGATGAAAGTCTGTCACTTAAAATTGGATGCACCCAGTATCGTCTTTGTCTTCTTCTACGACGTCTCAGTCTTCTATATAAAATCCATAAGCAAATTGCCTCCTCCACGTCCATTGTCAATCAATGTTGAAGCCACGCTGCCGCGCGTACATATACCATCATGTGAATGCTCCAACCGCGCGGCGACGCGCGGCTACGCGCGGTCATCTGAACTTAGCCTTATAGAACCTTATTATTTTATTAGACCAATCAACATCATAGATTTTTTAATACTTTCCAAATCACCACTTTCATAGCTCGTCGATTAAAGTGGTTGGAATGGAAACCTTATTTATTTTTTCCAAAAGTATACTGCCCCATACAGGTCTCCTAATACCACAAAAGCTGTGATATCAGTCAACGACATGCACAATCTACAATAACTCAAAACAAGGACATCACAAAACATTCACCACCCTGAAATATGTTCTAACCGAGCAGTAAGCGGCAAACAAATCGTTGTGTTGTTTCGCTTACAACTAAATTCCAATTGACGGCAAGGACGGATGACTTCCTGAAAGGTCCTTCAAGTTCTTAATTCCTTAATTTAATTTAATCTCTTAGAACTAAGTTTAAGGGCAACTTTTTATATATTACAAATCGAGTTGAAAATTCTTTATATTATAAATGACATATTTTTTTTATTTTATGCAATAGGAGGCAAACGGGCAGGAGGCTCACCTGATGTTAAGTGATATCGCCGCCCATGGACACTCACAATGCCAGAAGGCTCGCAAATGCGTTGCCGCCCTTTCAAGAATTGGTAAAGTTTCAGAGGACAATAAACAAAACTTTAAATATATAACAATAATGTCACGTAAATGCGCATTTAAATAAAGTAGAAAGAGCGTTTACCTTATTCAGAGGTATTTTGTGGTTTTATTCATAAGATTACTTAAAATCAGAATCTTTACCGTAACGGCTACTTCAGGCAGATCGCATTTGTCTTCATCGGATGCGTCGAAGCAGTCGTAGTTCCCGTCGCATCGCTTCTCCAACTCTATACAACTTCCGTCGCTACATTGGTGGAAACCTTCAGGGCAGGTCTTGTTAAAGGCTGCTAAAATCAATATTACACCAATATATAAGTAATCCGTAGGACTAGCACAATCCTAAACCGAAAGCGTCCAGTGCCTGACAAAAATCTCAAATTTGTTTTTATTGATACCTTCCAACGAATGCAAGTGTTAGACGCAAGATCAACCCACTACCATAGGGTCGAGAGTCGAGTTTGTTTTTATTCATAGCTGTATTTTTGAATTTACATAAAATAAAATGCATCGCAATACAAAAAATACATGCTAACGTCATCGTCATCGAATTAATGATTATAAAATTTTTACACGACCGGTCAACAAAATCGCCTCATTTAGTTCTTGGGGTATGGGTGAGATACGCATATCTCGTGGGAGCATGTATAAAATATAGAAATAATGTAATTGAATAATGTTGACAGGTATTTCAGCCGGTTAATTATTTTTTAAATAGTCCTTATTTCAGTTGTCCAGTATTGTTTATAAAACGTATAATTTTCTTACTACAATTAATTTCGTCGGAGCCATCGATGCAGTCCAAGGCTCTGTCGCATCGCCAAGTTGCTGGAACGCAGTATCCAGTAGAACACCTAATGAAGGATAATATTATAAATTTCTAGTACATTTAATTGCAACTCTGCGCTCTATGGCTATGCTCTATGTCAGTGATAACTACTCAACGTGGACTTTACAAATGTTAGGGGCCAAAGCAATGATATGTTACAACTTAGCAAAATTCGCTGCTATGCGGACGATACTGGACGTGCAGGTATTTCTAGATCAGTTGTCGATTGGTACCGGAAGAAACTTGTGTCTGAAGTCAAAAATCTGCTACATGTTGTCCAATTTAACCCTGAGAAAACACAGGTATGCGTGATTTCTGCTTGAAAAAACCCCCTTGGTCGCTACTCCCCTCTTCAAAGACAGTCTCCTTAAGGCCACAATCAGCATCGAAATACTGGGCGTTGACATATCGAATGACGTTCAGTTTCATGGACATTTGGAAGGGAAGGCTTGAAAGGAAGGAAGGATTAGTCCCGAAGAAGCTTGGTGTGCTCAGCCCTCCGAGCCACCTCTGTGAAGTTGCAACTCTGTGAAGGGCAAAGTCTGCCCTATGTGAACGTGGGTGGGATCTCCCTAGTACCAACTCCTTCAACTGGACTCTGTTCAACGAAGAACGATTCAAATCATCGTGAAACAGTTACTTATTCAACTCTCTTGGCGTTGCGTAGAGATGCTTCTACCACATGTAGAGCATGAAGAGTGTTCGGTGGAGTTGTTTAGATTAATATCTAGCTGGGTTTCATCACGCTCGACGTCCGTCGTTCCACAGCTGAGTGTTATTTTAGTCTTAGGGTCGATCAAGACAAGCACCTTGCGAGCCTTTTGGCTATGGACGGCGTATTACTTAACACCACGTGTGCCTTCTGACCATTAGCCAAGTGTTCTATTAAAATAAAGGCGCGTGCGTACAAAGTACACATGTCAGAAGTGAAACTTCTTTGGCAAACTAATTTTTAAGTCTTGTTCATATTTATACAAATATAAAACTTTAGATTTCCAAGACTTAGAGGGAGCGAAAAGGAAGATATCTTAGGAATTTAATTGTCATTTAAAATATTAAAAGTGTCGAACATTAATACAAATAATATATATATATATATATATTTATATATATATATATATATATATATATATATATTTTTTTTAATTTATTTCTTCGATATTAAAAACACGTGGCATTTTAATTTACAATTTTTAATTTGAGATTTCAATAATTTTTTTTGCATAAAATATAAAATACTTTACTTTTTATAATTTCTCCTTACGAAATTTTAATTTTAATTCGCCCTTCTCACTCTCTCTCAATCGGTTTCAATCGCTCTCTCACTTTTCTTCGACAGAAACGCTGCACATCTTCGTGACGTATTGACGGATGAAATCCGTAAAAATTTTACCCTTAAGGCTGATTTACACAGGGTCAGTAGACAAGTCAGTCGCAGCGCCAATGTCGGCGCCGCGACTGACTTTAACTGTTTACATGAAGTAAGTAGTAGTGGTGCGTTTCTCACGATGACACACATTGTGAAGTCAGTGGGAAAAATGAATTCGCGAAAACAACTGAAAGACGATTTAATTATTTGTTGAAAAATTATCAATTTTCTGTTGAATGAGTTAATAGAAATGGTAGAAAATGAGATAACTAAAAATAAACGACAATGGGTAAGAAAATGTATTGACGATAGAAACGAAACTGGTGGCTCTGCTTTGTCGCTGAAGCAATTGCGATTTGAAGATCCTGCGGAGTACAAACTGGCCATATAATTGCACCAATTTTAAGGTTTCGTCTTCCTAAGCTTCATTTTATCGCCACGAAAAATGTGGTCACTCTAAACCAGCGGCATGACTAACCACGCATACTTGTCAGTTTACACGGGGTTTATTTGGCTGGCGCAGGGTGCGCGGGTGCGGGGCGCCAACTGACTTTAAAATATTCTTCATATTCAAGTCACTGATTCAAGCACTGTATGACTTCAAATAGTTTACACAGGGTTTTTCGGGTCAGCACTGACTTGTCTCGAATTTGTAGTCAGTTACCGACCCTGTGTAAATCAGCTCTTATGCCTAAAGAAGTTTCACTTCAAAAAATTGTGTTAGGTACATTATTAGTATTAATCTATACAATAATATGTGTGTACTCACCTAAACTCGGATTCTTTACAAATTAAAGTGTCGCAAACGGATGGGAGCTCGTCGCTACCATCAGGGCAGTCGCTATAGCCGTCGCAAAGCATGCTTGATTCGATGCACATTGATGAATCATCGCACATACTTTGTGTTTTACTACAGATAGGGGGGGCTGAAATATAGATCTTTATTGATTATTAGCACAGATTCGTCTTAAACATTAAAACGTGAAAATCTTAAGTTCGGCTTAATGAAACTGTTGTATAATACAGTGATACCTCGACATACGAGTGCCCTAATGTCCGAGTCCTTTGAGATGAGAGCAAGGTTTGAGATACGAAGATCACCCACCACACACTACCGCACCGTTTCAGTCTTTTTGCTTGTTTCCCTCGTTTTAAAAGCATTTTTGATAATTTAGGTTCGCGTTTTTTGCTCTTGTACATTTAGAAAACATTATCACATTTATTTTTATAACAATGGGTCCTTAGAAGAAGATGATCTCTATTGAATTGAAGCGTGAAATGAGTTTCTTATTCAAAAACAACTGAGGTCGTGTTTTGGGAGCTGGAACGGATTAATGGCATTTCAATGGGGAAAATTGCTTTGAGACGAGCTATGTTACGAAACGAATTAAACTCTTAGTCGAGGTACCACTGTAAGTATATGAAGTACGAGCGATATTTTGTAGTTCACACATTACGTTACCTAATTTTACTAATACGAAAAACATTTTCTAAATTAAGAAAATCTACCTTTTTCTTTCTTTTCCTCGCAAACATAATTTTTACCAATGCATTTACCAAAACACATTTTCTGGTCGTATCGACATAGTGGATTGCTTGTAGTGGTACCTGCTATTTAGAAAAAATATAATCAGTTTAATGTGGTATGTTTAAGGGTTTTATCTCTTAACATCAGGTCAGCCTCCTGCTCGTTTGACCCCTGTAATATAAAAAAAGCAGTACTGGCACTTAAAAGTACCTAAATAAATATACTTACATGAGCAATTTTCTTCATCCTCGCCAAACTGACAATCCTTGTGACCATCACATTTCTTACTCGACGCGAAACATTTATTGCTTCTATGACAATAATGTTCGTTATGCTTACAAAGCGCTATTTCTTCGCAGGTGTTGTTTACCTGCACCAGCCCCACGGGGCAGAGGCACTTAAATCCCATTTCGAGGTCCTGGGGCAAGGGGTGGGAGACTTGGACACAAATATGGGAGCACGGGGTCTTGTTTTGATGGCAGACATGGTTTAAAAGGGTGTTGTTGAGGGAATATGGGGCATACGTAGCTTGTAGGTGGAGCAAAGTGTTGTTGGGAAACAATGCTGAAATTATGTTTATTGCTTTATTAGAATCACTTTTTTCGCAAATATCAGCCATGACTACCTGAACATTTGCATAACAGGCCGAAACAGCAAGATTAAAGCGACATAAATTGTATTAAAAAAATGTGTGCGTCCCGAGACGCCCGACAGAAGTGATAACTTAAACTAATCTATGTTGAACTATTTAATTCTGTAATGTTACGAAGATCATCTTCTGCTTCATGCACCATATTTTTTATAATCACTTTCGAAAATGGTCATAGTTTGAGGTTATATGCTCACTGTCAACAGTAAATGCCAATCGCACACTAAACACTGAGTAGAGAGAGGGGAAAGCGTCTGTCCGAAATACGACTAGCGCTGCGGGTAAGAGAAGAGGATTCAGCATACCGCTACCGTATGTGCAGGAGAAAGGTAAAAGTATTTACTGGCGCCATAACGTGTTACCCTCCCGTAAGAAATTATCACTTCAATAATATTCGTTATTTATCTTATAAGTGACACTAGTAAGATAAATACACCGATTCCAAAACCTAGTGAGAATACAATTCTTTTACTCACATAATTCCATCCGTCGTATTACATAGCCAGCCCTATGAACATCTGCCCAGTACAAACGTTTTGTTTCTCTGTCTGTCCAAAATACATGTGTGTCCGTAACGGCAAAACTTTCGAGGGTAGAAGTAAATTCGCGGAATCGTTCCCTTCCCGTACCTAATAAAATTACAAGCGACTAAGTATATATTTAAAGTATTAGGTCTTAATGTATTATTAAACACCTTCTGGGTGAAAATGATCGATAACACCGTATTCATCTGCTAAGTAGACGACATCCAGCTCCGACGAATACTGCAGACGTATATTTGGACCTGTAAACAAAACATTCACCTGTGACCCCTTTAATTCCAGAGTCATTTGTTGATAGACGATATTTGAACGAACGTGTTTGTACCCGTGCGATTACGAAGGGGCTGTCCATTAATCACGTGAGGTTTGAAAGGGGGGGAGTGGTTCGGCAAAAATCACGAAATATCACAAGGTGGAGGGGGGTATAGTAAGATATCACGTGTACTTATTTTTCCGTCAAACGCGTGATTTCTAAACCGAAAAGCGGCTTAGTAAAACGATCGATCAGTAGATCGAGAGAGATTCTATGCGTAGTGCACGTGATGACGCTGAGTGGCTTGATAAAACCGACGTTGATCTTCAACAAAGTACAGTACCAACAACTGACTTGCAAGATGCTTATCTAGTTGTTAGTATTGAAGAAAGTCTTGCTTACCTGTGGCAATGTACATTAAATATGTTCATGTCTAATACAATTTTACAACAAGTTTTTCGCATGAATACACCATACCTTTAATATTATTTTTATGCCAGTCAAAAACAACCTGCAACCTTTCTGTCTAGACATTTTTATCATGGTCCTTAATTTTTTAGAATAGGATTAGATTATGCTTTATACCGGTACTTAAAAATAAGATTATAAAAAATTTAAGATTCTTTATAGGTACTAACAATATGGGGGGGTAGTCTTTAACCTCACCACGTGTATCACCATGGGGGAGGAGGTTAAAAAAATATCACGTGATTAATGGACAGCCCCTAAGTGGGTACTAAAGCATATTTCTCTTACCATATATCATTTTTGTAATAATATGTTTCCTATCATCTCCGTCCAATCCCATACTATCGATATTTATTCCTTTTTTTACTTCGCTCTCAAACACAGCAACTACCAAGCGTCTGAAAATTTCCCACAGATGTTACATTTTTTTCATAAGCAGTCAGTATTACACGCAAATAACTCGGCTGTGATGGCCATAATCAGTGTGTTCAATAATTGTATAATTAATAAAAACCTCACCCGTAATCCGGTAAAATGCAAAAGCTAATAGGTATTTCCTGACTGGGGAACCGATACACCAAAGTCCTCTCTTTAGTTCTGAGAGAGATGACGTCTATCATACCGCGACCAGCGTCCAATATGTACAAGGCATCCGAAACGTAATCTAAATAATATTTTCCAAATTTTAACGAACCTACACTTTTAAAAATTATATTGATATTTTTATGTATTACCATATCCCATATCTACAACGTTTTCTAAGGAATTGTAGACGAACAGGTGAGTGACGCCTAATGAAAAGTCCTTCAAGTCGATATAATTGATCGATTTCCTATGACCATCGTACACGTAGAGGGTACCTGTTACAGAAAAAATATTATAACAAAAAGTATGTTTAAGATTTCTATTAGAATTGATTAGAGAACAACGTAGGAATATGGGAGATTCATTGAGAGCTAGGTGATAGACATCGGTGAACATATTATGCATTGCCTTTGTATATATACGAGTAGTGAGCATATACACACATGTATATATATAAAGGGAATGTTCTCTTTTTTTTGTTTTTTCCCGCCCCCCGCTTGTTGGGGGGGGGGCCGCCGCGCCCCCCCCCCCCCCCCCGCCCCTTTCCAGGTTTTAGGGGAAAAATTTCGGGGGGGGTGGTTTTTTTTTTTTTTTTTTTTTTTTTTTTTTTTTCCCCCCCCCCTTTTTTTTTTTCCCCGCGGGGGGGTTTTCCCCCCCCCCCCCCTTTTTTTCTCCCCCCCCCCTTGGGTTTGTTTTTTTTGTTTTTTGTGGGTTTGTTTTCCCCCCCCCCCCCCCCCCCTTTCTCCCCCCCCCCCCCCCCCCCCCCCCCCCCCCTTTTTTTTCCCCCCCCCCCCCCCCCCCCCCCCCCCCCCCCCCCCCCCCCCCCCCCCCCCCCCCCCTTTTCCCCCCCCCCCCCCCCCCCCCCCCCCCCTCCCCCCCCCCCCCCCCCCCCCCCCCCCCCCCCCCCCCCCCCCCCCCCCCCCCCCCCCCCCCCCCCCCCCCCCCCCCCCCCCCCCCCCCCCCCCCCCCCCCCCCCCCCCCCCCCCCCCCCCCCCCCCCCCCCCCCCTTTTTTTTTTTTTCCCCCCTTCCCCCTCTTTTTTTTTTTTTTTTTTTTCCCCCCCCCCCCCCCCCCCCGCCGCGTGTTTTTTTTTTCCTCCCCCCCCCCCCCCCCCCCCCCCCCCCCCCCCCCCCCCCCCCCCCCCCCCCCAAAAACAAAACACACCCCCCCCCCCCCCCCCCCCCCCCCCCCCCCCCCCCCCCCCCACCCCCCCCCCCCCCCCCCCCCCCCGCCGCCCCCCCCCCCCCCCCCCCCCCCCCCCCCCCCCCCCCCCCCCCCCCCCCCCCCCCCCCCCCCCCCCCCCCCCCCCCCCCCCCCCCCCCCCCCCCCCCCCCACAACAACCCCCCCCCCCCCCCCCCCCCCCCCCCCCCCCCCCCCCCCCCCCCCCCCCCCCCCCCTATATATATATATATAGCATACTAGCTGCCCCCGCGAACTTCGTTTCTCCTTAATGTGATTTTACTTAGCTTACCTTTTTAGTTCATACCAACATGGAACATTTTGCTATGCCATCCCAGAGACGGTTCGGTTTTCGGGTACGAAAAAATTTTTTAGGTTATTCTGTGAATTTGTCTCTATATAAACCAAATAAAAAATAGGGATTCATAGTGGAGGGTAGATGACAAGACTCAGACTTACTGAATATGCATAAAAAAAAAATTCATAAGAATCGGTCGAGCCGTTTCGGAGGAGTCTGGGAACGAACATTGTGACACTAGAATTTTATATATATAGAGATATATATATACGCTTGTCGGCTCTGGGAGACAAGTGTACGCGTAGGCTGTTTATTTATTCATTTCATTTTTATTTGTTGTTGATGTTGGTACTAAAGTTAGTGTTCAAGATGTCTTTTACTAACTAAAATGGATCTGTGTTATCTAATTGGAATAAATTATTATTATTTTAGATATATATGTTGCAAAATATCATGCGATATATTTGAGTGAGTAGGAAGCAGTAATATTCCTTCGGTTATATTCGATACTTCCACCTTTTGACGACAAAATAACTAGACAGCGTTAACTGTAAGAAACGAATGTGTACATAAGTTTTAAAAGAATAAATCTTACCTCTAAAGTTGTCATAAGCCATAGCTTGTACGCGTTCGATGTTAAAATGGGTCGCGTGTGTCTCTGGGTTTCCCAATACATCATATTGAATGCGCGTAAATAAAGATCCGCCGCCCACTATTAGGTATTGCGGGTGATAATCGGAAATGGCTAAAAATAACACATCATTTAACAATTTATTGTTCGTTGTCCCTCTAATCATCAGCTATGAGAACTATGTAATGAGCTGCCAATTGACAAGTCTATAAAATGTCTAAAGTGAAGTGAAGAAAAGGGTGGGCCATACGCTCCGGAGGGATCAAGTCACATTGCCAAGCAAGCCCTTGACTGGAATCCTCAAGGTTAAAGGAGACGTGGCCGCCCAAAACAGACCTGGCAATAAGCATCTTTGCAGAGGCGAAGGAAGCTGGAAAGACGTGGAGTGAAATTAGGAGAGCCGCCCAGGACTTGTCAGGCTGGTTTTCTACTCTGGAGGCCTCACCGAGTTACTCACCACAACAGCGTTAACAGTGAAAAATCAACATATTGTCTATCGGTACTTACTTTTGCATATCTTTCCAAAGAGTTCCATACCCTCAGGGCATAGACAAGTGAAGGTAACATTGGATGTCGGTACGCAAATGTGCGAGCAGCCACTGTGCCTACACGGGTTTACTTTATCTGGCATCAGAAGCGGGTGATATAAGTGCATGTCTGCAACGTAAGTCTAAATTTAAGAAGTCATTCAGGTGCAAACTGTTTAATAGAGAAGAAGAGATACACTTCTACAAATGCGTTACAAGTGGAAGGTTACAAATAAATAAAACTTATTAAAATACTTAATGTTTGAAATATGTTGAAATGGTTTTTGTTATTGCGGTTAAATGTCACATACCAAAGACGGGTTCCTTTAATGTCATAAGAAGATTTTTTCTGACGGTACTGTGTAGTTTATCAGTGCTGTGGATGGTTGCCGAGGTCCAGTCGCTCCAGAAGACAGTGTTCTCAAACACAACTATAGTGTACGGATCGTGGTATGGCTCTTCGAAGAGAGACTGCAATTGAATAATCAAATAATAATCTTGCAGTGTTATACAATTTTCGCCCTTAGCTATTAAGGACTTTGGTAAATAAATTAGTCCTTCGAGCGAGTGATAGAACCGCACATAGACAGAACGTCCATTGCTGCACAGGCCACAGCATAGTGGATCGAATCTACTATCTAAGGGATGAGAGTCGCTGAAGCCACTAGGCCGACACTGCTTGACCTGTGCGTCAACGAATTGGTACAGTGATTTAAAAAAATATCACTAATGATAATAGTCAGGTATATATTACATTAAGAATAGCGTTAGAGCGACTTACGTATACTTTAAGATCGAACAGCTTAACGATTTTTATAACACCATCGACGAAATATAATCTATCATTAGGGCTGTCCAAAGCCATCCCGGTGGGACCGAATTTCCCCATTTCGTCCACTATGATATCCGGCTTTGTGCCATCCATGCGAGACCTCAGTATCACTGCCTTGTCTTGCCAATCGGCCCAGTACATTTCTCTAGAATTATATTGTTCTTTTAAATAAACTTTTGTACCAAAATACATTACGTAACACACATTTGTTACGTTCAACTATTGTATCGGTGGAGCCGATCGTAAATTAGAAGTTAGTAAATCTTAAAGAATGCTTAAAATAACAAGCAAACGTACCCCTTTCTAGGATCCAGGGTGACAAATCGAGGTTTCTTCGTTTGGGCTTTTAAAACGGTGCACATAGAACCGTCGGTTTTACACACGCCGATGATGCCACGCCGTACGTCCGTGAAATAAAAATTCCCTCCCAGCCAATCGACCGCTATATCGCCTGGGTCCTCTAGACCTAACGCCACCAGCACCTGAGGAGAATGAATCAAAGTCCGCATTTTGCCGTGGACCTGGCATCTGTCACAATATAAGTCCTAAAATCCTTTGGCCGTCGATAAATAAGATTTATGACCTAATTTCATCGGCCATACTTTTACCTGTTTCGTTTCAGCAACATTCTCAATTTGTGCTCTGTTGATAGCTTGATGACCCGCCGCTATCTCTACCCAGTATACGAACGTACCGTCCGATGAAACTCCGTGACCCTGCAGGTTGAAATAACAAATTAAAAAAATATTAAATATAATAAATAATATATTAAATAAAAAGAAAATTAAAACAAATTTGAACAATTATAAAAAGTTTGGTCCCTGTGGCAGTGTACCTTTAACGCTGGCAGCATTTCCTCGCTGTATTGCGAGACTTATTCGGTACATATACTTACCAGCTCTGGGGTCACCGATTATCTTTTATTAGCGCCTGTGCACTTGAACCTTGGGCCCAAGAGTTTCTAATTAAATTGTTTAATTATTTTGATTATTACTATGTAGGATAAGAAAATTTTAAATACTGTATAAATAATAATAATAAAAAGGACAGTCATCGCAGCCCAAAGACACATTTTAGTGGGTGCGTTGCCGGCCTCTCAGCGAAGACCCCCACCGGAAGTCGATTCCACAGTTCACTAGTTCGCAAAAGAAAATGCCGTTGCCGTCAAGGTGATGTTGACGAAATTTTGAATTCTTTAATTTGTATGTGTGTATTTCTGTCTAATGTAGTGTATTAACCTTTAAATAACACCATAAAAACCAAATTGTAAGTGACGTGACTATTTAGCTTAACCTGTTTAATTCCTGACGCCAACACCCGCTGTTCTTTAGATTTCAGCTTAATGTATCGGATATCATTGCGTGTGCTAAATAATAGCATAGCTTCAGGACCTGAAAAAAATATTGTAAATAACTTGTCGTATCTACACTGGAACACAGTTAGACAAAGTTTTGCCTGTCCTTGTAGCAATACAGCTGAAGAGACGGTGTTACATGTCCCTACTGTCCAATTATGGCTACGACAGGTATAACACTGAGCAAGTTATGGGAATGAAAGTAACAGAAACGAATCGAAAAGAATTAATGTCGAACAATAGGTTAAGAGACATGAATCTAAAATGTTCTGTATTATTATACAAAAAGTTGTTAACAGAAATAAGTAGTGCTTTATAATAAACAGTTATCGCCCCTATAACGCGTTTTACGTCCCCCATATAACGCGCAAATTTCTCCAGTTAAATTACTGTAGTGTGAAATTTATAATGAAATGTCTCATCCGTAATTACTTTTCGTACCTTAGCACCTGTTTCAAATGTGTTGTTATAAAATTAAACTTAATAACTTTATTAAATTCGTTTTCCTAGTTTTTGAAATATTAAAAAAAAACGATTTTACGGGAATACTCCTAAAACGCGATTTCCTATAACGCCGTCCGGATGTACCGCATTATAAGGGGGAGTACTGCCTTGCGATTCTGTAACTCAAGGCTGTACTTATGTAAAGTTATATATGCATTTATTTTCCATCACTTTCTTAATCAATTCTAAGAGACTAAATTATCGGTTTTGTAATCTTACCGGTGGCGTAGCAAAGGTAACTCGCGATGTCCGTGATATATCCCTCGTCGCACGTACATCTAAACACATCACCACTCGGATGACAGTAATGTGAGCACCACGGAATGTCATCAAAGCAGTTTTTCGCACTTTCACAGGTTTGTGTCGTGTAGTTATATTTAAAATGAGGGCTGCCGCAGTCGCAGTATGGACCAGAACGATCTGGAGAGCAGTCTCTGCCGTTGCATGAGAAATTGGAACACATCGTATGCCCTAAAAGTGAAATTGTACAACTGTTGGAATACCGCGACAGTAAAATAGTAGTTTATATATTTTTCCCTATTCTAATTGTGACTGACTCACGTTGGATTACGCTAGCAGAATTGGATTTTGAATCTACAGCGGCCTTACTACGTATCTTAGTTGGCATGACTCTGAGTTTCCAAAAACTACACGCGCACAACGACTCTCAGCTACACATTAAAATACATATCCCATTCTAGTAGGGTTGGGTGTTAAATACCACCTCACGTTTTGACGTCTCAAGTTCGGGGACCTTCATTGGAAACCTCCAAGGAGTTTTCTCCGGAAACCGTCTTAATATTTTTATAAAAAATTTAAAGTTTTGTGTAATTATTAAAATTTGTAAACAATCCCCATTTTCTACTTTTCTTTGGTTATAAGTGATGTGACGTTCACTTAAAAAAATCGTGTTTTTAATTATCGATTTTAATAATCTTTTATTTATTTATCGATTATTTCTCATTTTTGAAATTTAAAGTTATAGAATAATCAACATTAAATTAACCTAATTTCGTGTATAGATTATAGGGTTCGAAATTTTTGAAATTACTACCTTTTTATTTTCTAATTAGTACTTTATTTCATTTTTCAACTTTCTATATTTTTAATTTTTACTAAATAAAGTGTTTACTTTAATATCCAAAAATACCCAAAACCAACGGCCCCCACTATCCACTGTCTTGTCTGTCTTACCCCTAGATGTATATAAATAATCGGAGCGCGAAAGACAGCCCCCCCTGTAACGCACAGCATTATGAAAGCTGTAGCGGCTGAGGCTGGTCCCGAAGGCCAAAACCGAGGTTCGGAGGCTTAATAAATCCTGTGCTTGTACCAAGGGTGGAGGGGCTATTCCCTACCCGAGCTGATCCACAAAAAAATTTTATTTAGATTGGTTAGGTTAGAGTTAGTATATGAATATTTGGTCGCCGAAGGAAACAGGACCGAAGCCGAGGCTTGAATAAACAATTACTATTTAGATCGGAGCTTCCACAAAAACAAATATTATTTAGATTGGTTAGGTTAGAGTTAGTATATGAATATTTGGTCGCCAAGGCACAGGACCCCGAGAAGCCGAGGCTTGAATCACTTACTATTTGATCGGAGCTTCCAAAAAAAATTTTATTTAGATTGGTTAGGTTAGAGTTAGTATATAATATTTGGTCCCAAGCGCTACCAGGACGCCACAAGCCGAGGCTTGAATAAACAATTACTATTTAGATCGGAGCTGTCCACAAAAAAAATATTATTTAGATTGGTTAGGTTAGAGTTAGTATATGAATATTTGGTCGCCGAGGCCAGCAGGACCAGAAGCCGAGGCTTGAATAAACAATTACTATTTAGATCGGAGCTTCCACAAAAACAAATATTATTTAGATTGGTTAGGTTAGAGTTAGTATATGAATATTTGGTCGCCAAGGCTCATGACCTCGAAGCCGAGGCTTGAATACACTTACTATTTAGATCGGAGCTGTCCACAAAAACAAATATTATTTAGATTGGTTAGGTTAGAGTTAGTATATGAATATTTGTCGCCAAGCACTCAGGACCCAGCCGAGGCTTGAATAAACAATTACTATTTAGATCGGAGCTTCCACAAAAAAAATATTATTTAGATTGGTTAGGTTAGAGTTAGTATATGAATATTTGGTCGCCAAGGCCACCAGGACGCCCGAAGCCAGGCTTGAATAAACACTTACTATTTAGATCGGAGCTGTCCACAAAAACAAATATTATTTAGATTGGTTAGGTTAGAGTTAGTATATGAATATTTGTCGCCAAGGCCCAGGGCACCCCGAAGCCGAGGCTTGAATAAACACTTACTATTTAGATCGGAGCTTCCACAAAAACAAATATTATTTAGATTGGTTAGGTTAGAGTTAGTATATGAATATTTGGTCGCCGAGGCGCCAGGACTCGAAGCCGAGGCTTGAATAAACAATTCTATTTAGATCGGAGCTGTCCAAAAAAAAAATATTATTTAGATTGGTTAGGTTAGAGTTAGTATATGAATATTTGGTGCCAAGGCGCCAGACTCCAAAGCCAGGCTTGAATAAACAATTTCTATTTAGATCGGAGCTGTCCACAAAAACAAATATTATTTAGATTGGTTAGGTTAGAGTTAGTATATGAATATTTGGTGCAATTTTCAATTATTTTTAATATTAAAATCGAATACAAAAATCGATTTTCACTTTAAAAAAATCGATTATTTTCACATCCCTATTAATTTTATAAACTTAATCGGCCATTTTGAATGTGGTTTATGCTAGACTAGCGGTAATTAGTTTTACAGTGCAAAGTTTACTTTATAAATCCGTTTCTTTTTATTTTCACGTGAAAGTGCGTTATTTTATTTGCATTTTTTGAAACTTGGCTTTACATACATAATCAACACTGATTTCTCCGATCATTTTCAATTTATAGTATGGCGTCTACAAGTTCTACTCTGAAAATGATTTTGAGGACGATGGGTCCGTTTGAATCGTGACTTGAATAGTAAAGTGGTCTCATTGTGAATTGATTAGATTATATAAAAAATTAGTACCAATAGCAGTTTGGCATTCGCTGAAGAAAATGGTTTATCTTCTCCAATGTATCATCTAAACCCATAAAATTGCTTACAATAAAACATTTGTTCATTTTCACGAAAGGAAATTGCAGATCAAAAACTAAAGTTCCTAGAAATAAAGAACATTTTTCGAAAATATTAAAATAGAATTAGTTCATGTTTTCTATTTATTATATCGTTTTCGCAAAATTTGAGCTATCTTACAACCATCTAAGATCCATATAAAGATGATAGACTTAAATCCTTAAGTTACTATATGTGATTGGTATAGTTATTGTAGGGAAATATAGTTATATATCAAATGATAAAACTCAAGGGGTAGGAAGATTGGTGGCCCAGAGATAGTCAGTTGATGAATCTAAATTTGGGAAAAGAAAATATAATCGAGGTAATTATTTTATAGCACTATTAATTAATATTTACTATATGTGTTATTAGTCTGTTTTACTCTCTAGAGTGTAATTTAAAAACCAACTTCCAATAACCCTATTATTATCACATCTACAAAATTTATTTAACTCATTAAGCTTATTAACTAATTCTTTAATTGTTGTAGGACGACATATTGAGGGCTATTGGGTCCTTGGTATGATCGAAGACAAATCTGAAGACCTAAGATTGGAAGTGTCCCAAATATTTCGATCAGCTGATATATTACTTCCTCTCATTCAAAAACATGTTGAAGTTGGTACTATCATTCATACTGACTTCTGAAAGCATTACGATTGTCTGGCAGACCATGGGTACATACATCAAAAAAGTGAATCATTCAGACCCTGAAAACCCGTTTGTGGCTGAAGATGGAACCCATACGCAAAGGATTGAGTCACAGTGGAGGGCAGTAAAAGATTTTTTAAAAGGATAATTATAATAACTCTGAAAATTTTTCAGATCATGTCTATGAATATTTGTGGCGGCGAAACATAAAAAAAAAAGACCCATTTTTGGAGCTAATTAAAGCTGTCAAATATGTCTATAAATTAAACACTGACTGACCGATTTTTTATTTTGCTATATTGCTTATTTTGCTTTTTGTTTACTGCTCTACACGTGCTATGGCTATGTATTGGGCCCTGGTGGTTTTAGTGGGTATGGGGACCATCCATTTTACGACCTTGATCTCCCCCACTCCCCCGCGCCAATCACACTTGCCCAGGCGCGGGGGCCCGTAATCGGGTTTCCCCAGGTGAAAGAAAAAAACCGTTTTTTTGACGCGTTACGAGCAAAACACTAGGAGGTGTTCCAGATGAAGGTCCTGCCGAGACTCTCTAAATAATTAGTTCGTGAAAAAAGTGCGATTATTCAAACGTTACGTTTAAATTATATGTTTATAATATTTTATTAACTGAATCAGCATGCAAATTGCGAGCTTTGATTAAATCAAAAACTGTGAACACTTACAACTCTGACAGAATACCCCTTCGTCACTGCCATCTTTACAATCCTTAATACCATCACACATGCTGTCTTTGGGCAGACAGAAAGATTTGTCCAAGCACTTAAATTCTTTTTCTCGGAATGGAAAGGCATCGGAATAGCAATCGCGTCCGGTGTTTACTTTGTGAGGCCGCAACACGTGGCCTGAAATAAAGATCATTGCTTATTGGAAAGTACATATAATGAAGAGTTTACAAGAATAGGACAGTTTCAGTATGGCAAATCAAATATGCGCATACAAAAGCATCCATTTTAATTTAGTATAGCACTTTCCGGTTCAAATTGAACTTTAAGTTAGTTTTTCGTATTTAATTGTTCGTTTTTTTTAATTCTAAATGGCACGTGTCAGTTTTTAAAAGCTCCTCATTTGCATAATTGGTTGAAGAGAAAACTTACGACATGTCGTAACTATATCTTCATCAGTTTTATCCGCGCAGTCGTAGTCGCCATCGCACATCCAGAACTTCGATATGCAGCGGTTGGAGTCACAGGAAAACCCCTTACATGTTGCCTGGAAAGAGGTTTGGTCTAATACTCCATTCACATTAGAGCAGGTAAAAATAACCAGCCTAAGTCAAAAGTTCGTTGAACTGTTGTCACCTCCAAAAACCATAAAAATCCAAAAGTATAAAATTACGGCTGAAATTTTAACCTATGATAAAGATACACATCCTAATGTTTCAAGTGTCGTTATCGCCCGGAAACTTTGCAGAGACTAATCTTTTGGGGAATTGAAATCATTTTGATCGATTGTACGAAGTGTCATAACTCGCTTACGAATAAGACTCTATCCTCCGCTTGCACAAAAAGTTTCCCGTCGTGTTCCACCGATGCGGATATGCGAATCTATGATACAGGAATTCGCCTGGCGATTATTTTACCAGAAAAGAAAAAGAGCATGGATAAAACTTGATGACATAGCTATTTACAATATTACGGTTGCTATATTAAAGAAACTTACATTAGGAGATATGACAATAACACTACAGTTCATTTCATCGCTGCCATCATCACAATCTGGACTCGAATTGCAAACCCGAGAGTTGGGGATACATTTATGGCCGTCACCACAAAGATATTGGTGTGTTTCATTGCAGTGCTTCTCATCAGGGTTTTGGTTAACTGAATATAAAAATATCGAATTTTACTAAAAAGGTTTAACTAAATAAATATAACTCTAAATAATTATAGCAGTATTTAGGAGACCGAAAAACTAAAAAAAAGCTGATGTTCGTAGCTTTTGAATAAACACCTATCAATTTAGGTAGTACAAACAAACGTAACAAACTTAATTGTGTTGGTTTTTTAACTCTTACCGCAAAAGTTCTCATCACTGCCATCCTTACAGTCGTAACGACCATCGCAAAACTGCTCCTGAAGTATACAATCTCCACTTCTGCACTCAAAAACACCCTCACCCTGACATTCTATGTTAAAATCTTGAAACTCATCTATAAATTGAGCGGATGTAGTAGCCAAACAGCAGAAAAAGAAAATAAGGAGGACCATTCTAAAAATAATTTTTTTAGTTATTATATTATACCTTTAATGGCCAGCCAAACCTTTGTTACAATTAAAATAAATAAAAGCTAATCTATCTTAACAATTCGTATCGAACTTATTAATATAAAGTTTATTTTTTATTTTATTTGAAATTGACCTGAAAGTTTTGTAATACGACTTGAAATAATAAACTTCATCGATAATTTTGGCTTCCTAATACAGAAAATTTGCAATAAAACGAACGAAAAGCAATTCAGCCATGTGTTTACCAATTTTGTTAACCTTACCTTATATTCTAGTAATTGAGAACCTGGACGTACTGCATCAATTATTTTAATATTCTAAGAACGCTTAAGTAACAACTGATGAATGTAACAAAATTAAAATTGATTTTACTTTTCTAAGCGTTCATCCTCGTGCCGGGCGTGACAGGAAAAGAACTATAAAGTTGTAACTACCTCCGATAAAAAATTTGTATAGAATAAGTTTTGTACTACCCTCAAAAAATAAAGAAACAGTTTTGTTTATTAACAATAAAAAATTACCTTTTTTTAAATTGTTTTATTTACTTTTCAAATTTTAACTGTAATTTTAGTTGAATATATAATATTTCATATATTGTATAATCCATCCATATATTATAATTGCTTTGTAATTATATAAATTACATTAAATATATAATATTAAGAATAATATTTTATCACGTTTGTTTGTGATAAGTAAATTTCTTAAATCATTTGATTTCTAAACGTACGGTTGCCGGTTGGCGTTGCATTCTGTAAATTCGTAAAACTGACAAAATAACCCATCGTTACTGTAATCTTATTTAGATTTGTCACCTGGGACTTTGACATCTGACGTTTTTCAGTTCAGTGACATATGACGACTGAGACAGGTTCATAGTCCAACTTTCACGGTTCATAATTCATATAAAGTTTCGAATTTTAGTAAAAGTTACTTGTAATAGATATTTTTTCAGGATACTACTATAGCTATTTATACGATGGCTTCTCAAATTGCGAAATCATTATTAGCAACCACACGTCCGACCACAACTTTAAAGTTCGGTGAGTCTAAAATAGTATACCGTTTCAAGTTTTAGCTTTTTACGTAGAAAATGTTGGTAAAATACAGTTAAAAAAATTTACGTCTAAGTAGTAAAAAATAATACACTGTTACTTCATGTAGAGAAGGTTTATAAGTTGATACTAACTCCAGATATATATCATATAAACTTTGGACTGGACTTGCATTAATTGGCATTAACACAAACATTTTCATTATACCATTTATCTGTAGTGGACTTCAACCGCTTACATTTAAATTTTATTTTCATTAAAGATATAGCTCGTCGGGCACTTAGTGTAAATGCCACTCTACAGCAGAAGAAGTCCCTAAAAGATAAGACTGGCAAAAATGTGGTCCTTGTAGATGGTGTCCGTACGCCGTTCCTGGTTTCTTTCACGGATTATGCCAAGATGATGCCCCACGAGCTTGCCAGGCATTCCCTTCTGTAAGTATTAGATGTTTGTTTTATTGATGATAGGGGGAAAACTGCTTCTGAAAATTGACTCTGAAATATGAGTATCAGAAACATTATTAAAAAGTAGTTGGAAAAAATAGTTAAAATTTTAACTATTTTTTAATTTTACACTAATAAGCATACATAATATGTGTTACAGGGGTCTTCTCCAAAAAACTGGGATTCCAAAGGAAGTTGTAGATTATATTGTCTATGGAACAGTTATTCAAGAAGTGAAGACATCAAACATTGGACGAGAAGCAGCCTTAGCAGCTGGCTTTAGTGACCGTACCCCTGCCCATACTGTCACTATGGCTTGTATATCTTCAAACCAGGCTATTACTACTGGTATATTCATTACTTTATGTTATATCTACATAACCTCATCCATAATAAATGTTACTTTTAAAACCTAGTTTTAACTAATGGGCAGAGTTTTGGTTAAATATAAAAGGTTACATTTCTGAAAAATTCCTTTTGTAAAAACAAATACTAACTATTAATGTTTAAATTTATTTAGAAATTTGAGTCATGAAGTAGTTTTTTCAAAGTAAAGAATGGTTTTATTTTTTTAGCTTAAATAAATTTAGTTTTTTGTGTAATATTTGATAGGTGTTGGTATGATAGCTGCCGGTGCATACGATGTAATTGTTTGCGGAGGTGTGGAATTTATGTCTGACGTGCCAATACGACACTCGCGTAAGATGCGATCACTTTTACTGAAGCTCAATCGTGCTAAAACTCCTGCTCAAAGACTGTCTTTACTAGCCTCTATTCGACCAGATTACTTTGCTCCCGAGGTAAGATCATAGTGTTTAGACACTTCATTGCAACATTTAAGTAAATGTAAATTTAGAATCAATTTAACATCTTTTCTGTTGACATAAGTGTACTTGGTTACCTATATGAATATAGTTATTTTGAGTTTGAGTTAGTACAGCACATGTCCTGTCTCAATAAAGTAAAATACTACAATATTTCACTTATTTTATATTATTGCACGTATTTTAAATAATAGATGTCTTAATAAATTTAATTACAATTTTGATACAGCTACCGGCAGTAGCAGAATTTTCATCCGGCGAAACCATGGGCCATAGCGCAGACCGTTTGGCGGCCGCTTTCGGTGCCACTCGTGCAGAACAAGACGAATACGCTCTTCGCTCTCACACCCTCGCCGCCGAAGCCCAAGCCAAGGGGCACTTTACTGATCTCATACCTGTCAAAGGTGAGTAATCTAAAACCACAATACTTTTCGGCAATCGCTCATCTATTTCATTTCTAGACAAGATAAATTTGTATATTCTTTATCAGTGGACGGCAAAGATGGCGTAGTGGAAAAAGACAATGGTATCCGTGTGTCCTCCCCCGAGCAGCTGGCGAAACTTAGACCTGCCTTTGTTAAGCCTCATGGCACCGTTACCGCAGCTAACTCCTCATTCCTGGTATGATTATTTTAAGTTCATTACTGATATTCCTCATATTTAGAAAATAATTTTGTGCTCACAAATATTGTCTTTAAATTTAATGTGCGCTACACATCAAATTTAAAACATTTTATTTTGCTCAGACTGACGGAGCGTCAGCGTGCCTTATTATGTCTGAAGCTAAGGCCAAGGAGCTGGGGCTGAAGCCGAAGGCCTATCTGCGGGACTTCACATATGTCGCTCAGGTAATACTTAATTAGTTATATGTATGTTATGTCCAGTAGTCTAATTTAAAAAAATTATAAGAAATCGATACTCATTCAGAAGGACCCCATAAGATGCTGTTCTAATATTATGCCCATAATAATTAATATTATATTTAGTAGGTAAGAGGAAACTAAAAAAAAAAATATTTCAGGATCCAGTAGATCAACTTCTTCTCGGTCCAGCATATGGGATTCCCAAGATCCTGGAGAAATCTGGACTGCAACTTGGAGACATAGACACCTGGGAAATACATGAAGCTTTTGCTGTGAGTAGCATTTCTATTTTAGCCATTTGGCAGTACACGAAAACTTCATTAGATCAACTAATTCTTACCTGTCAGTCCTTATTATTAGATTATAATTTCATTCAATATAATTCTATTCATATTCCTAATGGTTAATAGCTTGACAAATAAAAAATTTTTCTTTAGATCTGATCTCTGACCCAAAACTCATTGAAACCGTATCAGATCTGATCTGGTCTCTTTTTCTAACTAAGAGAATAAATCTACAAAACTTTTGTTGAACAGGGCCAAATCTTAGCTAACCTCAAAGCAATGGACTCTGACTGGTTCGCCCAGAACTACCTCGGCAAGCAGACTAAGGTACATATTTTTTTTTTTTATTGTTTGCTGAATATTTTCTTGAATAACATCACTTGTAAGACATATTTTTTAAATAACCAATGTGTATGTCTATAGGTGGGTGTTCCAGACATGAACAAGTGGAACAAGTGGGGTGGCTCTCTCTCTATCGGACATCCGTTTGCTGCTACTGGGGTAAGCACTACTTGTTCGATACATAATGTGAAAGACCCAAATGGAATATAATATATTTTATTTGGGTCTCAAACATATTATGTTTCTATTAGTGGAAGTTAAGCCAGACCTTAGAACGGAAATATGTAACCATTTGTAGTAAGAATTTCTTTGTATTGTCTTTGATTTACATAACCTTTACACATTTAAAGAAAAAACTGTTTAACCGGATTGAAGTTATGTATTATTATAAATTTACAATTATTTAACATAATTTTAAATTTATCCTACGTTTCGCGTGCTTTACAGCGTGCGTGGTCACGGTGAGTAATATAAATAGTTGTAAATTTATAATAATACATAACTTCAATCCGGTCAAACAGTTTTTTCTTTAAAGAATGTCTTTGCTTCAGTTACACAAGTGATAACGTAAACAGTATGTTACCAATTTAAGATCTCTTAGAACCTGTTTCGTACGTTTGATTAAATTGCAGCTTATGTTGCATGACAGGTAAGGCTCGCGATGCACACGGCCCACAGACTGGTGAAAGAGGACGGTCAGTTCGGAGTGATATCCGCGTGTGCAGCCGGCGGACAGGGCGTGGCCATGATACTGGAAAGACATCCCGATGCACACACCAACTGAACACCTTTTAACCCTCCAGGGGCCTTTTGCCCAATTTAAGACAGGTTATCGTATGTCCATTGTAAGGTCACTGTGGAATTGAAATTGTCATAGCAATAACATTCTGTCAGTATACAAGTTTGCTAATAATTTTTGACTGCTTTTGCTAATGAGAAAAATTGTATTTCTGAAGTCGGTGTTACCAATTTGCGATTGTAAGTTCTGTTACAAATTATATATTTAAGCAGAAGTTATAATAGTCCTTATATAATTTAAGTAAACGTTATTCGCATTAGATTTTCCTACTCTATAAGTGAGTAACTTTTCGATGATTATACATTTTATATTTAATAAATAAATAATTTAATTATATTTTTGTTTTCCTTCTAGTTACGGACTTAACTACAATTTCATTAATTTATTTTAAAGTATCCAGTAAATGGAGAGTTCGTTTCACTTACATAAGTAAAAGTATGATAATGCATTAAACAAACGGGGGGGAGGGTCGCGTCAAGGAGTCGGTGATAGTGAATAAATGAATAAAACACGCCCAAAGTCGAGACAACAATTTAATTTGTCGCCAATACTCACTATCAAAGTACTAACTATTAAACTATAAACAAAATTAAACTATTTATTATAATTGATCGACACAAACAATTTATGCACAATTTTTACATATGCCGTACCGAAGCTTGAACTTTCCGTTACATGAAAGCGTGACGTGTGAAGATTTTTACAATGTATTCTTTGCGTCGCAACCTAAATTTAAATCTAGTCTAATATTATTTCCAATACAGCGGAGCGGATAAAAATAAAACTATAGTACATAAGATTATGTATACAAAATTATCGCTAACGTAGTAAAATAACGCATACACTAAAATAGTAGTAAAACATCCCAATAGACAAAAGACCACTCGCTCGCGACCGACAGATACCGAGGTGATCGTCGACTTCGCCGGCTTTTCAAAACGTATTTGACATTGTCGACGACAGCGGCCTCAATTGTCCGATTGGCTTTTTGTGTATTCGGAGAAAAATATTTAAATACGGTTTATATATGTACATACATCTGTCTTCGGGCAGAAACACGTTTCGGATGAACGTCTCCGAGGCACTTGCGAACATACTAATTGAAATATCATTTATCGCTCCAAACGCACGCACGCCGGCTCAATGCGATCACGGCAAAACAATGGAGTCTGAGACGTCGGCTAAGTGAACTAACGGAAAAAGGCACCATTCAATACTCTAATACATTATTTACATTTTCTGTTTATATATTGCAAACTATTGATTAAAATTTTCGCTATATTCGTCTTAAAACCTAGCGAACACCCTAGGTGACAGTGGAATTATTACTTTGCGATTGACCGAATTTTCGAGAATATTTGAAAGTTATATTGACATCCACCATCCCGACGACTTTACACCCGCATTGCGAGATCTATTAGACCGCTCACGACTAACGACAATCTACCTTTCACCACGCGATAAAAACATATTTCATTTCAATTTATATAGTTTTAAAATAAATAAACAAGAAAGTATACAAAACGGTTTTAAATAAATATTTTTATAATAATAATCTTATAGCTCGCTGCGGAAATAGCCGCGTGGTGAGTTCAAGTTCAAAGTTACGCGTTAATATGTTTAGGTAAAAGTTTAAAAAAATAATAATATCTATCAAATTTTAACACGAGAAGATATTTTTGGTTTAAGAATATTAATTACGACAATTATTGATAATTTGACGCGTTGTACACAGTCGACGTTTTGGAAGCACAACCTAAATATCGCGTCATTTAAAACTACAAATTACAACACTTTAGACCTATACCACGAATCCATTCCGTTTATTGCGAGGTGACCTTTTCGAATTCAAGTTAAATTTCTAAAGTATTGCGATTCGAAGACATCGCACGTAGGACGAAGCTATCTCCTCAAATTCGTTCGAACGTTTTGAGTGACTTCAACGCTTTTCCTATTTATGTAACTCGAAGTTTATCGCAGCCTAAAATCAGTGTTTATAAAAAATATTCTTGCCGTCTCTTAATATATTATCACTTCGTGCAATATATGTTTGACATCCTGTATTTATATACACAAAGATAGCGACTCGAAAACGTCATAAATCTATCTGATCCGTAAAAATTTGAAGTTACGAAATTAGAGCTCGGCCCGTTCCGGGGCTCGCGATAGAAAGAAATGGCTTCGTTATCTGAATTCGTTTAAATTATTAAAAATCGTGGTAATAGGGATAAAATATTTAATCTGATAAATTGCAACTATGTCGGAGTCTCGTTTCCCTCTATCGAAATAAAAGTGTCACTCGCCGACGCCGCGGCGCCTCTTCGCGTGCTACTGGAAGTCCGCGAGCGTCTGCCGCCACGTGGCGTGGAAGGGGATGCGCAGCAGTTTCAGCTTCGTGTTCGGCAACTGGGCCGACAGGAGCCGCTGCAGCGTGGGAATGGGGAGGATCTCCACCTGCAACGAAACACGGCACGTTTACCGCGACTGCTGCCGAGGCGCCGTTCACGGACGAACGAGCGAAGCGTACCTGCGGCGGTCCGGCGACGTGTCTCAAGTCGTCGGGCAGCCTGCACCCGGGCACGGGCTTCAACACGGGTATGCACTCCCCGAGCTCCCTCCTCGCCCCCTGCCCCTCCGGGGCCTCCACCTCCCCTCCCGCCTCGCACTGATCGATGAAGAGCTCGGTGACGCGGAGCAACTCTATGGTCACGCCCCACATGAGGTGCGTCAGGGTGTCTTTCAGCCGGAGCACGCCGCTCAGCACCTGCGATTCAAGCGCCGTTAGAGGTCGGAGCAGAGCGACCGATCGATCGAAAAAGACCCCACGGGCCCCATACCTGCTTGTTGGTGGTCGCCGACTGCGACACGTAGGTGGGTATGATGAGTAGTCTCTGGATGTTTTTGCATTCCGCCAACGCATCGTCGAAGCCCACCTGCGACGAGATAACGATGATAACGAATATTTCATTTCTATCGACTCGGCCGATTGCGCACTAAATGAGTGAAAGCTGAGCCACCTTAACGTCAAAGTTGACCAGCTCCAATCTGGTGAGCTTCGGCAGAGACGCCAGAGCCTTCAAGAGCGCCGAGGCCGCGCAGTGCGGGACGCCCCTCTCCAGCCTCAGCCTGCGGAGGCGGACGAGCTTCGAGAGCGCGGCGGCGAACGGACTGCCGAACGAGCACTCGCCCAGCTCCAACGACTCCAGCTGCTCCAGTTCGCCCACCACCTCGCAGGCGCACCAGCCCAGCTCCTTTATGGACGTGAGGGACAGGTGCTGGAGGTTGCTCAACGCGCTCAGAGGTTGCAGGTTGCGCGTCAGGGAGAGGCCTTTCAGACTCTGGAGACGCGGGAAGAGAGAAAATGTCGTGAGCTCGAACGTAAATTAAATAGAAAAATATCATCGACAGGATGGCTTCCGCACCTTCAGCCTCAGCAGCTCTAGCCTCGGCAGCTCGGCCAAGGGTTCGGGGTCGAACACGGTGTCGCAGATGGCGGGCGCACACAGGGCGCGCAACGAGCTCACCCGTCGACACACCGCTTCCACCACGCGAGCCGGGCAACGGCACAGCTCCAGCCTGAGGATAATAGCGAGTGATTAGTTAGTATAGATATTATGAATAACAAATAACAATTGTCGGAACCGACCGTTCCAGGGTATCCACCGTGCCAATGCTCTCGATGAATTGGTCCCAGAACACCGTGTCGTTGGAGGGGAGGAGCATTTTTCGTAAGTCCAGCCATTTCGTCGAACGCTTCTTTAAGACCGCGCACAGCCCGCCCCAATCGCTGACCTGCGAAACGTTTGAGCCAAATTTAAAAAAAAAAACAAGATAAAAATCTTTTCAAAAATTGTATTCTTTGTTTGTAGAAAAAACTAAAATGTTGTCTATAGCTAACTTCAGGGTGTCGGTTTTTTGTGACGATGTGCGCGTGTCATATTTTTTACCTTACGCGTCAAAAGTATAACTTCAATAATAATAACACGCCTGAACTAAAAACCATTTTCAATTGCGACATTGTGATAGATTTAGCCTCACGTGTGAGTTTTTCATCCGGACGTGTCTCCAGAGCGCGGGCGTATCCGTCAGCGTCTGCCACAACTTGCAGACGCGTGCGCATCGGGCCAGGTCCCGCATGCCCACGTATTGGAAAATCTGAAATAGTTGTTTACAATTATTCAATTCAAACAAATAAATTGTAGAAATGCGTGCGTACAAAGTACACGTGTCAGAAGTGAAACTTCTTTGGTCTAATTATTAAGTTTCGTTCATAGTTATCTATATTCGTCATTTGAGATTTCAATCAATTATTTTGCATAAAATATAAAATACTAATATTTCATAAATTCTCTTCACGAAATTTTAATTTTAAAAATATAATTTTTATAAGGTTCTCCCTTCTTCTCCTTGGTTTCAATCGCTCTGGCCCTTTTCTTCGACAAAAACGCGTCATCTTCGTGACGTTCCGTAAAAATTTTACCCTCCTCTAATAATGCTTTAAAAACAGTTCGCACAAAGAAAGCGACCAAACGTTTACCTGCAGAGCGACGTTGTAATTCTTCTCCCGGGCGCTCGCGTGGAAGTTGGAGAAGTGGGCCGCGTCGTCCGCTTTGGTCCGGCCTCTTCGCCGAGGGGAAGGCAACGCGGCGGGCGGCGGCGAAGCCCCGTTCGTCACGCGACGGGTCACTTTCTCGCTAATGAAAAATGATAAATACAATGAATTTACGCTTTCAGCGCTTCTCTCGGTTCGACAGAGACGATAGAATCGGTAAAAGTGACGGTGCACGAGATAAAATACGATTTTGTGTCGATCGTAAAGTAAAAATAGACGAAACGAGTGGTTCACGGCTCCGATGCGGACTTACCTTATCGAACGGTTTCGTCGAGGTAGGAAAACCCGGGTGTGATTTTCAATTCTTTATTAGATTTCCTCCAGCACTTAATACTAATATAATATCAATGGGGAACCCGGCTCGCATATTCGATTATTCGTTCCGTTTCAAGTTTAAATAGAACACGTGACATGTGGTAGAGTATGAGAATCAGCTCGAGATTTGCAGTCGTAAGCCTAATAAATAGCCATTTCGCCCTATCTCTTGTTGCGCAACTCTAAACAAAAAACTTTACAAAAGATCGTCCGGATTGAATTTATCTCAAAATTACGAAACTCTGGAATGCTAATTTGAGTCGAATTTACTTAATATTTTATAAAATAACATTAGTTTGGCAATCCGCGTGAAACGACTATAAACCGTCGGCCGTTGATGACGGCTAACGATTGCGGTAACGCGTGTCTCTGGAGCGCAGCGGACGAGGCGTTCGGGGTTTGGGGCGCCGCTAAGGTCGGCGGGGCCGAAGGGACGGGGCCGGATTGGGTCGGGACGGAAGTCGCACTCGGGGACACCGCCCACACTTTCTGCCCGTCCGCGCCGCCGGACATCTGAAATTACATTTTATTCCAATTAATATTCGTTATCAACATTTGAAATGACCCTTATATAACTTAAAATAAGGAATATGTGGATGGACTTTCAGAAACAGATTCAAGTCTCACCTTCATCCGCAACAGCACACGCTTGTCGTTCTTCTGGGTTTTAGGAGCCGGGACGAGCCTCGGGACGGGCACCGAGTCGCCCGACTGGTGGACCGAAGCCGGGACGGGGACGGGAGCTTGAAGACCGGACGCGGTCGTCACCCCCGATTTGTGGACCAGCGACGGGGGATCCCGGGGCGATGAAGAGTCGCAGTTCTGTAAATTATAAGGTCATTTAGGATCTTCTTTGCCTATCTATCGTATCGGTTATTTTTATGTTTAAAAAAAATAAATTTCATGAAGATAAATAACATTTTCTGAGAGATTGCCAATAATGTATTTTATTGAATGATTGATGTATATTTTTACCTTGCAAAAGAAGGGATGCGGCGGCGCGTGCGTCAGCCCCAGACAAGCGGGGTGGTAGAGGCACAGGCAGGCGGCGCAGGCCAAGGAGGGCACGGCCCCGCGGCCGCAGCTCATGGAGCACGGCTGTCGGACGCCACGCCCCATCTGTGTCGGACTCGGGGTGACGTACGTGCATCTCTTTCTTTCCAGCATCGCTCTCTTCGACTCATATACGGGACGAAACATCGACCCGAAACTATTTCGACTCTCCGGGAATCGAACCCGGGATCTTCGAGTCGAATAAAAGAAATGCGTTCGAGTGGCAGTATATCGGTCGGGGCCCTCGACTTCGTCGGCGTGAAATTTCGGTTTTATTTTTGCAGTTTCATTCATTCAAGAATTGTCATTTCATAGCTTCTTACATACAATATTGATAAATAATAATTTCGAACACTTTTAATATTTAGACTTTTAGAAACTTAGTCCACATATCGGGGAGATCTCGATCTGAATCCGTTCAGGGCTTTTGAAGATAACGAGCTCGTTTGGAATCGCTCACAATCATTTTAGGTTCAATTTATCGAATTAAATTATTTACTAATAAAGGAACAAGGTAGAATAATATTTACCTGAGCGTGCTTGTCGACGTGCGAAGGCCGGGCGAGCTGCGCCTGCGCCGTCCTGCGGCCACACATCTCTCCACCACTGCCCGAGGCACGAGCGCACACCGCCACCGACACGGAGCGACGCGACCCCGCATTTTACGAACGTTTAATTCGGACGTGCGTACATTAAAAACACTTCGTGCTTTCGTTCGGGTCGCTTCGCTTCGCGTCGGTGACGGAGTCCGAGCCTCTGCATCGCTCGACAATAACTCTCCACTAATCTCGCTCGCGTATGACTTAATCTTTCAGAATTCAATTCGGGCGAGATTAGTGTAGAGTCGAAAACGATAAATGAAAACACACTTAAAAAAAATGTGAGAACATTTTCAATGAATTAGCACCGAGAGCCGTGAACCACTTTTCGATTTCAAATTAAAGATAAAATTAAAATTTCTGTATTAATGTCAAAGCATTCGCCGGAGCTGAGCAGGGATTTCTTCGACATTATTTCTTTTCATTCATTCGGATCCGACCGCTTCGGCGAACGTTTGAGCTCACCGAGAACATCTTACAGTTCACGTCGAGCCTCGTCGCTCTACAAATTGCTGAGCTTCACCCGTTCGGTGAAACGGAGAAATGAGTATCGCCCAGATTTAGTATGAAACGGTTGTATACCTAGGTTTCTTCCAAGCCGTGTTGTTGTTGTCCGCGGGATGCTGCGTCTGAGATGTGCGTCTGGGCTGCTTCGGAGTCGCCGGAGAGGAGGGAGCGCTGTTGTTGTTGAGGCGGGACCCGATCGACTTCACCTGTCGCAATTCATTATTCGTTTCAATTCTATTTCTAGTTAAAATATAAAAACAACTCTCCGAGATCTCGAACACTACTCGGGCACAAACAGTCTAAGAAATTCCGGAAGAGAACCCGTGCGTTGTGCTTTATTCCTCGACAAAGAGACGGCTCTCTTCGTAGTTCGAGTGAATCGAGCCCCGAGGTGTCCAGCAAAAACGCAAACCGGTACAAAAACGAAGAATAGTATATCATTATTACGCAATACAGTTTTTGTATTTTTTCTAGCATTAGATCTTTGAACGAAAATTTATATTTTCGTTAATTAACTTCCAATTTAATGTTTTACGCTTTTACGTTCTCATCTACACATGTACGCACCTTGATTTTGGCGGGCGGCGACTTCACCGCGGGCTCGGGGCTGGCCCCTTTGGTCGGTTTGGGAGTGCGCTTGAGGTCCGCCACCGTCTGAGTCGGCGGCGGCACCGGAGATTCCATGCGACGGATCACTTTGGCGTCGCTGAAAGATAACCATACGCTTTATAATAAGATATTCGCACGCGTCACGTGACACGCGAACAGAGAGTCGCTCACCGAATGATTTCCTTTTCGGGGTCATCTATACCGAGAGGTTCCTTGAAGAACGAAAAGTTCTCCAGAGTGAGACCGCTTCCCGACAGGTTTTCGGCCACCTGTAATTCGATTAATTAACAGTGAGTGAATTTATATATAGGAAAACGATCGATGCACACGAAAGACTCTTCACCTCTCTGGTGGACCGGAGCTTCTTCCCGCCTGGCATGTAGTAGTAGATGTCGGCGTTGCGGCGCGAGTGCGCATCGAGCGCAGCGCGGTAAACGAGCTCCCGCTTCCAGCCTCGCTCCAAGGGCACGCGCAGCAGCGGCGAAGACATCTCCACTGTGGGTCGCCGACCGCGGTTGGCCGGGGACGAGGAGGCCTGTCCGGTTACAAGTATTGTATTGGTACACGGGTCACATGAAGAGGAAAAGGGGTAGACCATTGCTAAGGTCAGAAATTTATGGTGGCATTCGGAGGGGGCCTTTGTCAACAAAAGGCAAACAAACAAGGTTGTCGAGGAAATGTAAATATTCAATTATATTTAAATTTATTTTTTTCAATACTATACATGTATATTCTAGATTAAGTAAAATTGTATCTTGTCGGAATAAAGTTTTATATTATTATAAAGTATTGGGTTAACCAGTACTAAATTCACCAATAAATAAAACAACTAGTACTTCACTATCTAAATCGGTTATATATTTACCATAATTGACCAACAATTAGCGCTTCATCTGCGACATTAATATCAAGTTATGTTTTAATTGTGTTTTTTAATCAACCTACACCCATTTCACTTCAGTTATAAAACTATATTTTATTATTTACCAATTTTTATTGCTACACAAATAACTATTTCAGATGAAAACAACATCACATGCAAAGTTAGACCTTACAACAATACACGACATATTACCAAACAATACTAACTTTAATATCCTTTCCCAGCTCTATTTTAAAAGGCTGCATGCACAAAAATGTTAATGAAACATATTATTTAAAAAATATTGAATTTGACTAAGGGATACTAACTTTTATCTCTTCTTTAATTCCATTTATCCTCTGTGGCTGCTTTCACAAAGAAAAGTAAAAATGAGTGAAAATTAAATGATGATATACAAATTCAAAATACTGTATTACTTATTTTAATAAACAGCATTTACAATACAGGCTTTTATTAAGAATAGTAAATACAATTAAAAAATGACTTTGTGTGAATTCAATTAAACATTCTTAATCAATTATAAAATGATTAACTCACATCTGTTGCTCCGTCTCCTTCAGATGTTGAAGATAGGGCTGATGATGGTCTTGAACTATCTGTTTAACGAGATGGAAATTATTCACAAAAAATAAAGTGTCAGTTTAAAATATAGAATCTGTGCCTTTGAAAAAGAAAAAAATCCAAGTAAATTTTATGTACCAATCAACATATATAGATAATCTTGATAGACAATTTTTAATTTATTTATTTCATACAACTTATATAACTATACATGACAATCAAACTATACTAATATTAATCATGTTTTACCTGTGTCTTGTCTGGGTTGTTTTGGAATCTTCAATGTTAAGGTCAAAACTTTTCTCAACGGAGTCACAAGCTTTACAGCCTCTGATACTTGAGCCTGCCAATTATCTAGTTACAAAAAGAAAATCTCCTTTTAAACTTTACACTTATTATATTATTTGAATTAAACAAATATACAAATAGGTATGACGGTTTATGTACAAAAACTTTTAACAAAGGTGTTCTAAAGAAATGCACAATTCATAAAGATACTGTAATTAGTTAAAGCATTGTGTCCTTTGGACAAAAGTGATGATATATATATAATAGGATTTTAGTAAATTATAAATAAGGGTTAATCTACAAAAAGCCCACCTTCACAGAAAAGATTGTTAAAATTAATAAAAGATTAATGTGCAAAATTGAAAACTATGTTGTATGGTTATGTCTTAATTCTGCAACTTATGGAACCAACGTAAAACAAATATTATATAAAATGTAAAAACAGTTTGGAAAGGAAAAAAGTAGAGGCATACTTTTTTCGAATATCAGAAGCATAGTAAAATCAAAACCATAAAGTATAAAGTCTTACCTAAAATTTGAGAATAAGCAGACAAGCTGCTATTTTCAATAGACTCAAACCCCTTAAAGTCTTCATCTGTTGAATATCTCCGTAAAAATTTCCAATCCTCGTCTGTGGTGCAAGGAAATCACCAATGATTCATTATTTGTTGTAAATATACGATTTTGTTTTAAGTATTGAATTTAGGAATTCCACATTTTATGTTATTGAGTTAGATAAAGTACTCTGCAACAAGTAATGCACTAGAAAAGCTGTCTAATCTAAAAACAGACTTACCAACAATCTTATTGAACTCTGTTAGGTCACAGTCACTCTGTTCAAATCCCTTAAACTCTGTGTCTGGTTCATCACTGAAGGCAGCAGACGCCCTGCGCTTTTTGCATTTTTGGTCATCATCATCTTTCTTTTCATTTGTATCATCAGATAGTTTAGTATTTGATGTGCTTGATTCTGGATAGAATAAAAATTTTCTAATATAAATATTTAATGACTACAACACTGCGGTAAGTTTGTGCATTAACAAATATAATGGCCACAAATAGTTTGATAATTATTTTTTATTGCATATAAAAAATTAAAACAGACAAATGCTACATTACACTACAAATACCAAAAGTTGTTTATAAAAAAAAGGTTATCTCAATTTATATGTGCATATGATGTCATAACAGCTTTCAGTCAGATACTGTAATAGGCAAATAACAAATGATGATAATTAATATATATTAGATCTTAAGCCCTCTTTAACAAATAAAATGGCAAAGAGGTATAACGTCCAATGAAAGCTGCCGATTATAACAGATTGATAGTGGAAATCTCAAATTCAATCACAAGTTATAAAGCTCATGAAGTACAGTGAATTGACTTTGTGTATCCAAATACAATAGCTCATCAATACATAGCTTATGAAACAATAAGCAATTCATAATTCTGCCAATAAATTACTACTTTACCATAATTTTAATTAGTTATAAGTATAATTTTAAATAAAAATCTGCTAGTTATATAATATCCCTTAAATCTATATTATAATAGATAGCCATATTTTAACCAACACAATATGCACCCATATAGAGCTCATTAAGAGTTTTAGGTTTTACTTGAACTATACCTCTGCACCTAATTTAAAATAACTGTTTCATTAGCAAACACATAGACGGAAAAACAAACCATATAACTAATATCATGATAGCTGATGAATATTAATATTATATTTATACAATGTAAGGGTAAGTTTTTGCTATTACTAAATAATGATCAAGATGTCAACAGATATGTTAGGTTATGTTTTGGCCAAGATACAAACCTTCTTCAGGCTTGGCTTCTTCCTGAGATCCCTCCATCAAAGCTTCCGAGGAGGGTTGTGAAGCCTGTTCAGTATGTATAGCCTCTTCTACAACCTCATCACTACAAACAGTAGTATCCTTTGACACCTTATCACCAACCGCCATTTCATTCGACATTGTCAATTCTAATTATATCACAAACCTAGTCTCAGGCCTTGTATAACCACATTACAATCACTACACTACACCAGGCCACAGTACGAAAAAATTAGAAACAGAGGTTGTGGACTGTTGTGCGCGTCACTAAGGCGATTTCCCGCTAATATTGTCAGAGCAAAAACTTCAAGTAATACAAGCAGGCGACACGTAGATCGCTGTTTTTGTGTAATATAAACGTTATTTCATTATTATTTTTATACGGTTACACACCATATCCAGACATTTAGTATATAATTTATCAGAAAATTATATTAATATACGTCAACTTTATTTTCCAGAGAAAATGTCGTTCAGAAAATCATAAACAATACCAGACAGACGCCACATTTAGACTTTGTTATCTATGGTTTACACTTTATGGTTGCCACAGACTGCTATAAATAATTTAAAATACACCGTAGTATAATTAACGGAAACGGTTAATTAAACTATAATATATATAGAAGGCGTTTTTACTAGTACTACAAAATTTAGCCTAGGTTTAAAAATAGAATATTGAGCATAGATCAAATTACGCGGCCCAATGATAATTTTGGTCTCGCGTGTAGTGTTTTAATCAGCGCCATCTATCACAATTAAAAATAACTTTTTATTTATAGGAGTCAAATAAAAATAAACTAATTCAATTCTTAAGACTTTTATTTTCTTTTTCTACCGTTCTTCGGCGCTTGTGGTTTGCCAAAGCTCTTCCCTTTAGGTGTATTTTTTCCTTTAACAGGCGCACCTTTTCCCTTTTGCTTTTCTTTACCTGTATGAATAGGTTTCCCTTTTTGGACCCTGTTTGCATCATATCGGAGGCGTTTTGTGGAGGATTTTGACGTGTCTGTTAGATCGTTAGCGAAGTTGCTCAGTTTTTTCTTGGGTTTGCCCGCGTTTTTGCGTTGCATGGGTCTTTCGTCATCTTCTTCAACTGCGCGTATTCTGCGTTGCTTCTTCTTTCCTTTAGCCATTCTCGATTGTAAAAGGGCAACCTGTGAATGGATATTGGTTTTAAATTGGGTGTTCTGATATTATAAAGAAATTAATTAAATGTTCAGTTAATTTATTTAGTTGTAAATATCTACCTTTTCCATTTCTCTCTTGACCCGTTCTTCAGCGGTATCCTTTGGCGTGTGTTTGCTAGGTTTCTTCTTCTTCTTGGGACCTTCATCGTCTGAATCTTCATCTCGCCTTCGCTTCTTGCCTTTACTTTTTTGTGTATCTATAAAATGAGATAAAATTATTTACTTATAATAATTGAAATAATTATATTTTATTATTCACATTTTTCTTGCTTTAGAGTTTAGAGCGTAAAACAACTTAAATACCTTTGCCAGCATGTTTGGTGAGTGTCAACCGCTCTTTTTCCATTCGTTTTTCTTTCGGCGTCTGGAACCATTCTCGGCTCCTGTGCGTTTCGTACTTGGGACCGTCTTCATTCTTTGTACTGATAGCACCTTCTAACTTTTCCGTCTGTTTTTCCATTTTCTTCAATTGCTTCTCAGCATATTCTTCGTTGAGAATTGCACCTGGATTTTTAAATAAATTAGTCTTAATAGTTACAGCAGCACAAAAAAATAGGAAAAACTGTATATTGTTTTATGAACTTACATATCTCTGGCTCCAACTTGGCCATTCTCTCACGATATTTGGCCACTATATCCGGCGGCACCTGTCGCGACTTGACCGGTCGCTTGGCTCTCTTCACGATGGCCTTGACGAGTGCTCGTTCGCCTTCGCCCGCTAACGAAACGGACACGCCCGCTCGACCCGCCCGAGCTGTGCGTCCCACCTGTCACATGGGAAGTTTATAACTATAACTAATCTTCATTTTCCTTTGCAATTTATTTCATAATTTTTGTTAAATTCACTTGGACATAACTATTAATAAAATGTGTTACTACTATGTACTATGTGATGCACTATCAAAATCCACTAAAGTTTTGTTCAACTTTTATTTCCTGCAATCAAACACTTACCCTATGAATATAATGTTCCAAAGTAGCGGGCAGCGTAAAGTTAATGACAGTTTTGACCCCGGGTATGTCCAACCCTCTGGCTGCCACATCTGTCGCCACGAGGAGGTCCACTTGTTCATCTTTAAACCGCTTGAGAGAATCCAGACGTTGGGGCTGGTTGAGTGCGCCGTGTAATTCGGCTACCTGGTAAAACACATATTTGAACAATAAATTCCAAAACTCTCTAGTTTATCTCTTTCAAAGAGAAGATATTTTCCAGGCGTTTCCATAATTGAAATAACCTATTGTGTATAGTCATAAACGACTATAATTTTTTGAAAAGTATGAACGGGCCGAATACCTTAACTCCAAGCAGTCCCAAGGCGACGTGTAAGCGATGCGCCTGCTTCTTGGTTTGGACGAATATCACAGCTCGGTCTCTGAAAGTGCGGCACACTAACGCCGCCAGCATCGCCTCACGGTCTGACTCGCGTTCCTTACGTATTCTGTGAGGACATGTTGTAAATGACACTTAACGAAAGTTATTTAATGTTTACAGCTTAAAGACTGAAGCTACAAACTTAACTTTACAAGAACACACATTACCTAACAAATTCCTGTCTCAAATTGAAGGCCACATCTTTGTTTGAATCCAGGAACAGTTTGACCGGTTTGTTTAAGGACACCGCGGCCAAATCCTTCACCTCTTCGCTCATGGTAGCCGAGAACAGCATTGTTTGACGTTTGGGCGAACACTGGCGTATAATCTCCTTCATTTGCTCGGCAAAGTACTCGTCCAGCATTCTAACAATTAAATTGAGAATGTATATGAAAATATATGTACTTAAAATAATAATTAAAAATCCAAAAACATGCAGAAATATGTTTATCTATATGAGGCATGTATATACCTGATGTGGAAGTAAGTGTATTTAATTCCAGAGAATCAATAAAACTCACCGATCCGCCTCATCCAAAACTAGTACTTCGATACAATGCAAACCAAAAGATGGAGTATTCTTTATGTGGTCAATAAGTCGTCCCGGTGTTGCTATTACTATGTCTGGATTACGACGAAGAACACTTTCCTATAAATAAGAATTATGTTATTTAATCATGTATTTTAGTTTTTGTAGTTACAGGTAAAGTAAAGCTATGAATGGATGAGATATTTAAATTTACCCATTCCAGCATGTTCAATAGAACAAGAACTATAGACTAAACTAAAGCCCTAATTACCAAGGAAATGAAGATTTTTTTTAACCTGATATTTGACATCCAGACCTCCAACTGATAGACCAACGGTTACAGACGTAAATTGAGCTAATTGTCGTGTTACTGTATGGACCTGTAAACACAAATCATATTAACAACTTAACTTATTTTAAGTCATTTACTTTTTTAATTTAATTCTAAATAGTACTGACTTGTACTATTTTATATTCTCAAAGTTGCTAATATCATCTTGATTCTAGATATAAAAAATCAATCACTGAATACTATCATCTGTATGTCACAACAATACTAGTATTGGACCTGCACAGGTTTATTTAAAAAAAGTATAGTTTTTATTTATGTAGTAAAAAGTTCCACTAATGAGTTTTTCAATATAGTTCAAATTGAGATTTTAGAATATTTTTAATTACCTGAGCGCCCAATTCTCTAGTAGGTACTAATACCAGAACTCTAGTGATCCTGTCACCAACAGTTTTGTAAATTAGTCGTTCTAATATTGGTAACATGTATGCTGCAGTTTTACCAGTACCTGTTGCAGCACAGGCGCATATGTCTTTACCTGTCATTGAGAATAAAAATAATGTTTGGTAAGATTATTGTGTTTTTATAGGGTATTGACTAAAGCCAATGGCATAAAAGAGGCCTTTTTTAATTTGACAAATGAAAAGGCACTTCTATGGTCTCAAGTGGAACACTGTGTATACTATAGATAGAATTATATTTGGGTTTGAATTTTTATTTTACATCTTGTATTTTAATATGTATAAAAATGTATATACATAGATAAAAATAATACATATACATACCTAAGAGTCCTATAGGTATAGTGGCGGACTGGATAGGTGTAGGATGCACATAGTTCAATGTGCCAATAGCTTTAAGCAGTGGGCGGGATATGTTCATCATATAAAATGATGCATTTTCATCATATGCAGGTGGATCTTCAAAGAAATCTTCATATTCAATTTGAGCAGCTTGTGGTTTGTCTTCTTCTAACTCCTTAAAAGGATATACAAAATAACAATCCAGTTACATAAGCTTGGTAACTGTTAACAATGTTACCATTTTTGATTAAACAATTTCTTCAACAAATCAATATTAAAAGACAAATTTGAGCCATAAAAATGAACCAACATTGAACAAAAGATGCTTACCTTATTAAATTTTTGTTTTTTACCCTTTTTCTCTTTAACCTTTATTTCATCTTTTTTTAATTCATCATCAGATATTTCTAGCTCATCTACATTTTGTTCTGTAAAGCAAAAAAGGTGTTTAAGACTGGATTGGAAATTTTTTTGTGTTACATTCTTCCAGTAATATGTAACAATGATCACACATCATAAGCAAAATGTTCAATTTTATCAAATGTATATTTATATTGATTTGTTATATGCTCAGACATCACACTTTTAATTACTTTTATATACTTAAATTGTGATTACATCATATTTATATAAGGTACACTAAGATAATTCCTGTTTCATAATAAACATTTTGAAGCCACACAAATAGAAATAAATATACCTTCGGCCTCTGAATCAGTGTCAACATCAGCATTGCCATTTACTTGTACTGCTGCTCGCCGCTTAGCTATCTTTTCGTCAAGAGTTTGTTTGACATTTCTTTTAATATACTTTTGCAAGTCATCCCATGTATCCTGTAAAAGTTATCTCCGTAAGTAGGATTTTTTGACTCTCCAGTTAGTATATAAGATATTCTCTATATCTTGTGCAAAAGTAAAACAGCATCTTATTGTAGATAGTGGAAACATTGACTTAAAGAAGTGAATTTCTATATATTTAATAGAATAAATGTGAGGTGGTAGAAGTGAACCTACATGGCAATATTATCAAAGCAATTAACAGAATAGCCACTTACCTTATGATATTCTTCAACTGAAGCTACAAATTTGAAAGAGGGATTAAAATCTGCTTTCTGCTTAGCTTTTAGCTTAGATGGTTGATACTGAAAGTAAAATTGGTAATATATAAGATGATAATAATACCCTGGTAAATTTATATCTAGTCTTAGTTCTACATTACTTCCCCATACGACGTTTAATCTTAGATTCTGGATTTTACTTAAATAACATTATTACTTCTATTTCACAGTAATATAATGAATAATAAATAAGTAAATACACGTACTTCCTCTTCAACGTCTGATTCCTCCGAATAATCTTCAACTTCTTCACCATCGTTGATTGTTTTAATGAGCCCGGGATGCCCTTCAATTTCCATCATTGCTATTAATATATACTAACTAATATTAACTATTTAGCATTTTATATGTCCAGCAAGGTATTGTTTTAAGAGGTTTATCTACTAAAATACCTTTAAAGGTTAGCTTTCAAAAACACATGTATAACAAACAACATATGACAGATTGAAAAATTGCTATGTATAAATGTATAATGCAAAAAAACGTCAAAGTTGCTATCATATAATATTTTGTTACATTTATTTCTTGGAAATACATTTATTTTTTAAATTACCGATGTTGAAATGTTCATAAAAGATTTGAAAAATGAATAAAAATAAGTTTCGCAAAAATCTCTTGATGTCAAATAAGTAGTCATCTCCTTACTTTTTTTTATGGCTCTGGCGCGATTTGTGCATTATGGTCTAAGATCCCGCTATACAACGACCTTCACCGAGATGCTTATTTAATGAAACTTATTTTATATATAATTTAATATGTCAATAAATATAATCCATATGGGTTGCCTAGCAAATTTCAGTCCAGAGTATGTTTAATTAATTTAAAAAAAAAATATTTTTTTAAACATTTCACCGGTATGATTATAAAGGCCCCAGTACACAATGGCCCATGCGGGCCCACTACAGGCCATCGCCATTGTGTACAGGGGGTAATGGTATATGATGGCGGCCAATTGTCAATCGTGGCGCGCAATCGGGGAGTTGTCGGTTTTTTGGGCACACTTCAAAGGAATCGTGGCGTAGCGTGGCCTGTGGTGTTTACACAATCGGCCATTGTTTAGTTCGTCACCGGCCGCTGACCGGGATAGTACACTTTTGTGTTTCGTGCTAGAACTAAAATTTTCATTCTAAATATTAATATCATAACCTAAGTACCACATTAAAAAATCCTTGTCCTGTTTCGATGAATGGTCAGCATCCACCATCGCCTTTTTCGCCATTTCTTTTTTATAACTTTGTGACGGTACACACTTCTGTAATACTTGTAAACAGTATACAAATAAATAGCCGCAGCCGTAATTACTTCGACGTCTATCGCAAGTGGTTTGCCAGGCAGCAATGAGCCATGCGCCATTGTGTGAACACCAAGTGATCGTGGCCTACAATTGTGCATTGCAAAGCGTGGCCCATCACAGGCCATTGTGTACTGGGGGCTTTAGATAAATTCTATACCAATCGAACGTATGAAGCCCATAGAATATGCAAACGTTAGGTTGTTTTTAATCAATTAATTATTTATGTGTATATTTTTTATGTGACACTAAAGTATATATACATCTTTAGTATAAAAGAAGGTTATAGTGATACATATATAATACTACCCTGATTAAAAATATTGATTGAAAAAAGTTCAAAAAATTGACTACATGCAAATTATAAAAAAAAATTTTTTTTTTTTAATATTAATTAAACATACTCTGGACTGAAATTTGCTAGGCAACCCATATGGATTATATTTATTGACATAATAAATTAAATATAAAATAAGTTTCATTAAATAAGCATTTCGGTGAAGGTCGTTGTATAGCGGGATCTTATACTATTAGCCAGCGTCAAGTATAGGATTTTTTATAATTCGTGCTTGTCTTTAGAAATTCGACCGTGTCCTCCATGCACGGTTTAAGCACTCGCCCGGTACCGCACAACCCTCCCAAAGGCCGAGAACAAATTTAAATTAAATTAAAACTTGCCCTCGAACCGGGAATCGAACCCGGTACCCCTCACCTAGCTGCCACTTAATAAGACCGCTAGGCTATGAGGCCCCTATCTCCTTACTTATCACGACACAAAGTAATAATATAGAAATTTTACCTAAAAATAAAATTTGTATTATGTTTCCTAAGACGTCCGAGGTCCATTATGAGAGTACATCGTTTCCTTTTCCGCCCAAATCGCTAGTATCCGACCTTTTCCCACCACGTGACACCGCCGCCAGCGCCCAGCGTTTGAAACTGGAACTAACTTTTTATCGCGCTAAAGCAAGCCGCCAGAGTTCTTGTTCATTGTTTGTCTCATAATAAGAGAACCAGGAAGAGCTTGTTTGGACCTCGGACGTCTTAGGAAACATAATACAAATTTTATTTTTAGGTAAAATTTCTATATTATGTGTTCCGTTTGACGTCCGAGGTCCATTATGAGAGACGTGTTTGTTATCTCCTGGTGGCTTGTAAAGTTATATATTAATAACTAAAAAAACGCAACAATGTGATTTGAATTATTTATATCCGATAGAATCATGATGAAATAAACAATACAAGCTAATTAAAGCCTAAGCTTTAGCATCATTTAATAAACATAATAACAAAAATTTTATTGTTTATAATGAAGTAGAATACTTGGCTAATCATTAAGCGGCCGAAAGTACTGAGAAAGAGACTTCTGATTGAGTCTCAGCATTCTGACTATTATTATCTAGATTTCGACAATAATATATCTTTAATGTACTTTCATGACGCATGAATTTAGCGAAGCAACAGCTGATCAAGTACCCCGAGATGCTTCGATACCTGATTCCAAAAGGGGTTTCTTGACCCAGCTCCCAAAAATTGTGGGCGTAGCTGGTCTTACAGGATATCTGGTTGTAATAAACAAATTTGTCAAGGAGCCTCATCTATTATTAGAGACAGTTATGAGTGTCCTAAGCCAAAATAAGGGATTTAGATGCTTCTCCGGGCACGATAAAAACGTCCAACTTGACTGTCTATACGTTCCTGTATCTGTTTTAAAACCGAAACCCGGATGCAAAGTGATGGAATCACCGTTATCAATAAAATGCTGAGGCTCGAAAAAGCAAGAGAGTCAAATCATGAACTCTATGCCCAGAAGCCAATAAAATTATTGTGGCTGTGTGTTTCGAGCTATGAAATAAATTTTGCTCATCTAGTTTTAGGCTTTTCAAATAATTTATAACTTTCCCCGCTTCCCATACTGGCAATTACTGCGCGATTGGTCTAGCTATAGATAGGATTGACAGGCTTTAAGGATATGTTTTACTAATTTATTAGATAAAATTTTAACATCGCTTAGAGCCTCACAAATTGATGCTATGTCAGATTTGTGTACTAAAATAGATATAGATCTATTTAGATAATAGATTTAGATATATAGATATCTATGCCAGATGATCCTTTATAAATAGGTTTGCTAAGTATCTAGCTACATCAGGAGGAGCCGGGAATCGACAGTTTATATTACTATGTTGACACCAATTTACCCATTTATACCAAATAGGGGCATATGTTTTCCTTGTTGAAGCTCTCAAACACGACGAAATAAGTTGTTTTTCGTCTCGTGTTTTCCAGCCAAAATCAGCCACGCTTCCAACTGTAATTTCTGCCCTTGAGGAGGAGGTTGACCCGTTACGGTATTTATCAGGGTTTTGTTTAGATTCCGTATTGGTAGCGAGGGTGCAAGTGCTCGGCCTTTCAAATCCGGGCGCCAAAAGGCTTCCTCCACCTGGGTGCTATTATTATGAACTTCCCTTGGGATAAGTTGAGATGGTGCAGCACTCGAGGTAGAGGCACTGGCGGTGGAAATATCCACGCTAGATCGTATCGCCAGCATTTACTGAAGGCGTGGTGAAGCAAGTGTTGGAGTCTAATAAGTCTAGCGACACATAACTTGCCACGACAAGAGCCTCTCGTGACGCGAAAAGATCTATTTCGGGGTTCCCCATCGTCTGAATATGTCCGTGGTTGCCTCTTTCAAGAGATGCCATTCGGTGCCCCTGCGATTGCGCGAGAGGTAATCGGCTTCCACGTTGTACATTCCCGGCAAGGAAGTGAGGGATAAGTACAATATTCAAACTGTCCGTCAGTGCCAGAAGATCTTTTGTCAATTTTAACAGCATTTGGGACCTTGTTCCTCCTTCGTTTTTTATGTACGATACAACAGTTTTGCTGTCGCTTTGCAGGATTACCATCGAGTTTTTTAGAACTTCGGATGTCAAAGAGATTGCTGCTACCACAGCGTGCATCTCCTTTAAATTGCAATGCCACTCAATCTGACTTTGAGTCCAAGAACCATTCAGGGGTTTGTTGTTGATTAGCGCTCCCCATTGTAGATCTGAGGCATCGGTGACAATGTAATTCACATGCCTTGTTTTGAAGTGAATCGGTGTTTTGTGACTGAGGTTGTGCAAACACCATACCATGTCCTGATTCACCTCTGCAAGAGAACTCGGGCAAAGCGGAGCTCTCCTAAATGCATTGCTGTGTCGCTGCAGCGTTCGGCAACGCAACCTTCCCCGGTGGGTGATGAAGGTCGCAAAATTGAGATACCCTAAGAGGCGTTGGGCCTGCTTGAGGGTCCAATTTGCCGGCTGACAAGCGTGTTATCAGGCACTGACGAATTTTGATAACTTTTTACGGGTAAGGACTTTGCATTTGATAGTGTGTCCCACGTGATACCCAGAAAATCGATCGACCTCGTTGGAGTGCATATCGACTTCTCTAGATTTATGGTCCAGCCCAGGTTCTTCAAAAAGGTCATGGCTACGAGAACCTGGGAGTTAAGAATTGTTCTGTCCTGGTGGACCAGTAAGTAATCGTTCAAGAAAACGATCACTCTTAAGCCCTGACGGCGTTATAGCTCGGCTGTCCAATTTGTCACCGAAGCAAACATTTTCGGAGCTATGGCCAACCCAATATGTAGACAAGTCATTTGAAGGAGCCTTCCCTCATAACTGATACGCAGAAAGCAACGATGTTCGAGGGAAATCGGTACATGATAGTAGGATTGCCTGTGATCCAGCTTCACCATCCAATCGCCTTTTTGTTTGTATTTGGCATTTGGTGGTGATGAAACAGATGAAAAGGTTCTGGTTTCATGAACCGATTTAAAGATTTTAGGCTGAAAATGACTCAATTTTTCCGTTCTTCGTTATTATGAAATATGAACGATATGATATGATAGATATGAACGACGGAGTCAGCGGTGCTGGCTCCAGTATATGGTCTCGAATCATGGTATGTATTTCCAAGGAAATCGAAGTTGAAACAGGTGTTTGCAACTTTTTTAGG